AATAATGATGCTATATAACATATGACCAATTCACTTAATCTTTTCTGCACATACTCTTCTTCCCTGAACATTAGATGGCAAGCTAGTGCTGATGTATCTTTAATGACCATAGAATATAAGAAACATCAAACTCACATAATTACTCACACTCTCAAATGTCCTCCACATCTCAAAGCTTACCACAAACTTAATTAGTCAACTTACTAATGACCTATATTGTGATGTCCTTCTACAAATTAGTGTAAAATTTATGATAAGGTGTCGAGAATGATTGGACAAATGGGGACCATCTTCTACCATTAGTTTATCTCATATTAGATGGTTCATGATTTTCATTGATGATTGTATAAGTGACACGAACTTTTTAACTCAAAAATAAGTCCGATGTAAGTATTATTCTTCTCATCTTTTTCTTCATGATCAAGAGATAATTTGGTGTCAGCATTAAAAGGTTTAGGTTTGATAATATCATGAATTACTTCAATCTAATAATTATCTCTTATTTTCAAAAGGAAGGGATAACTCATGAGTCTTCGTGTGTTAATACCCCACAACAAAATGGAGTGATTGAAAGAAAGAATGGTTATCTCTTTGCAATTGCTAGAACTATGTTGCTCCAAAACAATGTACTAAAGTTGTTTTAGGGAAAAGTAGTCCTCACTACCACTCACCTCATCAACCACTTACCATCTAGGACCTTAAATCATAAAAGTCCATTAGATCTTCTTTTGTCATTTCATCCCAATGTATAACTTAAAACAAAACTTCCACCAATAATTTTTGGGTGTTTAGCATTTATTTATGTACACAACCAAAATAGGGACAATTTAGATCATAGAGTATTGAAGTGTGTCTTTATTGATTATTCACAAACACGAAAGGGATATAGGTGCTACCATCCACCCTCATGATACATTTATACCTCTATTGATATGACATTCAATGAACAAGAGCCTTATTTTTCTTTTTCTGAAGTATCACTTATTATGGAGGAAGGAAAATCACTAATTCTCACATATAGAATGGATCCTTCTAATCCTCCCACACCAATTTTGAACCTCCCTTACACACTTGATCAAATATCATATGTTGAGCATAATTCTGCTCATATTAATTATACATTGGATGATAGAAGATTTGGCAAAGTTTACAGCCGAAAGAGAGCACCAAGCCCCAAGCTAACATATGTTCATGAATCTAAATTAGATGCATCTAGTCAAGAAAATCTTGAAACACATCCTACATCACCTACTCAATGTGTTAAAGGGAGTGATAATGATGAGGAGAATCTACTTATAGTCATTAGGAAGGGCATTAGAGAATGTACACACAAACCTTTATATCATCTTTCACATTACTTGTCTTATGCACGCTTGTGATATGATCATAAATCATCTCTTACAAATATTACACATACTATCCCAAAGATCATATTTAAAGCACTAGGTATTGAAGAGTAGAGATAAGCTATAAATGAAAAGATGTGTGCATTAGAGAAGAACAATACTTGAGAGCTGGTTGTATTACCGAAAGAAAAAAAATTAGTTGGGTGTAATTGAGTGTATACTAAAAAGTATCAAGCCGACGGCTCAATTGAATAGTACAAGACCCGACTAGTTGTCAGAAGTTTTACTTAGACATATGAGATTGATTACTTAGAAACATTTGTTCTTGTGACCAAGTTAAATACAATCCGGATCTTGTTGTTCTTGGCAGCATATTTTTCTTGAAATATAGAATAATTTGATATTAAAAATACATTCCTACATGGAGATCTTGAAGAAGAAATATACATAGAACTTCTACCTAGATATGAGGGCAACTCAATGCCTAACACTGTATGTAGGTTAAAGAATATATTATATAGATTGAAACAGTCCCCACGCACCTAGTTCGAGAGATTTTCTAAGGTGATGTGGACAATAGATTACTAACAATGTCAAAGAGATCACACACTCTTCATCAAATACTCGGATGTAGGTGAATTCACAATTCTAATAGTGTATGTTGATGATATTATTGTCACAATAGGAGATGAAATTAAGAAAAACACATTAAGTTAATGCTTGACTCAAGAGTTAGAGATTAAGGCATTAGGAAGGTTGAAGTACTTTCTTAAGATAGAGGTTGCCCATTCGAAAGAAGGTATATTTATCTCCTAACATAAATACATTATTGATCTATTGTAGGAGATTGGTATGATTACTTACAAATCAGTAAATACTCTAATAGATCAAAATTCTAAGTTATGGGAAGTTGGAGATAAACAAACTACTAACAAGAAAAGATATCAAAGGTTGGGTGGAAGATTAATCTACTTGTTATATACATGCCCAAATATAATACATGTAGTGAGAGTATTAAATCAAGTCATGCACAGTTCAAAGAAAATCTATCTACAGGCCACTCATAGGGTGCTATAGAATCTCAAGGGATCACCGCATGGGGTGCTGCAGTAAAAGGATTTTATTCAAGAGAGGAAGTAGAATAAAAATTGAAGTATATATAGATATAGATTATGTTAGATCAGTAGTGGTTAGAAGATCAACCACATGGTACTGTAGATTTCTTACTAGCAACTTGATTACTTAGAAAAGTAAAAAGTAAAATGTTGTGATGAGATCAAGTGTAGAATAAGAATTTAGAGCTATGACTCTAGGGATTTATGAAATATTGTGAATACAAATCATTCTCAAAGACTTAAAAATTGAATGAATTCACCCAATCAAGTTGAATTGTGACAAGAAGTCAGCAATTAATATTACACATAATCTGGTCCAACATGATAGGATCAAACATATTGAGATTGATCGTCACTTTATTGAAAAAAAAATAGACAGTAGCTTAATGTGCACAAAATATATATCATTCAACAATCAAATTGCTGACTTCTTCACCAAAGGGCTGAATTTAAAATTGTTTCAAAGTTTTATTTGCAAGCCAGGTATGGACAATATCCATGCATCAGCTTGAGGGGGAGTATTAAATAATTGGTTATGTTTACACTTCTTCCCCTTATTTTTATGTCATCTTTTCTTTTATGAATTTACATTGCTTGAATAGGGTTGAACCAAGAAAGATCTGGTTCAATGTACTATTTAGGGATTGGTCTATATAAACCAATCCCACCTCTTATATTGAAGACAATGAAGTGTTTCTCTCTTCTAGAGGTTTCTTCCTTTTTTCTTTGTTCATCCCTTTTCTATGCTGGCTGTAGAGGTCAAGAGCTGAAGGAGTAGCTTAACAATATCCTCCCATATTTCTGTTGGAATGAGGAGTGTTTGAAGTAAACTAGTTGGTGACAAAGATTGTCTTATTTTTTTAGCAAGTAGCACACTCTTAAACGTATCTCCAAACCGCTTTCTTCATACCGCTCCAATATATATTCTGATTGACCTTCTAATGGGTGTGGAGGAAGCTTGAATAGTCCCTGATGGTTGAGTCATGGAATCCGCATAAGAGGACCAAAATGATTGATGAGGTCTTTGAGAGGACTAGTCATCCCTAGTAGAGGAGGCCCTAGCAGATAAAAAAAAATGGATTTTTAGCTAGGTCAAGCTGAAGCTTTGCCATCAATTGTGTCAATATTGGGTCAACCTAGAGCTCCATAGGTACCAGCTTGAGGTTGAGCAATTGTGGCCTCGTAACTTCAATGTTCAAGGGTTTTGGAATGACTGACTTTTATGAGAGAGCTGCTCAATTTTTTTATACCTACCTTGAATCAGATTTCGAAATCAAAGGTGATGATCTTCAAGAGCTGATATTGATACTCTAGTTGCACACGCTCTATTCCAATAAAAACTTAAGGCTCCATTGATCTGTATATATGATGAACCTCCTACTAAGGAGATAATGCCTCTATTTTTACACCATGAGAATGGCTAACATAACTTGCATTCATACATTGACTTGAGGTGATTGGCCTATGATAAAGCATAGCTAAAGAAGACGATTGGGTGTCATTTTGACATTGACATGGGTATGATTCTAATGCCAGAGGTGTCGGATTCCAACTCAAAAGAAATTAAGAAATGTGGCAATGTAAGGACCAAGGCAGTCATGAGAGCTTGCTTGAGCTTCAGGAAAACTTCCTCTATACCTTCCCCCTACTAGAAAGCATCCTTCTTGAGTAATTGGCATAGTGACTAAGCAATGGAGTCATAGCCCTTGATAAAACAACAATAGTAGCAAGTCAAGCCCAAGAAGCCTCATAGTTACTTGAGAGTTGTAAGGGCCAATCTTGGACTAAGATTTTTCTTCAATTGGCTTCCACTTCATGGGCCAAGACCTAGTGGTTGAGGTATTCAATCTTTTTCTGACCAAAAACACACTTCTTCAGGCTAACGTGAAGATGATGATCATAGAGCAAAGAGAAGACCTAGTCTAAGTATTGTTGGTGGTTGTCGGTGCTCGAATTAAAAACTAAGATGTCATTGAAGAAGATAATGATACATCAACAAAGAAGCTTTCAAAATATACCATTCATCAATACTTGAAAGGTCATTGGGGCATTATAGAGGCGAAAAGGCATTACGAAAAATTTGTAATGATAAAACTGAAAAACTGTGATTTTGTTGAAAGCTTGATAGTAGACATAGAAACGCCATGTTCCATCACTCTACACAAGGCTGGGCTGAAGTAAGAGCTGGTGGAGTGTGGGATGATGCCAAAGTGACACGCCTCCAACAAGCTTTTCAATATCGTGATGATACTAGCTAAGTTGGCACATCTCTCAGTTATGTTCATCATTTCCCACCATACTCCACTCAATGTGCACCATTTAATTCAGTATCATGCAACATTTACAGCTGGTTCTCCTAAAATAGGAGAAGACAATCGTTTGTAATATCTCATACTTGCATTAGCTTACAAATGTTGCATTGCCAAAACTCCACGGACTCTGGGCCGCCTCCTGGTAACCAAAAGACCTCCCACAAAAACCATGGCAGAGAGGCTCTTCTCTCGGGAGAGTCGCCAGTTTAGGCGGGTATTAAGTGAGATCAAGAGCCTTTCATGGGAATTGATTTCTTTGTTTTGGAGGTGGACACTGCCGTCTCTTTGAAGGCTGACGGGCAGCAATTACTTACTCTGCAGTCTTCACAGTGTGGCCTGAGAGGAGTGCAAATCGTCTGCCCAAACCCAACCTGTAGATGGAGTAGAAAAAAAAGATTTTAGTATAGATAATAATAACATCTCCAGAAAGGAAAGCGAATGATCTTATCATAAGACGCAGGGTTACTTTCAAAGGAAAAGAATGTGTACCAGCAAAGGGTTAATCGCAACCCATTCATCCTTCGGTAGCCATGTCTGCAAAGAAACCCTCGTTTCCTCAGGGGTAGATGTTTTCTAGCAAATATGAGAAAAAAATAACAGCAGTGAGCATCAGACACAGGAGTTTATCCGAAATTAATGAATGAGCCACAATGTACCCGGTTTGAGCCTGGCTTTGAAACCCATCCAAGGCGGTTACATATCCGATGCACATGAGTGTCCACACATATTCCTTGAACATCGTTCCATCCAACATTCATAACCTGTACAAGCATAATTCACTGAAAATTCAGTGCAATTAACTTAAAAACCCGTCCACAAATGATGGCGAAGTAATCAAGGTAGTATTACCAGATGTGCCATCTTAGGACCTATCCCTGGAAGAGAGAGCAGCCCCTCCAAAGAACCGGGAATATCACCTTCATACTTTTCAAGGCATATTTCAGCAACCTTCTTCAGGTATTGGGCCTTTCTCGAGTAAAATCCAACCTAATCGAGAGGAGAGTAAAGAAGTTGTGAGCTAAATCTAAATAATCGTGACAGCAATTACTCAAGAAAATTTAGCCAAGATTTAACTAGGAACCCATTGAGATGTAGGTCAGTGTATGATAGTGGTACACAGTATTCTGAGCCATATTGGGATGATTTCACTTGTAAATCAATAATCAGATGAAAAAAAGTTTTGCAAAGTCTCTGTGGATGTCCAGAACGAACAAAAACATATATTGACGAGAGCCAGATATCAAAAAGAAAGAACTTCAGAGGCTTGACATTTGGAGATAAAGTTAGCTTTTCTGCGCTGAAATATAAAGAAGTAAAAAACTATCCATTTGGAAAATAAAATAAACTCTGGAGATTATGAGTGATGGTAAATGTACTGGGTAGATGATGTTTGAGAGGGTTGTTTCATTGGCCTTAACAACTGCATCAGGGACAAGTAATCCAGCCTGAGAAAGCCTTTGAATAGCACCTGCACTCATTGATTTTTTACAGAATGAACTCTTATCAGCACAGGCACGTTTGAAAGATGGAACTTCTAGGACTAGAATATTTGATCCATCGAACGTAAAATTGGATAATATGGAAACAAAGTCTTTAGAACCAAAGCTTGAGGCGATTTTCTGAAGTAGTATCATCTGATTTTTTTTAAGGGTGATACACAAAATAAACTGTAAAAAGCTGGAAGACACTTGGGACTTACCATGCGTGACTTCATCCTTCGTCTGGCTTGAAAGAAGTGAAGATACCAAAACAGCAAACCTTCTTTCCTGGTAAGGATTAAAACACGGCGTATTCAGATATGCAATGTTTTTTTGCAGAAAAGGCCAAAAAAGATGCCCTTTCATTCATGAAATTTTCTAGAGAAGGGTATAATCCGAGTATATGTGCAAAGGAGACATTCCAAATTTAAGAGGGAGATTTTTCGCTGATAATGCTTAAATCATCACGTAATCTTTCAAACATTATATTATCTGAGTTTTCCTTTCCTACCTACATCAAAACATAAAATTCATAGTTAGGTTCGAAAGTTTATGACCAAATGTTCTAGACTCTCACAGGCTTGAATGAAGCGGTTCAATGGAGAAGTTAGAACCCAAAGCGTTTCAATGAAGCGGAGAATGCTTGATTACCTTTGGAGGTAAAAAACTCCCTGCTTTCTCACATCCCATCGAGTCCACTGGAGCATCTTCTGACGATCTCATTTTTCGAATCCCTTCTAGGACTTCTTTCCAGTTGGCAGGTGGGTCCACTGTATCATATCAAATAGACAGATCTTTAAAAAGAGAAAAATACTAAACATCAGTTCATGTATTATGCAACTCCTAAAAAGAAAAAGACCATGTCCAGACATTTTATACATCGAAAAATAATACCAATGTAAGACTTATAACATTGAAACATGGCAGATATCAATCTTTTTTATGATTTTGACGTATCCAGTTACCTGCCGACACAGGTGAAAGAACCTCTTTCTCACGTGACATGTGGGTCTGAATGGTTTGTTTCTGTCCTGAAAAGAGGAATAGGCAAATTACCTCTTCAAATGAGAGATGCAAGAAATGAGTGAATTGTTGTTAGATACAGGCTTCTGATCACTCCATCAAATCTCTAGACCAAATGAATGAATCTTCAACAGAAAAAATCGATATTTTGAATTATATAAAACTCAGTATTATCTGAAAATGGAAGTGCTGTAGAGTTCAGATCATCAAAAAAGTCGAATCATTAATAACTCTTGTGCATTCTGTTTCCATAAAACCTCATGATACTAATGTGACTACCTCAGGTGAAGAATCAAATGAGAATGCTGCGATCAAAGATGAAATGAAGAAAATTTACAATTCAATGCGTTTCCGCTGATCTATGATTCGAAGTTGACATCACAGCTCACAGAAAAGCGCACCAGGGTTAGTACTCTTACTAGGAACTTTATTCGCCTTCGTTTTGTATTCAAACTCCTCAATGTCAGGCAAAATCGCTGGCTTCTGATTAAGCTGGAACAACGGGATAATTGAAGCAAGAAAAGGTAAACCTACTTCAAATACTCGTGCATTATACCCCCCTAAAAGGACCGAGGATAGAACGTCGAGACCCGTGCAAAAGAGAGGCATTACCTGCCTACTGAGTTGCTCCGGTAGGTTATCCGCGTCCGAAAATCGTCCCGCTCTATTCCTCTTATTCCTCGCGTACGTTCTAACCTCGGGCTCCGAATCCTCCACGGGAGTTTCTGACACTGGAGGTAGTATGGCGAGAGTTTAAAACAACATTATTCAGACAAATTTCTTGCGCATTTCAAATGAGCAGAGTCCTTTTGGACATCCTGCCTAAAAAAAAAGCGTATAAAAGATGAGAACACGTAGAGTGGACGTTGTCCCTGGTCATTTATCAGAAGTATCACCTGGATTTGGCTGAGGATCAATTGTAACACCCCTCGTTCCATCAGTCTCTAGGGACTTGGTCAGAAGCTGCCGTGAAGAACGCCTGGTGTTGGCCATCCTGCAGCTTCCAACTGGAGAAGGGGGCAGAACCCTTTGGGGACCCCTGAAGGCGATGAGCGGGGCGATTGTTCGCATTCCCCGAGGAAAGGAAGGAAGAAAGAGAGAGAGAGAGAGAGAGAGATTCTCGAGTTGCGTGTCCCTGGCTAGATGTTTAGCACGAGGTCTACGCCAGGAACCGAGAATTGGCGATGTTCTTCCTTTCCTAGTGCATCGTCACTGCTTCCTGTCGATCTTCGTAACTGGTTAACCTCGATTGATTTACATTTCACTGACAGGCAGAAGTGAGAGAGAGAGAGAGAGAGAGAGCGAGAGAGAGGGAGGAGAGCCAATTTATACTCTGTCGAAACGAGAAAATTTAGCTTTTGGTTGAAAAAGAATCCACGTGGGCCAGTCCTCAGGACTGTCCACGTTGGCTGGACAGAGCGAATTTCCCTTTGACGCCCTTCATAGACAATCCGTATCCAGGAGGCAAAAAGGTAATATAGGGGTATTATCGTCATCGTTTATAAAGTAATACATATAGCTTCCCGCCATTTTTCGGAGAGAGAAAAGCAGGGACGGTAATTCTCAAGAAGCGGGGAAGAGGGACATGGTGGTTATGAATTCAGGTGACATTCGCCCTGGGCTCTGTTCATGATCAGTGCGCTCTTGGAGGAAGACCTGGGGTGTTTGGTGGGGGATCAGGGCCGATGGAATCCTCCTCCGATTGCGTCCCGACAGAGGACGCCGTGCAAGCCCTGATCGACTTCTTGGTCTACCCTCTTTTGCCGGCCAAATGCTTCTTCTCCCCGGAGCCCCCTTCCCTGGATCAACAGGAGAGCGTCGGGAAGCAGGTAACCTCCTGTTGTTATTCACGACTCGAAGTTTGGGACGTTTTGGTTAGCTTCACTATCTCGAACAGTATTTTTATCACAGAAAGGTTTGGGGTATCGCAAGTCTAGTCGCGAACCAAAGTGTGAGAGAGCGGTGAATCTAAGTACTAAAGGGAGGTTAGGAATAAACTAGAGAGAAGAATTCTTGACCGTTCAAAGTTATCTTAATGACGCTAGGGTCTCTTTTCAGTAATAAGGGAGGCTTGGCTGATTAGGAAATTTAAGGAAATGGAAGAACGGTTTTATAAATAAATACCTGCAAATAAATATTTTATTTCGTAGGAATTATTAACCTCAATTCCTAGAGTCAACTTCATCTTAGATTTTTTTTCAAGTTAATATCTGTGTTCTACGTGGGAAAATGAAGTCCTATGCACGAAACAGATTATTTTTTGCGTTTCACATTTGATAGTTCGCCTAGCCCAGTTATCTGCATGGTTTTAATCTTGTCGTTCCGGTGAGCGATGTTTTTGATTTGTAGATCTGCAGCTCATATTCTGACCTCTTCCACCTTTATGAAAAATAACTCTTTTCATCTCTATGGATTTTACTTCAGCTTCATGCAGTTGTGCTGCTATACAACTATTATCATAGGAAACAGTTTCCGCACCTTGAGTTTCTGGACTTCAAATCTTTCTGTAAATTGGCTTCTATTGCCAAACCGAGCCTGCTAACATATATGAAATGTATGCATGGACCAAAGGAGTTACCAAGCAGCATCGACCAATTCTCCATCTCAGAGAAGATGATTTGGGAAGCCTGCAGCATTTGCACTGGTTTAGAAATGTTAATTGATGCTCAAATCTTGAGAAGTTGGTCAATATCAAAAGTTGTTGTTCTTTTAGTTGATCATACAATGATGAACTGTTTCCTTTTGTACTCGTCCATAACTCAGGGTGTGTGGTCTTTGATTGAAAAAGATGTTGACCTACCATTTGGTGATTTGAATCTGGCACCCATAGACATATCGTCTGAGAAGAAGAAAACTGCAACTGATCATGAAAATGATCTTCTACAGTTTGCCTTTCAAGCTGTAAAGGAAAAAACAGGTGCGTTTATTTTGAGACTCCTATCTAGACTAGGTATTTTACAGCTCATAGCACATCCTTCGATAAAGTTCATTTATCAACGGTGGAAACTTTATGCATCTGGAATATAGGTTTTGTTTCGTAAGCTGTGGATTTCTCATGCTACAGTACGTTAATGTTCGTACAACAGGAATTCTCAAAGAAGAATTGACCATTCTTGAACGACGTGTTGCATATTCATTGAGTGAGGAGAAGACGGTGGCTCAGTTATATCTGATGCAGTACAATGGGACATCGACTGATAGACTTACGGAGTTTTCAATCGAGGATATCGTTGACAGGTTTTCTCCATAACAATTTAATAACTCCGTGATGTGATCCCTAATAAACTATCATGTCGTGCATGCAGGATTATGAGAAGTTCTACTGAGGACAGTTATTCTCAAGCTAGCTTGCCTAGGGTTATGAATGAATTTTTTTTTATTCTCTATTCTAGCACCACACAAATTGTGGCAATGATAATATCCCAAAATTTGAGTAAACTCATGTTAGCTTTGTATTTTTACATCAATTTTTATCACTTATTCGTCATAAACCTTCTTTGGTGCGACACTGCAGTCTGCAAGGCCCCCTTTTTGGGAAGGATCTTACTCCAACACTAGTGGTTGAATATTTCCACCTATTACCATATGTTGGAATTCTTGCTGGTTGGCTTTCCAGGTAGCTCATCCATGTTTATCTCTTCATTGTCGAATTTGAAATTTCTTCTCCTTATTTTACCTTTTTTGTTCCCAATTTTTCTGTAAAGGTAATGTTCAAATTTTTCATGCAGGCAAAAGTCTTTAGATGGTTTGTCATCTTCGCTGGAGAAAATTAGGAAATCGAATGGTAACTTATATCTGGAAGCAGAAAGGCCTTCTGGCAAAAAAATTGACACTAGTGACATATGCTTCTCCACCGTATCTGAGAAAGCCCTGCACAAGATATCAGGCAGCGGTACCAATGGAATAAACATTATGGTAGAAAATGGCTCATCCTGTGATATCAGATCATCAGGGACTGCTTCTAGACCTCATAAAGAGGAAGAAAACTATCCCTTGGCTTGCCCTCAACCTAAGACACTGAATGAGTCCAAGGCCATGGAGAATGAAATAGAAGTTCAGCGTGTTGAAAAGAGGAAAAACGATTCCATTGCCAGTCGTTCACGGGAAAACGGAGGTATCTTTGAAGATAAGGTATACAGTTTTTCCATTTTCGCTTAGTGTTTCACTGTTAGCAGATTTACTGAATCTTCCGCCACATATTGCGATAATACTTCCCTTATCTCTTTTAAGTTCATCCGTTTTCTCTGATGGACATGAAGACCCTGTATGGAATTCCTCGTGTTCTCCTTTCTGATGTTGGGTACAATCATCTAGTTGTGAGTTTTGTTATTATTTCAGTTATTTTGTTGCATTTGGAATCCAAGAATATTTTTACAACAAATATCTTAATTTACATCTGTAAATCCAAAAAGGTCCATAGAGAAATGCATTCGTGAAACTGCAAGGATTTGTTATTATCTAAAGCTACACAGAAGGCTCTCAACCATACTTTTGTTTTTGTGAAATGTGTTTCCTCTATTTATTTATTTTCTTGTTTCTCCCTTTTCCTCTTTCCTTTCGTATTTACAACACCTGGCAGGAATCACCAGTCGAAACACAATCTCGGTTTACGTTGACCTTTTTTGCACAATGAAAAGGTCAAGGTTGCCGGTGTAATGTTGCCGCTACTGCTTTTTTCAAGTGTGATGCACCCTGGAAATAAAGTGCAATGCGCGTGAGAAGAAAAAGGATTACCCAACTGACACAAAATTCATTGCTCATTGATTTTCGCATTAACTTGTAACGTGGGTTTCATATGGTTGATAAGTTCCTGCATATTAAAATCGAAAATTGTTTCATTTTAGAGTCCTCCCTGCTTCATGATCTAGTTTTCTCTCTCCTCATTTGGCAAGCAATTGTTTTCTTTGAACTGTATATTATTTTCCCTTTTTAAAGCCAATATAGAGAGCTTACTCCTGGAAATAGTGTAGAATGCAATGTTTCATTCCCATTTTGCGCAACACCATTTTTTTTGATTTTTTTTTCTTGCATTAAGTAATCATGAATTGATCTGGCAGGAGGACTTTGATGGTTTATGTAAGAAACTGTGCGGTAAGGACTCATCATCGAGAAATGATGCCCTCAAAAACACTGTTTCACGTCGAAGCAGCGAAGCAGCTGCAGATCTTCATACTGTTGCTCTGCTTTCTGATCCCCAAAACAGTGATAGATTTGAGGTTGTATTGGAATCGAAGAAAAGAGATCAATTAGGGGCATCCCTGAGAGTTCTTCAGAGAAAACAAGAAGAATTGGTTTGGTTTTTTTCTGTTAAACTCCATGAATTGATGAAATATCCATGTTCCTTTTTCTGGAAATATATTTGATTCTTTCAATTTGTGTAGCATCATAAACTGCGCCTGTTGGAGGATGACATCGCCCAAAGTGAGATGTGCCTTCAGGCTATTTTTACTGGTAAAGTGATGCCTTTTTTTATTCTATCAATCCTCTAGCATGATCCTCCTTCTATTCTCAACATGAAGTCATGCTTCTGATTTCCCGCATTTAAAATGCTATTTGATGTGATTGCTCTAAATTTTTTCAAATATCCTGCTATTATTTCCACAAATATGTGAAAATAACTGAAAGAATTTTAATTATAATTTCCTATATCTTACTAATGATCTTTGATTTATTAGCTGTGGGATTTACCCTTCTCCTATTTTGTAAAAATCAAATGGCTTCCGAAGCCTCCCGTACAACAACTGGTTAGAGACAGGATGCCGTGTGACAGGGTAACTGAGGACTCCAATTAATAAGTAGAAGGGATAAATATTTCCGATGTAGGTGGTAATGAGATTTTATCCCCATGTCTCCTGTAAGGATGGCCCCCAGTCAACTAGACTGATCTCAGAAGTCTCTGAAGAGGCGGCAGAGGTGTGCGCCAAACACGAAGGTTTAAATGAGAATTGGAGTTGAACATGATGGAGAGGACTAGAGACTACCGTTTGTCCTGTATAAGATCAAATGTCAAACGGAAAGTCCTTCAGGCCACAGTAGTATTCTCCGGATGAATACTGTTTTGGGCTATGGATAACATCTTAGAACGTGCGTTCGAGTTTCGTCTGAAGTGCTGTGCTTCGTGGAATGATAGAATTACTCCCGAGTATTCATATTCATGGCTCGTTTCTTTCTTTCCTTAGAAGACGATGACAACTCGATGATGAAGTTTGACTCAATAATGGATGCGTGCAACACTCCGTACTTAAAACATAAGGATCCAAGTCAACCACAGCACGTCAAACGGAGACTGTCTGAGGCGATCTTGACCTTGCAAAGTCCATGCCAGGCAAGTCCAGTTCTACTTTTTAGCCAGTCATTGCAGCTATTTAGTTAGCGAATAATAGCTCAGCTTGTACCCCTGTTTTCCCCTCATGCCAGTCCCTACAACTGCGTGATTTATATTCGTCCAGCAGCTGTCATCTACCAACACGTCGGCTCTACTAGTGAGCAGAATAAGATCATGAAAAAAACTTAGATGGGTACCACGAATAGGATCTTCCAGAAATTTTGGAATTCTCTGGTGACGTGATCGGTCAAACTTGTTGCGGTTGCGGATCCCTAGAGATGGTGTGCGCCCTTCCTCAACTTAACCTAAAACAGGCTCCTCTCTGCAGGTTCTGGACGAGATATGCCGCGAGAACAACTGGAACTTGCCAAGATACAGCATACTTCCGTCGATTAAACAGGGTAAGATCATGAAGAAGAGGCGACCACCGATGGGTGAGAGCTTCTGGTGGGTCATGTCCGTGGGGTTTCATTCACTCATTCATTCATTCGTGGTCTTTGTAGGAGGTTACCAGGCCAGTGCGACTGTTCAGGGGCCGGATTTCGAATCTGTGGCGTGCGGCGACCTCTGTAGCCATCCCCAGGCGGCAAGGGAATCAGCTGCGACTCACACACTGAACCATCTGCGCAACATGGCCAGCCAAGCGAGGAAGCGGTAGAGATCACCCCAATCCTCAGATCCTCGATCAACCTTTGTATTTCTATGGTTTCCCTCTTTTACCGTTAGTCTTCACTTTTTTATGTCAGAGAGAGAGAGAGAGAGAGAGAGAGAGAGAGAGAGAGAGAGAGAGAGAGAGAGATGCTGCTGTTTTTGCCTGGAGCAAATGATGCATTCTACTGCTGTTTTTGCATGGAGAAAATGGATGGCGTCTTCGATGATCCCACCTAAGATGGTGCGAATATGTGTTTTTGTATTCGTTCATGCTCGATTCTGCCGCTGGATGCATGCCCTGGGCACTGCAGTGTTTGGTCAACGCGAATAATATGGGCTCGAATTGCACCGGTGAGTGTGCGTGTGAAATAATAAAAAAAATTAAGCACACATGAAGCTCCAATAATTTACAGGGTTCATGCTCTCTGACACCACTAACCACATTCGGCGTAGACACCGTCGCGCCTTCCAACCCCGGCTGCTCTCAAGAATTTGTCATATGGGCTTGACGGGGGTAGCCTGAAAGAGGTGTCCCCATCGCTGAAGAGTTGATTCCTGTCGTTTGATGCGGTATCCACCCCAAGAGGTCCCTCCATCTGCTCGGCAAGCCATCCAGATTTTATAAGTCTTTTCTAGGGAACAAACCAGACCATTTCTGGAGTCTGAGAATCTCCGAGCCAGTAGGGTTTTTGGATGCTCACCCTGTACGGTGTTGTTGCCAAAGTCAAAGGCTTCTCGTGTCCTCCAGTCAGATTATCGTCTTCGGGCTCTTGCCACTGCTGGAAGCTCAGAAGGGCTGACATCTTCTGTTGCTTTCCGACTACAAGGGCCTCGCACTGGCTTTTCATCTCGTCGTATGGGACAGGTGTGGTGGACACGGGCAAGCTTGCAACTTGCCGAGCTGTTTCAAGAACCTGCAGCAACGTTGAGTCACAAATTATGTCCACAATCTTATTTCTCAACCAAAAAAAAACCCAAAAATAGTAAAGACGATATTACAGCTATCTGAGCACCCCCCTCCCCCTTCTTCCATCTTTCCCCTGATTTTGCTAGATAGAGCAGGTACAGATGATATTGATTTCCCCCCAGTACTGATTGTATAAGTTAATGGTTCAGGGCAATGCATACTGATTGTATGAGTTGGTCGGCGCTCAAAATGTCTCGTGATTTAGTAGATCCTGGGATCTTATTGCCCGTGTGATTTCTCCTTTCACTCGAAAACGTGTCTTCATCCTCCAAAGTGGCTAGAGGCATAATCTGAAGAACAATAATGCAGGGTTGACTCAGAAAACTCTGCACTAAAATCAGTTGGAAAAAAAAAAAAGCTTCTACGAATAGAAATATACAGAAATCCATCACGGATGAGATATGAAAATGGGGGAGGGTAGGGGACACCTTTTCAACCGATTGACAATCCCTTTCTTCAAGCGGGGTGCATGGCTTTGGTGTTTCCATATATAGAGGAGCCCAAAGTGGGATTGCATCTTCAGGTGAAAAAGCCTGTGACAGTTGCTCGTTTATGTTTGATAGGTCCTCCTGCAACAGCAGCATGTTAAAATAAAATATGAACTCCTGCTGAAAAATCCACACATGCCTCATGAAACATGTATCTTCACCTTTGATAGATTTTCAAATTTTTTCATCAAGTGGGATTCCACGATCTGTTTTAAGTGTTGTTCATCGTCTCTTTCTATTGCTGATAGAGAGCTCAGAGCGGCATTATCATCTTCCTCTGAACCATAAATCGTTCCATTACCATCCAATGAAAGATATGCCTCTAGTCGCTCGTCATTAATCAGATGAAGATATGGATCAGCCTGTCACATATCTTCCAAAATGAACTCCAAGAAGAGGAATGCCCCGTAGGAATCAAGAAACAAACATACATTAAAATCAAATCGTTTTTTGTTTTTCTTGGGTTTTCAGTTATTCGGAAAGTGTTTATTTATCAGGGAAAATTGAAGCAACGAACCAGTTTATCTGACAGCACTTCTTTAATGGACGAAACTAGTTGTGGAATTCCGCCAGCCTTTGCTGAGAATATAAGCATAGAGGATGCCAAGGTGAATAGAGACCTACGGTGTGATGGCCGCAAACAACCTTTAAGATAGGAAAAAAAAAAAAAAAGTTAGGCACAAAGTTTTATTTGGAAGGGAACGCAATTTTACTTATGAAAAATTTGTAACAATTAAAAAAAATAAAGGTTCTCTTTTTCATAATCAAATATGAAAAAAGAAAAATGGCATTTATCTTGGCCACAGGATATGAAAAATATTCCAGTGCAGACACTAATGGAAAAAACATTACAATGGACGAAAATCAAATGTCATTATCCATTCCTATACTGATGGAGCATGTATGATGCGTTAAACATTGGGCATTTTGAAACATTACATTTTCAAATGTTCTGCTTACAAAATTAATTCGACGGCAGACTAAATAAACCAGTTGGAATGGAAAGTGAGGAGAGATAGAGAAAGTGGTCGCTTTAAAAGTAACAGGAGAGTTGCCTAATAACTCGGTTTCTTGGAGAGCTTCCTAACCTTTTTTGAGCTCATTCATCTAGAATGAAAAATATTCCTAATAACATTGGAAATGCATACCAAAGGAAATGTCAGCACAAATCCCTAAAGGCAGAAGCACCTGAAAGCAATATTTTAAAATGGCTTCTAGTTATACATCCACAGCCGCATTTATTAACCGGAAAGAAATTCATCTCCTCCCAGACTACATCAAACATTTTCTGTAAAATAAACAAAATATCACTGGAGACTTCAGAAATGGCTCGTCTCCACAGTAGCGTGTTATGCTGCAAAATATATGCTAGGGAATGTAATAAGGCCATCATACTTACATGCATCATCAAGAGAAAGGCTCCTTAAAGAAAATGCTAACTGGAAACACCGAACAAGCACCACATAACTTGAAGCCTGAAGCAAGCAAATCTAACTGTCAATTAAAGAATGCCACTGGTTATGAAATAACTTACCGCAGAAGGATGAAATATGAATGAAAACAAAGGTTTTAAAATCTATCAAACAAGTAAATGTTTATGCTTCCTTCCTCACATTGATACCATTTCTTGTCAGGAATCAGAATCAAAACACCAGCAGTCCAGATCTAGGTATAAATATATTATAATACATATAGTGCATGTAAGAGATAAAACTAGTTCTTCTTGTCACATAACACAATAAATACATATAAGCATGAGATCTTCTGGTGGATTCGAGTCAAGATCAAAATCCAGGTAATGTGTCCATGACAAAAAAAACATTGGTTGATACCAGAGTTGTCCATGCGGTGGGGCTGGGTAAGTTATATGTGTTTCAATGGATAATAAATCATAGAATATGAGTTTTGATAGAAAAAAAAGATAATATATGTATGTCTTAGCTTCCACATAATAACTTCCCGAAACGGGAATACCATTATCTCTTGTTTCAAAAAATAATAAACACCTTAAGCAACAAGAGTATCACGATTTTAAATTGGGCCAAAAAAAGGTGCATGTTCAAGTCTTAAACATGGAAAAGGTCCTTAAGTAAACTTACTTTGGATTGAGAAAATAATAGAGAAAGGCTGTATGTATGTGCCATTGCCTCATAATTTGATAGATTGTTCTCTTGTGATGTTGCTTGAACCCAAATTGATGAAAGTAAAAGATCAACTTGGTGGCTGCTCAGACGCAAGGGACCCTGAAAAGTATTTCACAGGAAAAGAACCTCCAATAATCATGAAAGGGAAGAACCACAGAAAGAGATAAATGCACTAAAAAATACAATGAGATTATCGATTTTCATACCTCTTTCCCCAATTCAAAAACAAATTTTACTTCGGGTGTCAGATGTAGAGCAGGGCCGATGTTATCATCCTGACCATGTGATGGATGTACTGCTTGCTGTTTTAGGGCAACGCCTGAAGGTGAAGGCCCATGTTGCCCAGTCCCATCGCCTCCACTACTTACAGGAACACCGTTGTCCAGGTGAGGAACAAAACAGGTTTTCTCCCTTATCCTCTCCAAAATGACTGTTGATGAAGAGAATGCCGAAAGAGCTATGAAAAGTGGTACCCAAGGGTTGCAACCCATTGTTTGGAATGAAGATAATGGAATTGACCAAGGACAGTTCAAAGCTGGCATAAGGACAGCTGAAAATATACGATGGGATCCCACTCGTGTTTCCTGGTCTGGGTGTGCCATTACTACGAGCAACTGATGAAATAAAGCTTCTGGAAAAGCCTGAAGCGGAAACAATCGCTTGTCAAGCCTAAAAACAATTCTGTGAGCCAACGGAATCTGAGTAACGTTGTTACCTTATTGTGATATGATGCGTTACGAATGGAAGCTATAATCAGTGCAGTACGATAAGCGACAGACATTGTTGTTCTTGATAAAACTGTAGTGACAGGGATATTCTCCAGAAACATAGCCATCAGATCTAAAATAGGTCCGACATCTCCGACCTGGTGATTCGAGATGTCAATATTCTTTTAAAATATAGGAATACAAAATGAAAATAAAAAAGATGCATATCTGATAACATATTCGTTTACCCTTTCCTAACAGCTTTATCAGGTAAAGTTGTTATATTACCCTTGCTCATTTTATTTTTCGGTGCAAATGATAAGAAATAGCAGTTAATTGAACATGAGATTTTTTTTTTTGTTTATGAGAGGAACAAGAGACGACCGAATCTAAAAAAAATCGCAGATCAATAGCGCACTGTAATTGTTTGGTTCATCAAAATACTGCTGAACAGAAGAGTATATGCTGACCTTATTTATCAATTGCACAAGGCAATCTTCTAGTGCAGAATAGAGGACAGCATTCCATTTACATCTATCACTTTCTGGATCTGATGATTCAAGGCAAAATTGCATACACTTGCGCAAATGCCTCATCACGTCACTAATTGCCGTAGTAATAGCTATGGAAGCCTGTATCTTTGTGTGCTTGGCAAGATACGTTGCAACGTTAATGATGTTAACCTGCATTTTGGGTTGTCTGGAGACATTTCTGTGCTCCAAATGCTTCACCAACATTGATAGAAGCAGATGGCTGTTATGACCTGATGATTTACAAGCGTTGGTAAACAAGTGAAGGATCCTAAACCAGCATAGATGACGCATAAAGTAAAAGGCCAAAGTCATAGATTACCTGACTCCATAAAAACCTCCATATCGCATAAAACTGAACAAGCTATTCCCCCATCGGGAGACCAGTGATTCCCAGCATCAAAATTGTGGAACAGGGGTTCCAAGACGCGCCTCACTGTAGTTGCTTCTTTGGCTAGTTCAGCCATGTTGCGAAGGCAAAGTCTTGACCAGTACTTGGGGCTCTTAGAAGGATCCCTAATCAAGGAAATATGTTATATAAAAGAAATCAGACCCCAAGGCAGGAAAAATGCAACAAATAAAGAATAGAAACGATAATATGATAAAAAAAACAAAATCATAAAATCATATGCACGGATGAGTCCTCACACTAGACTCTCTCCTTTAACTTTGACACCGTTCTGTAGAGTGAGAGACTTCTCTGGATTGACCGGTAGTGAGGAAACCTGATTCCCAGGTCTGGTAATTTCCACAGTACAATGGCCTTGGAGCTCAGAGCATGGATCGTCCTCCTCGTTATTCTTCGAATTCCTTTCAGGAACCTCATAATTTTGTAACGTTGCTGAGACAACCTGTTTCAACCAACAGGAGACAAGATGATATTCATAAAAAATACTATCATTAAATTCCTACAAAAATCTGATCTTCTAAATACGATCTCATAATGTAATATAATGTAACCGAGAATTTATAAAAAGTGATCAAGGTAAAACGCCAGTTTCTGGTCAAACAATTTAGTATTAACCACTAGAGAACCTTTTTCATTCTACATAACATTAACATAAAGGAAATGCTAGCTTATCCCGGAATCCGAGAAAGCATAAAACCTCATATTGATACTTATCATGCGATTTGAATTAGACGAGTATATTCAAGCACTACAGCTTTTCCGAATAATCAAAATTGAGTATATGTGTATGAGAGACAAAGGTTCACAACATGCAAAATGGACTGCATGAAACATAAGAGAAAAACACGATGATAATATTCCACATAATTGGCCATTAGCAAAGTGAATATCCAAATATATACACATATATCTGAAGTCATCAGCGAAGATGAGGAAATCTGTCGCATGCACTCGAAAAAAAGTTAAGAAAAAAAGGACTTACATCATCAAAGTCCATAGAGAGGTGGGAGTACTCGCCCATGAAGTGCAACTAGGCATACAATGGACAAAAGAGAAGTCATTAAAATCTGAAGAAGCATATAAAATGGTATTATGCTATATAATATAAAAAGAAAAGGTGAATCACGAAAAATGGCCCATCAATTTTACAATTCCACGATCAAAATTAAATATGAAGATCGGATGCCCAGTAACTTGGCACACAATGTACAATATCAGGAGGACAGATGAGTTGCTAACAGCAAGTTGTGTTTCGTAAATCTTGTGATCGTAAAAAATAAAATAACATAAAATAGAGAGTATCGTTCAGTAAAAAATACCATGGAAGCAAGAGCTTGAAGCCCTGCAGAGCGAAGAGAAAGCCCCCGATCATCCTCTCCTACTTCGTGAGCAAGTTGACAAAGTTTTGGAATGAGTCCTTCTAAGTTGAATATGTAGGTGCTATCCGTCTACGCCAATACAATGACATGACCTAATTTCAGACACCAGATTCGGATGTATTTGTTTTCAAGTATACTTCTGCAATCCCTAGAGCCAACAATATGAGTGATCTGACATCTCACCTGGCTATTTAGAAAGTCGACAAGAGTATGGCAGCCCAAAATTCGCATCTTATCGTGTCGAGTTTGGTCTAGAAGTGTCCTTATAATCCCCAACATGCTGGTAGCATACAGCGGCCTTGATCATCAAAATAAAAAACTTTAAACGTTGTGCCATGCAAGATGAAAGTTACAATTCTCAGATCAAAAAAACAAACGTATAGATAGGGTTTTGCTGAGTAATAAGAATGGAACATGAAACATTCAAGGAAAAGAATATCCTTTCAGGAAAGAAGGTTGTCTATTAGGCAGTGTTTACTGACTCAGACTGAAGGGCAAAAGCTCATAAGAAAAATATGATGTCCCCTCAACTTAGATCCGACAAATATACAAAGTTATATTTGAATAATCAATATGATGATAGTTCAAGAAACCCAACGATCTCCCAAGGATATGCCGAACGAATAAAAGAAAAAAGTGGCTTTTTCATGCTGTTCCAAAAATCAGCTGATCTGAAACTCGATCGGCCTTTAGACTGGATACAAACTTACGTCCCCATCTTCTCTTCTGTCTCTCATGACAACGATGGCGTCACCCATTCAGGCAGAAAAAGAATAAGAATAAATGCGAAAGTACCCTAAATTCCAGGCTATTCCAAACGCCACGACACAAAACCAAAGGTCTTCTCAAAAGAAAATTGGATGGATCCCTTCACTTCCAAGAGGATACCAGCTTCCAATGCTCTTTATGATACCGTATACGCCTGTGGCAGTGTGGAGTGGGCACTAATCGTGACCTGCTCTCACAAAATAATGATGATGAAAGAGAAAGGGAATGACCAGTATGTTACAACATATGATCTGTGAATTGCTGATGAGGGTATGAGGTTCTAGCAGCAAAAACAAGCAGGAGAGGGAAATTTCGTATGAAAAGTGTACATCTTGTGATGTATCAACAGAGGAAAGAGGGAAGGTGAGAGCAGAAACTATCGATCTCTCACAACACCAAGGCCATTTCCGCGGTGAATCATGGAAGCCATATCAGAGTTGTCTAACACATCTGTCTGTTTGGTGATACTGTGAACTTCAAAAACAGAAGTACACAAGTTAATTCTGAATGTCCAATGATGATAATGAGATATGGTCTTTTTGTATCTTGGTAATGTGTATTATCGTCATTGTCTAAATATGATGGGATCAGACGTGGGACAAAAAAAAAATCTTCTGTTTTATATAAAGCCCAAACCTGTAGCAATGAGACTATAGTCTAAAACATATGGTAATTTGCATATCCGGCATACACTCTGTATTCGTACATAAAAAATGCCAGCATATCTGGCATTGCTTATTGTTAGTATGCCACAGAATTATTGTGAATTTGAGAAATATATATGCCTATGATATGAGATAAATGGAAATACTATAGACTAATTGATTAAGTCATAAGTTCTGAAACATTCCTTTATTGGGCGACAATGACTTCTTTATTAAAAAGATTATTCATATCTTCTAATGAAATCTTCATAAGATAAAAAGCAAGCTGATACATTTCTCAAGTTTGTACGTATTCAACGAATACACATAATTTCTGTTAAAAAATATAAATTCCATATGTATACATAAATACGCAAAGAGAAACATCAGATGGCTCAATAAAAAAATCCATGAAAATTCCCAAACCACGCTATTAAAGAAAGTCAAGCTAAAGACAATAAATGTCTGTGGGAGAACTGACATCTGCTCCTTACAGGAAGCTAGTAATTTCCTATAAATGCATGGAACAACAACTACGAAAGCTAAACGCTCGTTGTGCAGTTCTTTGTAACATCTCTGTTCCAGGTACTCTGTGATCTGCAAAGATCATAAACAGAAATGGTTTAGAATAACATTAAAATTGCCATTCACTAGTTAATGATGGATGCCAATAACCGACATCCTGGCCAACTAACAATGTTATACATCAAAACCATGGCGGTAGTTTTTAGTTTTTCCCCTAAAAAAGTATTGAATATTCGAGGAGAGACCAATAATCAACCATGTTGATGTTACGGGAAAGAACAATGTCAGCATAGAAAACATGTAATGCGTTGAAATGTCTTTCATGGATGAAAAAAAATGAAATGTATTTTTCTCTATATTGTCAAGCGAAAGGAAATGCCTGATAAGGAAAATAAAAAATTCTGAAAATGCAAACAGGATGTCACGCACTTTTTCAGTATAAATCTCTGTTTGTCCACGCAAGCTCATTTCTCATGTGATGAGAACTGATATGAATGTACACTCAATATCAGAGGATTCGACTCTTGTAGAGAACCAGTGAAGAAAGGTATAGTTCATTCACACAATATAAGAACAGAATCTGGAGTGAGAACGAGGTCCTTAAATAGAGTATACTATGGCTATATTTTCTGTACTTGCCTTAACTTTGTTACCTGCATATTTAATTCCGCCACAATCAGTCAGTCACCTTTCCCCTCTTCCATTTAATTCTTCTCTAATAATTGAGTTTATCATATGTATATTAAATATAAGAACTCACAAATCTTAGCACCTGAATCGAAAGTTATTTTAATTTCGTTTTTATAATTATACCATTTTAATGAACTGCAGACTTGTCAAAAAGACGATTTCGAATCCAACCTTTTTAACAAAGAAAAGTAAAAATTTGGGAGAAAATTACTTGCTCACTTCTGTGAAAGATCCACCTGGCAGTTATTTGCTTTCCTAAACGAATATTACTAAAATTATATGGATATCATGTCAAGCTCCCTAAAATTATAAGGTAGAAGAACAGAATAGTTACGATTGAACTACCATGAAAGACAATGGATCATGTTGACATTGTACAATGATCCTATCCTAATATGAGGTAGCGACTATAGGGAACCCATAATTTTGATTGGTACAAGATAAAAAAAAATGAATTTTGCATTTCTCCACAGTATGATCCGTGAAATACCCCAAGCCTGCATTAATTCAAAGGATACTGAAGATATAGAGGTGAATAGGTTTCCAGGGAACCATTTGATTTTTGTTCCTCTTCCTGACTTGATTGATCACTGAGACTAAAATGCATTTACCATGGATCCATGTTCCGAATAAACTATCTATAAAAGAGATGACATTGAGTTTTCAACCAAACTATGTCCAGAATCTTATAGTATTAAATTAACAAGATGGATATTCCACGCTTCACAAGTTCTCCAATCCAAAAATGTTCGATGAATTTGATTTCATTCTCGATTGGTGCAAAGGATTCCTCCTGGAATCCCATGTTTTCCTTTTCATTGTCCCACTGCAATAAAATATGTACATCTCTCCTTCATCCACCACCCATCAGCTTTATGCTCATATGTTCTTTACCATAATTTTATGAGCATCATTGCACGGATTCATTGTCCAAATGACACCACGTAATAGAAGAACGCAAAAAAATATTAAATATATTAGCTAAGAAGATTTAAAACCCATCAAACGGATATTTTCAACTTTAAGTACAAATGGACCTGCCTAACCCTTGAACCCTCCATTTTTCTTCATTATAAACTAGGCATTACGACAGTACTTTCGAGCTGGATCTGAGAACGAATACTTACTCTTCATCAGACGGTAAACATACTAACAGTTACTGGTTATTGGCCTTCCCAAGGGCTTACAGCTTCGTAGATAACTGTCCACTGAGTATACCTACACCCTGTATGTGGGGAACTCTTTCTCTAGACAACAAGAAATATTTACTGCCTTGCTATCAACCTATCAACAACTTGTAAAAAAAATTGGCTTCCGTAGTCATTATGCATTCAATCCTGGGAGAGTGGAAGATAACTTTGCACTGAATATTTACAAGAAAAATTAAAAACAACATATCAATAAGAGCTTAGTTTTCTAGGCAGCTTAATATGCATATATTCATAGTGGTCCAAGTTAATTGAAAATGGAAATATTTTGAAGAAGACTATGGCACAAAATAGATTCACCAATGTTCTATACTAATTGAACATTCACGCTAGTGGTTGACAAGTAAAAAGATAATAACATATTCGATAAATTATTTCATTTTTTATCATTCAAAGAAACACTAAAAAACTATGATGTTTGAGTTACAAATGTTTGAGAGAACAAGCGAAACAACCTTTGGAATGCGCATGGGGTTTTTCGAAGCATACTCGCAAAGTTTGCTGATCATCCTTTCATTTGGATCTCCGTCCTAAATATACAAAGAAGCGACATATAAAATAATTTCCCACTAAAATATTCTTAATGTACTATTATAAATTTTATTGTTGGTAACAACTGAGATGCATCGTTTCCTTTCAAGGTAACAATAGAAAGATACTGTGGCATTTTTTTGTCAACTTACTAACATTTGCATTGAAAATATCCACGAGAAAGAAGAGTAAATAAATATCCTTATAAATTGAAAGTTAAGCAGAGATAACCTATACTTGGCTGATTAAATTACAAAAGGATAGCATAGCTAAATATTTAAGATAACTTGAATTGAATATCCACATCACCCACAATGCGGAGGCAATTCAAGTGTCAAATCTGTGATGCAGAACTTGATGGCCAAATTATGCTTCAATTGAATGCAAAGGGAGTATTTAAATTAACAGAATATCAGTTATCCTGAGGCACCGCAAGCGCGACCAAATGACTAGCCAACAATGGTGTATATTTAAACATTCTTGAATGACGACAAACATGATGATATGTGCACTATAAATCCGTAATATGATTGAATGTGGATGAAATGAGAACAGAGAATCAAAACCGATACCTGAGATCGGGGAAAACTGTTGGCAAGGAGTTTCTTGTAACGTTTCACAGGTTGACGGGATCTAGAACGCAGAGACGGGCAGAAGAAACAGAGGCTGCCACAGGCGGGTAATACCCGCCTGGACATCACACCCATTTTCCTACCCTTTCTGATATCACCGAAAATTAATGACTAAAACCAAACATTGAAGCAAACGGAGAATTCAAAAAGAAGGGCGATTTAGAACGACAAGCGCGGGGCTCTGTAAGAATCCTCAAACGTGGTATTCCATGGAAAATGACGAATTCGGACTTAAAGAGAAAATTGCCGGCAGATTCTTCGAATCAACAAAAACACAAAAATGTGAAGGATGAACGATTCCTTTCCGCTCATTCACGCCTCACCGACAATGCGATCTAAACGAACCATCCCGGAGAGTGGGAACAGAAAGAGAAAGAATATCGCCCTCCGGTCGGGACGAAGCAGAAGAAAAAAAATCTCCGAATTTCGTACGAAGAACTCTTCCCAAGATCCAAACGAATCCAAAATCTTGGGATTAATCGAAGAAAAAGCGAAACCAATGGAAGATTTCGGATCAACTGGCCGCTTCTCGTAGGCTCCGCGACCTCGGACCGGAAGCTTCCGGTACCCTCTGTCCCCTGTCTGCCTCCTCCGTAAATATACGAACGCCTCATACCCGAAAGTTTCCAGCTACAAATGAGAACAGTTTTCCATGGAAAATTAGTTTTCCCCACCGAACGCAGTCAAACAGGCAACGACAGCGGCCAGGACGACGACCCACGCGCGAAACTCTCCATCGGTATTAACTCCCTTTTTCTTGGGAAATAACAAAAATACCCTCATCTTTGTCATCAATGAGGAAAAACAATTGTGGCCGTTGCGACGGTGACGCCCTTCACCAGCGTGGCTTCTTCACACAGCAAATTCCCTCACTATTCCCTCCCACCGGGCCCGACGGCGCCGACGATATCCGAGACGGTTCCGGGAGGAACGACGGCGACGGCACCGGCGATAGGAGAGAGGATTAGACGGATAAACAACGGAGACGGCGCCGGCCAATTAAATGCCGGAATAGAGGAGGGGGGTGGGAAGGAGCTCCTCCAAGCCGCTGCATACGCCGCATTCCAGAGCGAAAGTGGGGAATGACAGGTGGAAGAAGCCAGAAAGCCCTCGTGATGGCGAGATGACGGCTGATGCTGGCGGCTGCGGAGGGGCCATTCCGGCGCCGCCTCCATCGTGGAGTGCCGCGGCGTGCGGTGTATAATACCCATAAATAAAAATAAAAATAATCGGTCTGCACACTACTGTTGCAGCCAATATAGGATAGACGGTTCAGATCGAGTTCGAGAAAATAATAAATAAATATTTTTATAATTATAATATTTAATTATCAGATTTAATACAGTTCGAAACTTGAAGAGGAGACTCTTTTGGTAGCTTTTCTCCGAATAGTCGCACGAGAGATCTCCGATCCCAGCCCATGCGGACTCGGCCGATTCCGCGTAGAAGAGTTGGGCCTCTACGTCACTCCCCATTGGGCTTGAGCTGGTCCAATGACCTTAGATGGGCTTCTGAAGAGGAGGGGGGTGGGGGGAGCGCTATGTAGGTGCTGGAGTCCGCGATTTTCTCCCGGCACCGGGGGGATCTCGCTTGGTTCCTCTCGGAGGGGCTGAAGGAATGGGGGAGCCCCGATCATGTGTGCGCTCGATGTCGTTTTGTTGGATTCTGTGGGTTCTTTTTCTTCTCGAGCTTCCGCATACGACGTGGGGGATCCGGTAAGAAACGTCTGAATTTCCCATGCTCATCTCGATTTCCCTGCTGAAGTCTCTGATTGATGCAATCCAGATTCTACAATTGTTTTGGATCGCAATTAGGTGGCATTTTTTTCAATTATTGGAAGATTGGCGACGGTAGTCGCTGCCGGAGATGGCTGGGTCGTCCTTGAATAACTTCGCTTCAGATTATGCGGAGTTTTCCGCATAGCAAAGCATGACCATTGTACATTTGTTGATCGGAAAAGTCCCGGCAAATGATAGTGTCAGAAAAGAGAACGTTACTGAACAGACATGAAACCTGTTGATGGATGGGGATCCCCGTGTGACTTCGTGTTGTGATATTGTTCGAACAAATATATGCGAAATCACACGAATGATTATTTCACCTATTTCCAAATCCCTTATCTTACGAATTGCTCTCCTTAGTCATTCCTTTTTTTCCATGTGACTGTATAGATATTATTCCAATTATTGATGCCTTTTCGGTTGGCATGTCGAACGGGGGGAGTAGCATTTTCGATTATCCGACGAAAACTGTATTGAAGATGATTAGGTATAGATTCAATCCCTCTTCAGTCTCCGGTTTGAATAAATTCAACTTCATAGTGAAAAGATGGGTAAATAACTAAGCAACGAATCTACTAGTGTTACCTGCAGATTGGCATTTCAAATAGGTCTTCCATGATAGCATTGTTTATTTTTCTGTCCTTTTTTTGTATCTTATGTGGTTTTGCTAGAATTTATCCGTATCTGTCGGCATTTTTCTTGAAATTGCTAGCCATGCTAATTTTTTAACATTTTTCTTCTTGGAGTACTGGAAGTTTCACACATCATGAAAACCAGCAACATGATCTGCATACTGCTATGACCGGTAGCTACAGTGCTGTTCTTGACATATACTTTTGGTTCAAACTTTTTTGGATTTTAACGTGTTCTCTCCACTTACATTATGTAATTTGGAGTTGGAATCAATTGCATACTTTCTTCTTTACTGGAGTTGGAGGTTTGGTTTTAGGATTCCTTGTTTTGGATTGCTTAGAAAGAAAAGAAAGGATGGACATCGGGAGATGTAACAGAAGGGGGAGTGGGATGCGATTAGAAATAGGAAAGCCAAGATCATGGTGAAATGAACCTGGATGCAGTAGGATTAATGTCATTATATGCTCAAATCTGCGGGCAATGGCTGGCCAAATTAAAAAATGGCTCTCATTGATGGACATATCAGGAGATGCATTAGATTACTGGAACGTTTGTTCACGAACTCTAATGGTAACGTGGGGAAATTTCAACAAAGGACAACGAGCTGTTTCATTGGTTCCCTTTATTTTATTTTTCTGCACAAAATTATGCGATACTTGTGTATTGAGTTTGATTCTTGATCCCGTGTCCGAAGTCTACATGGATAACTTAGGCATGCCTGAACGTTTTTCAGGACGGATATTGGCCTTGCAAGAAAGAAGCCATGCAGGAGTACTGTTCCAGGACGCTATCTCCTTGCTGATGACAAAGGTAATAATTCCCTTGTTATCGTAGATCAGCATGCCACGGTGAATATGCACCCAGTACTCACCGCCTGTCACTATAGGTCTACATAAATAAGATCTTCTGATTATATAAATGTTTTTAGATGTAGCTCTTTCTATGTCAAAATGATCGTCATCCCAGTTTTTATGTTTAGAAAATTGCAATGGTTGGCTATAATTAAAATGCTATAATAGGCATACCGTACTTGAACCCTGATAAGCGACTTATGAAAACTACTATACAGACAAAAAAATGATAATTTTTGTATATGGTGCATAGCATTCGCAGAAATTTTCATAGTATGATTTGGTTTGTTGTTTAAATGTTAACGAAAATGAGAGAATTTTAACTTAAATATCTGAATTGGCTCATCATTTCTCAGGCTATGTTTGCACTGCTCTCTCCATTGATCCAGAATCTCACTGCTGTCTTGAAACGGGAGAAAAGTTTTCTTGTCAGTGAGTTTTTTTTCTTGGCTCCATATTGCATAGTCATTTGGACCTCTAGAGTGAACATAACACTTCATTCCAAATTGGAGCAGGGGTTGTAACCTTATTTCCCAATGCTGCAATTCTTACGAATTTTGCGTGTCTTGCTGCCTCAGTCCATATCGGGTACATACCCAAATAATGTTGCTCATGAAATTATTTGGTATAAGAAAAGCTATGATCCAATGTTTGGATTTATGTTTTACAGACTGCAAAAGAGCTTGCTTTGAAGATCAAGATAGGAAAGCCAGTAACTGCGGGTAACACTCTTATGTTACATGAAAATTTGTTTATTTTACCTTAATTAGTAATTTGTTTTTTACTTTGGTTCTGACAGGCAACTATGGGAATGTTTTTGACTTTTGCGCTGGAAGGTGTCGTCATAGTTCTGCGAGTGTGGTACCTTATTTGTCCATTAGACCTAGTTTCACTGACATGCGGATTATATTTCACTCTCTTGGGAGATGGATTATATATGTGAACCTTTGGAAATTTATAAAATGAACTTATCTAGAGACAATGCATAAAATTCATTAGTTTCTTTTTTTCTTAGTCCCAATCATTTCATTGTAACCTTTTTTTTTCCTCTCGCTTCTCAATCTGCGGTTGTATTTTTATTTCGAATTTGGAAAATGTGGCATTGATCCTTAATCGTTCCTGGCATTTCAGGTCCATGAGAATGCTTATGCAAGCGATTTTCATCACTGTTTTTCTCTACCCTCAAATTCTTCGGGTGAGCAATTTCCTTTCTGTATTTTATCATGTTGGCCTTTATGTGGTCCCGTCTTTGATACAAATCCTACTGTTTTTGCATGGGTCGCTTTTTGTTGAACTTAGTATATTGTGCATGTATATATTTCAATCCACTCTCGTTCCTTAATCTTCCCTTTTGTTGCCATCTGAAACTTCAGTTTTCCGTTTCCTACTATAAATGACTTTGTGTGTGCTTTCGGATGACAAAATTTGTATTGCTGTGGCTGATTTATCTTTATTTGAATTGGATTTTCTTTGTGCAACTCTCATTGCTCGCTTGTAGGGGGCGTCTCAGAAGAATTTTCTGAAGCAAGGCTAGCTGGCATCAATATTGTCGTTGGAAGGTAGGATTTATTTATAATATTATAGAAGCTTCTCCATAATCTCTTTTTTTTTTTGTTAACCATTAATTTTCCTGCCAGTCAAGGGGAGAACTGCAACTCAGTCTGCAAGTCTAGGAGACAATCATGTGTCCCGAACAAGCTTCCTGTGCTGAACAAATGTGATTAGTAAGTTTTTGAGTGAATTCTTTTTGGGTAGATTACTCTCTCCGTGGAATATTGAATTCGAAGTTCTCGTGTTGATCACTATTTATATAAAGCAAAAGAATTTATATGCATTCCAGAGTTTATACAACATTCTCTACAATCAAGTTGCTCTTGATCAGAACATTAGTTAAGTTATAGAGAGAACACATGTACACATTTTTGAAATCGCTGGTCATTGAACTATCTGATAGACTTGTTCTTTCTAAATATTAGACAATGCTGGAACCAACTGTATAGGCATGCAATTGTCAGACATAAATCCCTAGCCAACATGAGCGACTGAGAACATGGCAACGTGTCTTGTGATGCAATGACAATGGTTCCTGAAAACATAAAAGAAAAAAGAAGAAATCGGAGGAGAATAGGATCAATAGAACAACAGAGAAAATAAGAAAGATCACAAGACACGTTGGATCTAAAGTACTATTTAGCTGGATTTTATTATTTCACTGCTTCATAGATGTAGACTGCTTTGATGATTTTCAGGGATCAATTTATTTGATTTATTATGGCGTTCAAAGAACTTTCTGGATAATCTAAGGGTTTTAACAAGTTGTCCTTCTTTATTTAAGTCTTCGGAGACACATGAGCTGCAAGAGTGGATGCTTGACTAGCGTGGGAGCTGATCAACCGGCAGAGGTCGTCGATGATGCTCCAACCGACTTGGTATGCCTTCTTTCATTCAAGTTCGTGCACGCTGATCTGTTTTCCTCCCTCATGCTACTGATTTCCTATCCTCTCTGCTAACATTGGATGGCTACCTTATATGAAGAGATCAGAATAAGTATTCGTAGAATTCATCTGAAGGGAATGCAATCTAGTAAGAACAATGAGATATGGCAAGATCTTGCATTAATTCTGAATTAGATGCAGTAAATAGCTCGTTTGGGTCACAAACCAGATCAGATTTGCATGGGGAGCTCAGTTGCCACACATCATTAGCCTCCTAAACCAGAAATCATGGCGGGCCATTCATTCTTCTGTGAGAAACAGTACCTTCTTTCATTAATTGAAAGCCCTGACGATGCAATGAAAAGATCTGAAATCCTCACACAGCTCTACATCAGATGCTCTATCTAGGATGATCAGTTCTTAAATTCTCTCCTGGAGCACTCTGGGCAGAAGGATTTGGTGATCTTAAGTAGTCAACTCTTTCCAAGATCCCCCTCGGGTTTGGGAATATTCAGGAACAGAAGGGTCAACTAGTTTGTGTTTATAAAATTCCCCCTATTTTGCCAGAGTTAGCAACTGGCAACTCATTTTCTCTCTCACCTCTAACTGCCCTCTTTGCTGAGGCTCCTGCTGCGTTGACCGATCGGTATTGAATCCCTCCCCCGGTTTCTTTCAGAATCCTGGCGCGTGCTTGTTCACCCGGCTGGAGTCTATGCTGTCGTGCGATGGATCGCATCAGTACACCCGGAGATTGTGCCCATGTGCGTGAAAATCAGTAGACTCAGCCTCCTCGTGCCGTCACTGCGCAGTCACATGGAGCAGCTTGCAGAGCAGGAGAGTCTCCGGCGTTGACCTGATCTTCTCCGTTTTTAATCGACGAAAGAGAAGAGAAGCGCTCACCTGCCCCCCTCTGACGGTCCTCGATTAAGAAAGACACTTACACACAAACCAGCCTCGTTATTGGCGAGATCAACTCCTCTCGTTCCCAGTTTTGTTATGTGATTGGAATCCGTCCATCTCCGCCAGTAATGGCATTGAAAAATGCTTTCGTGTGGTGGGTTTTGCGGAGCAACGTGAAATATGAATTCAAGTATTGATAATTGTTGTTCGACTAGCCCTTATAGCTCAGTGGTAGAGCGTCAGTCTTGTAAACTGAAGGTCCGTAGTTCGATCCTGCGTGAGGGCACGATCTGGGGGCGCTATATTTTGCCTGAATGATGACAGTAAATACTGTATATTCATTTCGATTGTATATTTTAATACCAACCAGTCCGGTTTAGGAAATCCAAGTAGAACAGGAACAGAGCTTCCCAGATCTTTGGGGAAATCCCAGCAAGGATAATCGAAAAGACCGGACACGTGTTGCGCTCAGAAGCCGCCGGGTTGTTCCGGAATCCCACCACCTTATCACGCCTCCCCCCCTTGCGGGCATTTAGACAGACAGGTCGAAGGCATTTGGTGGATGATCCCGAGCGAAATGAATCACTTCGATCTTACACGAGGAACAGCCATGGAGGGAGAGGACGGTATGCCCTAGTTCTTCTGCCGTTCTTCTTCCCCGGAGGAACCCGCCCGAAGCAAATAATAGGGGGAGGAGGAGAATCTGGTCTGATCTGATCAGATACGATCAGAAGTTGTGCTGCAGGAAGAGGTCCTCGCGAGGGGAAGCGGGGCCGATCTCCTCCTCCAAGCACCTCAATCCGTCGCAGGCGGCGTTCCCCGCCTGGTTGCTCTTACCTTCGAGGTTCTTCAGCTCTGCGTCGCCGTCCGACGCCGAGGACTTCCTCCTCTGGGAGGACGCCACGCTGGGGAAGGTGATCCACGACGGCGCCCTGAACTCGAACCTCTGGTCCTCCGACTCGGCCATGTCGTTCTCCGAGCAGGAGCGGTTGGAGGATCTCTGCGAGGCCTTCTTGTGCAGGCGACTGCTCCCAAGCACCACCTCGGTGGGGAGGATCGGCTGCTCGTTGCAGGGGCTCCCCATCAGCAGCGCCAGTGCCCTCTCCAGCACCGTTGTCACCTTGTCCATGGACGGCCGCTCCTTCCCCCGCATCTTCACACACTTGCAGGCCATCGCGGCAATCCTCTTCAGCGCCTCCAGATCCGCCGGCGGCTTCAGCGCCGGATCCAACACCGCCGCGATGTCGCCGGCTCTGATCAGCGGCACCGCCCACTCCACGATGTTGCCCTCCTCGTACTGCATGTCGATCGCCTTCCGGCCACTCAAGATCTCCAGCAGCAGGACCCCAAAGCTGTAGACGTCGGATTTGGTGGTGAGGTAGTGGAGCCTGTAGTACTCCGGATCGAGGTAACCTAGGGTTCCGGCGGGGAGCTCAGACAGGGGAGAGCTGCTATCTGCAGGTCCCAGGAGAGAGAGTCCGAAATCTGCAACCCTAGCGTTGTGTTCTTCATCGATGAGGATGTTGGAAGATTTGATGTCCCGGTGGATAACCGGGGGGCAAGCGTATCCGTGCAGGTACTCGATCCCGCGAGCAGCTTGGACGGCGATGGTCACCCGCCTGATCCAGTCCAGTTGCTCCTTAAGCTTGGGGTCCTTGCCGTGGAGGTGCTGATGCAGAGACCCGTGGGCCATGAACTCGTAGACCAGAAGCCTCTCGCCGCCCTCCTCGCAGAATCCGAGCAGGTTGAGCAGATGAGCGTGGTTCAGCCTGGAGAGCAGGTCGAGCTCCGTGCGGAACTCCTTGGAGTTCTTCTTCAGGTCGGGCGCCACAATGGCCCTCTTCACTGCAACCACGGTCCCGTCCTTGAGGACGCCCTTGAAGACGCAGGAGAAGCTTCCCCTCCCCACTTGGGACTCCTCGCTGAACCCACCCGTGGCCCTCTCCAGGTCCCCGTACGAGAACACCCGAGCTCTGCTGATCTTCAGCTCCTCCAGGTCATGCCGGGTCTTTGGAGTCTCCTTCTGAACGGAGCAAACCCTAATGTTGTTGTTGTTGTTGTTGTTGTTGTTGTCCTCCTCGTCGTTGTTGTTGCTGATCTTGGAGTCTTCTCCCCCGATGGTGGTTGTCGCAGGGCAATGACATCTCCGCAGTTTGTAGCGGACGTAGAGGCAGGCGACCAGGGAGACGGAGCTCACCAGAGCCACGGCGAAGACGAGCTCCGCGATGAAGATAGGCATCTGGAGGGAGGAAGATCGCCGGTCCCTAGCCCTCCTCTGCGCGGAGCAAGAATCCGAGCACTCCGGGGAAGCGCAGCTGGAGCAGTTGAACTCGCACTGCCGGTCGGATTTCGAGCTGCAGGTACTGTACAGGTACGTGCCGTCGGGGCAGCCGTCGCTGCAGGGCAGGCAGACTCGAGAATCCGGAGACTTGCAGAGCTCGATCTTCTCGTGGGTGTACTCGTACGAGCCTGGGTCGCAGGGGTTGGAGACGCAGAGCCCGGGGGACACTGCCATTGGAATCGACGCAGGGAAGCCCGTCCCCCAGCACAGAGGCTTCAGAGAGCTCTCCTCGAGGACCCCGCAGGTGAAGTAGTCGCCGGCGGCGATGGCGTAGACCTTCATCCCCGCCGGCGGCGGCACGCTGTTCGCCAGCCGGAAGCCCCAGCAGATCGCCGCCCGGTCGATCAACCTGATGCCGCAGGCGTGGAATCTCCCCCCGACGACGGCGATCATCGGGAATCGTGGCGGCAGATCCACGCCGCCTTCGCTGAAACTCTCCGGCGAGATCCTCTCCATGCTCAGGCTCTTCCCCCAGCAGGCGACGAGGGAGCCCTCCGCCATGACACCGCAGACGTGGAATCCCCCGGCGGAGATGGCCCGGAACTTGAGCTCCCTGGGGGCCAAGCTGATCACGTCACTCCCTGTCTCGTCTCCCCAGCAGGAGACCGTCTGGTTGGGGGCGAATAGCGCGCAGTTGAAGGACGACCCCGCCGTGAGAGACGAGATAGCCGCTGGGAAGCTCTGCGAGGCGGTCATGTTGTAGCCCCAGCAGTCCACGACGGAGGAGACGTTGGAGGAAGCTAGCCGGCGGGAGGATGGACTCCTCAGCCCGCAGAGGTGGTGATCGCCGGCGCTGATCTCGGAGTAGGAGGCACCTTCCTCCATCGGCTGGGGGACCCCCATGTTGACGAAGGCGTTATTCCCCCAGCAGTAGGGCTGCTGGGAGTCCATCAGGAGCCCGCAGACGAAACCATCGCCGGCGGCGAGGCCAAGGAAGGGCAACCTCGAAGGGGCGCCGTACACGATGGAGGCGTCGGCGCCGGAGCAAGTGACCTGGTGGGATCCTTCCAAGGCCAGGCCACAGAACACGGAGCCGTTCTCACCGTACGCGACGGCGATGGAGGACATGGAGCCGAGGGCTGAGACCCTCGTCGCAGGCGAGCCGCAGAGCAGCGCCAGGACGGCGGCTCGGAGAAGGAGCAAGACGCAGCAGCTCCTCCCGGGGATCATGGCGGAGGCCCCGTCGCGAGGCGCTTCTCTCTCTAACCTGAAAAAAGGGTGTGGATAGATCCAGAGTCGCAAACCAGCGGCGATCCGCTGTGCTCATTCCGGGAGCGCGGGATTTGCCTTCCTCGCCTGGCAAGTTGGTGAAAAACCAGATGAGAAGAGCGGATCGAGAAAACAGGGCCAAGTGCAGAGAGAAGGGAGCGTACATTCTTCTCCCCCGAGGTCTAGATGACGAAGAGGAAGAACCAGGTGCAGCCCTTTCTTCTCGTCCGCTGATGGGTAGGCGGCGGAGTAGGAGGAAGAGACACAGAGCAGCGAGGGATCTCCATTGGAGATGATCCCGTCCGCCGGAGACCCCCGGGGCGGCGGGTTACAGCAGCCGAAGGCACGCCATTCTTCGGCAGTAATCCTTCCTTCCACACCTAAAAACCAGAGGAAAGAAACCAACGGAGAAGCTGTAATGGTCTTCGTCTTCAACCTGGTCCTCTTCAAAGACAGTGCGCTCGGAAGCCGGAACACCGCCAAGCCCGAGGCATGGAAACCCGGCACTACGGCCTCTTGAGAGGAGGGATTCACAGAGGCCCTCCTCGCACTGGTTCTGGGTTTTGATGAAGAAAACTCTGATTGGAGCGACTCTCCGAGCTCTGTCGGGAAAGTGGTTTGCCAGGGTCGGCGCACGGGGGTGGGGCGGGCTGGAGTAGGAGGGTGGCCCGCACTGCCCTTGTGGAAGAGATGGAGCATTCAATGCTGCCATTAATGGCAGTTCCTGGCTGCAGGCTGTGTAGGTGGCCACTTTAATGAGAGTTTAATGCTCCCCCACTTCCCTCCTTTCCCTGCTTCGATCCCCGCACTGGGCCTCAGCCCAAAAACCATTTGGGATTCAACCACTTCAAGCCCACTACGCCTTCCCCTCAGCGGGGGAAACACGCTTTCTTATTCTCCCAGCGAAGCGACCGGCCAACCATCCCTTTCCCCGGTCCCAGCGGCGGCGATCCCTCCCCTCCGTTCCCCGGCGATCTGGGTCTCTTTATCTGCCTCCTCCCATCTCCCCGTTCTTCCTCTTCCTCCTCCTCCTCCTCCCCCACAGCCGCCGGCGCCGGAGAAGAAGAAGCAGAAAAAGAAGCGTCGGCCGGCGATGGACGCGGCGGAGCTGAAGCGGGTGTTCCAGATGTTCGACCGCAATGGCGACGGGAGGATCACGAAGAGGGAGCTCAGTGACTCGCTGCAGAACCTGGGCATCCACATCCCGGAGAAGGACCTGATGACGATGATCGAGAAGATCGACGCCAACGGGGACGGCTGCGTTGACATGGACGAGTTCGGTGCTCTGTACCAGAGCATCATGGAGGAGAAGGACGAGGAGGAGGACATGCGGGAGGCCTTCAACGTGTTCGACCAGAACGGCGACGGCTTCATCACCGTGGAGGAGCTCCGGTCAGTGCTGGCCTCGCTCGGCCTCAAGCAGGGCCGCACCGTCGAGGACTGCCGGCAGATGATCCGCAAGGTGGATGTCGACGGCGACGGGATGGTCAACTTCAAGGAGTTCAAGCAGATGATGAGGGGCGGCGGGTTCGCCGCCCTCGGCGGCGGCTGAGCTACCCACAACAGTCAGTAGCCTTTGTATATATACTTCTATATACATCTTCTCAAGAACGGACGGATTTGCAGGCCCGTGCGGGAGGATTCCTTGTCCCAATCCTCCGCAAGAACATCAAGGACCCTCCTTCGCTGTTTCTTCATCTATCTACCGTTTCTTCTTCTTCTTCTTCTTCTTCTTCTTCTTCCTCTTCCTCCTCGTTCGCTGCTTGTAGAAGTCTCTCTCCGTTGACCATTATCTCGCTACACGTTGGTGTCGGCCGTACTCTCGAACGCAACAGGTGTTGACTTTGGGCCTTGTACGTAATTGCCAATTGATTTCTCGGTAAGCTTTCACTATAATAATTATTTTCACGCGTCTAATAAAGTCCGTCATTTTTATCAGATGTCACGCATTTACGTGCCATATTCCACAAACACCGATATGCACTGTGCCATACGGCAAAATCCTATTGAGTCTTCTGGGCGAGCCACGTACCCTTAAGAGTGCTATATTCCAAAACTCCCCCCAGGGGGTGTCGTTTTCCCGAAACAGTACCATTTACGAAGAAGAAGAGGATATATATATATATATGCAAATGCGCGGGGGTGGGGTACGTGGAGACCGTCTCTTGCTTAGGGAGCTCCTTGTGTGGTGGTTTACTCTCCGATCTCCTTCCCTGGTCCTGCTCCGGCGACGGTGGCGATGGCGGATGTCCGGAAGGTTTCTTCTCCGAGTGCAGTCTCTGCTCTTCTGATATTTTCCGGGAGTTTTCCTCCTCTCATTGCATCGGGTCTTCGTTTCTTCCATGCCGGTCAGGTGTTCGGCCAATTGCCTGACAGAAGGCTGATGTTTCTGGCGAGATGATCGTGGAGTCGGATTCAGAGCTCCGGTCGATTTAGGGTTTCGACTGTCGGGGAAGGGTCCTCTCCCTTTGGCATCGGGTTCTTTCTCCCGTCTTCCTCTCGCACGAATGGCGTCCCGCTTTCTCCTCTTCTCCCGCCGAGTCGTGACGAGATCTTCAATTCTTCGTTCCCATCTCAACCAGACCTTCGTCTTGGCCACTCCTCCGCCGTTTCCCCCCTTCATTGGGTAAATCACGCTTCCGATCTTCTTCATGTCTTCGACTGCGCGTGGTCGAACCCTAAGCTGTCCTCCTCTCTCTCTCTCTCTCTCTCTCTCTCTCTCGCCCTCTCCCCCTCTTCAATCTGCCAGGTGCCTTCTCCCCTCGCCCCAGAGGCCATGGTGGGATTCCAGAAATCTGAGCCAGGGGACGGTGCGCCTCGTCCTCTCGGGAGGCAAACCGAGGTTCGAAACGGAGGAGGTGGAGCCACCGAGAAAGGAGAGGTACCGCACCAAGAAGCGGCTGAAAATGCAGCGGAAGAGGGAGAAGAGGAAGAGGAAGGAGGCCAACAGGAAGGACCCCCGGTGCATCCGAGTGAAGGGCAAGAAGAAGAAGCCGAGGTTCCTCAACGCCGAGGCCCGACTCAAGTACAAGATCGAGATGGTACCTATCTCTCAATCTCCTTAATCAGTTACGCTCCCTGCATCCCCCCCGTCCTCTAAGGTGGAGCTTTCCACACTCCTGGTTTTCATCCTAATTTCCATTCTTCTCGGATTGAAATGCGCCATGGCCTCCAGGAAAGAGCTTTCAGCTCTGCATCAGACCAAACCCATGCCATGCGTCATCCTTCTTTACTAACTTCAGGACTCTGTTCTGAGAGTTCATTGTCTCCAGTTTCTGTAGTTAGTGCACATCTCTGGTGAATTACTTTCAGGACGGTCTTCATCATTCTTCGTCAGTCTCTCAAGAAAAAAAAAAAAATGCCATCAGGAGGGATATGGGCGATGGCAAATTGGCAGGAATTCTTGGCAGTCGTCGTGTTTATATGGGGAAGTTCACATTTTTAAGGGGATGAGGCTAAGATTGACTTGCGTATGTTCTCAAGGAGATAATCATTGACTTTCCTAGATTCTCATGGACGTGGGTTGACTTATCAGGCAAAATTGAAAGAGGCCGCCCTGGTAGAAAGGCTCAAGAGCTACCAAGTCCCGAAATTGCAGGGCCCGGTGCCTGAACCAGATGAGCTGACGGGAGAGGAACGCTTCTACATGAAGAAGATGGCCCAGAAGGGATCCAACTACGTGCCCCTCGGGAGGCGAGGCGTCTTCGGAGGCCTGATCCTCAACATGCACTTGCACTGGAAGAAGCATGAGACCGTCAAAGTCATCTGCAAGCCCTGCAAACCAGGCCAAGTCCACGAGTACGCAGAAGAGATCGCCCGGCTGAGTGGCGGCACCCCGATCCATGTGATCGGCAGCGACACCATCGTTTTCTACCGTGGGAAGAACTACGTCCAGCCCGAAGTCATGTCCCCCATCGATACTCTCTCCAAGAAGAGGGTACTCTTCCTCTTCCGTCTATTGATTTATCTGCTTGTTTTCTGGGTTGAACCTGATTGAGCCGGCGACTTGGATCGCCATGTTTCTTGCTGCCAGGCTCTTGAAAAGTCCAAGTATGAGCAGTCCCTCGACACAGTCAGGCACTTCATCGCCATATGTGAGAAGGAACTGGAGCTCTACTATCAGCACGTCGCACTGTATGGTGATCCAGCACGTCAGGAGCTGGGGTCTCCCTCGTCTTCCTCATCATCACCACCACCGTCGTCATCATCATCATCTTCTTCTTCTTCTTGTATTGATGAATGGCCCACAGTGGTTCTGAATGATTACAGCGATAAAGTGAACGGAGAAGGATTGTGATCTTCTGTGTGAACGTGGGAATTGCGTCAGATTCTCTAAAAGCTCTGCCCAGGAACGCTATTCTGAGATTGAAGCTGACGCAGGTAGGAGGCCCGCGGTAAGCCCATCAGCCCCCACCGACAGCCCCTCTGGTGTTCGGCCCATGCCCGTTATCCCCTTATTCCCCAATTATTGCCACAATAAAGAGAGAGGGAGAAGAGAGAGAGATTGGCACAATAATAAAAGCCCAACGCATGCAGGATTACGTTAGCTGCTAAACGAGATGAGAGATTGATTCTTGGGCGCCATCCGTCTTATCGGTGCCAACCCCACCATCGCCCTGTGCGGCTGGCGGCGGAGGGCACGCCGATTCTGATTCGAGCTCACCGACCGAGCTCCTCTCTCCGATTCCACATTTCTCATCCCGTATCTGTATTTTAACCCCTAGCGTTGACCGTCAACACTAATAAAAATCCATTGGCGGAATCAGTACGTAGCGAGATGCATCCACTCTCAACGTAACGGCAGCGAACATAGGGGCGGATCCCAGCACTCGCCTTCTGAGCCGTCGGCGACAACAGTCGCGCACCTACACGGAAGCAATTATGGGCGGTCTAATCTAGGGGGCAGCGAATCAGGGAGCGCCAGCTAAACTCGTCTAATCCGGCGGAAAATAAATGTATAACAAGAGAGCCGTCCGTTGCCGTTGATTCTTCTCTCTCCTCTGCTCCTCGCCTCACCATCCTGCAAACTCAAGTCTTTCTCTCTCTCTCTCTCTCTCTCTCTCTCTCTCTCTCTCTCTCTCTCTCTCTCTCTCTCTCTGTGAAGACTCTGAATATTTTCCTCTCACACACTCTCCACACCAAGCGACAGAGGAAGGAAGGAGAGATGGCCGGAACGAGGAATGATGATGGCGCCTCCGGCGAGAGCGGTCTGGTGGTGAGCTTCGGGGAGATGCTCATTGACTTTGTGCCTACGGTCTCCGGCGTCTCTCTGGCCGAGGCGCCGGGGTTTCTGAAGGCCCCCGGCGGCGCTCCGGCGAACGTGGCGATCGCTGTGTCCCGGCTGGGCGGAAGAGCGGCCTTCGTCGGCAAGCTCGGCGACGACGAGTTCGGCCACATGTTGGCGAACATACTGCGGGAAAATGGCGTCGTCGATGGCGGGATCTGCTTCGACACGGGGGCCCGCACCGCCCTCGCCTTCGTCACCCTACGAGCGGACGGAGAGCGGGAGTTCATGTTCTACCGCAACCCCAGCGCCGACATGCTCCTCACCGAAGCTGAGCTCAACCTCGATCTCATCCGAAGTGTGCGTAACACAGATCCGATCCCCTTCTCTCTCTCTCTCTCCCTCTCTCTCTCGCTTTCTCTCGCTCGCTCGCTCGTTCTCCTCTGGCTCGAAAACTCCCCCGTAGAACATCAGACGACGACTCCGAGTATTCCTGATTGTCCGTTTCCAGTAATTTCTCTACTTTTTTCATCTTCATCTTCATCTTGCTGCTGCGGTGAAAGACGGATGAGCGTGATCTTCAGATCCAGAAAAGCAACGAGTAACTAAGTCTGCGTATAGATCTGTTTCTCAGTCCTTTTAGCCATCTCCGCATCTCGAGCATCTCCCTTCCTTCTCCCCCCCTTCCAATCGAAGTGCTGCTCTCCGGCTTTTTCCGATGGATGGGAATGAACGTGGAAAAGTCAGCGAAAGGGTAACGGTAGATTCCTGCTAAAACTGGTGTGCGCCCTCCGCACCATGATTTCGCTCCTCCCAGCTCTGCTTTACTGTAATTAGTAGGATTCTAACGCCTGTGGGGACCGTATCCCGGCGCCTCATCCGCCGGTGACCATTGCCGGCGGCGGCTTCTACCTTCCTCCGCCGGCGACGAAGAATCCGATCTTGTTCCTTCTCCTTCGATTTACTCGACCTGTCTGAGTTACCTACTGGATCAATCTGCAGGCGAAGATCTTCCACTATGGCTCCATAAGCTTGATCACGGAGCCCTGCAGATCGGCGCATCTCAGGGCGATGGAGGTGGCGAGGGAAGGCGGCGCGCTGCTCTCCTACGACCCAAATCTCCGGCTGGCGCTGTGGCCGTCGGCGGAGGAGGCGCGGAAGCAGATCATGAGTATATGGAACCAGGCGGATATCATCAAGGTCAGCGACGTCGAGCTCGAGTTCCTCACCGGCAAGGACTCCGTCGAGGACGAGGTGGCGCTCTCCCTGTGGCACCCCGCGTTGTCCCTCCTCCTCGTCACCCTCGGCGAGAAGGGCTGCAAGTACTACACCAAGGTGCTCACCATGATATCTCTCTCTCTCTCTCTCTCTCTCTCTCTCTCTCTCTCATCTCGACCTGCAAATTCTCAACTCTCTCTCTTCTCTCTTCTTTCTCTAACAGGATTTCAAGGGGAGTGTCGAGGGCATCCCCGTGAAGACCATCGACACCACCGGCGCTGGCGACGCGTTCATCGGCTCGGTGGTCCGCAAGATCGCCGACGACCAATCGACGCTGCAGGTGATCTCTCATTCTGAGCAGTCCAAGCGCCGCTTCCGTTTCGCAGGGATCTGATCTTCTTCCGCACGCAGGACGAGGCGAAGCTCAGGGAGGTGCTGAGATTCGCAAATGCCTGCGGAGCGATCACCACCACCAAGAAAGGGGCGATCCCCGCTCTGCCCACCGTAGCGGAAGCTCTGCAAATCCTGAGGGAATGAAGACGACGACGACGACGAACAAGGAGACAGGAGGACGCGGAGTCGCCTTCTCCCTCCCAGGATTTCTGCTTTCGCCTGTAGTTTCTCCGTTAGGGAGGATTCCAAGTGTGCTGGCAATAAAAACCCCGCCTTGGCGTCGAGGTATCAATCCAGCTCTTTTCGCCCCTGCAAAACCCGTCATCCGCCGTCCTCGAGACACTGGTGGGCCCCGATGGCTCGTCCCGTTTAGGCTTTGTCGTGGAGCCACGCCAGCCAATTCAAGGGGGCCACCCACTACATGTCCCCCCGTCATCTTTCCTCCTGGCAAGGAGTCTCCGCGCTGACTCCAGAGGGATGGGATCTCACAGCAAGGGGAGCTCGTTCATGGAGCCTGCGGAGAACAGAGGGCACACTCGAAAGTCAGCTCCGATCATTTTAGACAGAAAAAGCGCGAACTTGAACTTTTTTCTTTAATGTTCGGGGCTTCTCTGGCATACCCACCACCTCTAGTAGCTCGTTCATTAAATTTCTAGCTTCCACCAGTGGACTCGCGTGGGTAACTTCTGTAGCCCACACGTGTATCATTGACTTTTTAACAAGATCTGTCGCAGATAAGTCCTCCTCCAGACAGGGTAACTCCTCCAGATTCAGCACATGGCCCGCAACATTCTGCCACGAAGAAGAAAACCAACTCAGGCACCAATGCAGGCACATTTCTATCCAGAAGTAGCCCCAGATGGCCCAGATCATCAGGGTAGGCAGCAATATCAAGATTAGTGACTAGAAAATTCATCAAGGGGAAGTCAACCAATGATCAGCTGGAACATTTAGTGAGCTCGGGGGTCTGGAGATGCTGACCAAATTCGGCCCATTCTGGGCATGCAGGATGACGAACTTGAGGGCGTCCTGGTCAAAAGGGCTGAGGACTTTTCTTGAGTCAACTGAGAATGTAGCGTCCACGAGAGGGGAGTCGACCTTGGCTCCGAAATTCCTTAGGGTAATTCTGCGATGATTCTTCAGCATCTTCTTCAGAAGATACCCCACGGTGACCTGTGTCTGGTTATCTCCATGACCACTAGAGAAAGACTGGCAAGCAGATTCTTCTAGCTGGAGCATCGTTTTAGCTCTGCCAGAGTCTGCCCAGCAACAGCACAAGGATGAACCATCATCTGCAGAGATTAAAAAAAAAAAAAAAAGAGTCTGGTGAAATTTTCGTATGACAAACCATGGCATGAAAGCACATTCTAACTAGTGATCTTGCAGCAGCGGCACTATGTGCCCTGGTACTAAGCCCAGCATCGTAAAGATTCGTTCTTTTTCATTCTGATCGGATTGGGTTAGAGAATTCTGGTGGAAACCGAAAGAACCAGGCGATCACTGTCAATAACAGGATTAGATGGCAGTACAAAGAGAACCTACCTATTATAAAACCTGCAAGTGGAATTCTGACAGCCGGGATCCTGAATCTCTGCGCTGGTCGCAACCTTTTTGGTTTGGGAACTTGATCTTCTAACAACAATAGAAAGGTTCCATACACCTGAGAAACACCCATCAGGAGATTACGGTACAATGGATATTGATCAATTAATGACAAATGGAACAGAAAAAGACACTGTAAAGGCAGCACCAACGAGAGTATTCTTACCCTACAGTGAAGGCGAACTTTTGTCTTATCAGAATAATGGATTAACTCTGAAATTAGTCTCGATGATCCCATGCGTGAGGACTCAATTCGGGCGTCCAAATCGGATGAAGACTCGGAGCTTCTGATCAGGGGTGGGAAGTTTCGGCAACAATGAAGGATATGATCCAATCTCTCAACATAATTAACCACCAAGCACGACACAGGAATCATCACCAATTCATATTGTCCGGAGTTTCTGAAAATTAATAAAGATAGAATCATAGTTTTTGTACCACTTGTCATCATTCAACAGGATGGCAATTAAAATTAGAAAATCTCTGACCAGAATAAATCTTAAGATATTTTTTAACCAACTAAAAGCAGGATAGGAACCATGCAAGGAAACAACCTCCGTGATACTAGTCTCTAATTTTCCAGACAAATATCAACGTATATGATAAACAAACAAACAAAATAATAATAATAATAATAATGAAGGACATGAATCACATTATAGATCAAAACTATAATTCAATGGCTGATATTTAACAGAAGATACAAATGTGCTTGCAAGTAATTCTAATTTGTACTCTAATCAGAATTTAAATAATTAAACGGGATATCGTATTCTGGCTTTGGCGATGACCGTTTCTGGAAGCATTCTCCACTTCCAAAACAATACAAAACCGGTGGGTTATAATCGTGTGTAGAACCAAACCAAGTACAAATAACCCATGACACAAATCATGGTAAGGTTCCATATACAACAAACTTAAAAATTTCCATAGAGATGCCTTGTTCTGAACCAGGGTTTAGCTTTGATTACATAAAACTTGTCTCCATAGAGATGTCCTAGGAAACAATCCCTAAATATTGAAGTATATACAGTTGTTTATTCCCATCACAGAAGATAAACATAAAATAACTGACAGCAGTGTGGCGAGAATCAGTGTTCTATTCTCAATCGCTCAATAAGTCCAGTTGGAAAGTACATAAAATCGTCACTGGTAAGCTACCGTGCAACAGTTTTTAGACGATAAACAATAAATCATCGAGGCTTTCACCTTTATCAAGAAGCAGGAAGCTGCAAAAATGTACTAGTTATACATACTTCTTTACACCCATAACTAAGCTGTAAATAATCAAACTACACAGGTTGAAACTCCCCGTGGACCAACTGAAGCAGTGGTTGTGACGGGAAATTTTTTAGCATGCAATCTTATTTTTATTAAGCTTTAAACCATATATCAGACCAAAAAAGCCAACTAACGAGAACAAACCCAACAAGTTTGACTTGAGGAATACTTACAACAGCATGAGGACGCGATGGAAGGTCACGTTTGCTCCAGGTCCTAGTCCAAAGGGATGAACGTTTTTGCAAAAAGCACCCCGAACTTTAACCTGCTAGATCAGTCTTATTCAACTGGAATCGAACGGCTTACACAATCTCATGCAGACACAGAAAAATGAAGAGTGATACAAGACCAAAATACAGTACGCTTACCATATGATGCCCTTCACACACATGGATACACAGAGTGCGGTCTCCCAAACCTTTGTAGCTCCATGCCATTCTACTATCAGAATCCCTGGGTTGGGAAATGTGCACATCTGTAATGGATCCTCTCAGTGATATTAACTTTCCTTCAGGAAACTTTCCTTCAGGAAACTTTCCTTGAGGACTGGAGATTCCAGAATATGGCAATGAGATCGATGATGTAATTTCAATGAGTGAACAGACACTGTAAACCTCTCCAAGCATATTATGAGCTTTAATCAAGAAATTTTCTAGTAATTTAATTTCGTTCAGAAGTCGGTTTTCTTTTTTGGAGAGATACAAATGAGCATCTAAGCGTTTATCGATCATGTCTGCATAATGATGGAATAATCTACCACTTTCACATACACCACTGGAGTGAGAGCCGTAATTTTCAATTGACGAACGCTCTGATAGTTGGTCACACCGAGCTGTATGTGCAAGCAGAAGCTGGCCAACAGAAAGATCAAGGCTCCAGAGATGTGACTGCGAGCTGATAAGTGCCTTAGCTGAATCCACGGACATAATATGCTCTGTACGATAACGAAGGTCTTTGGAGGACTTCAAAATGTAGTACTGGCCTATGCATAACAGCTGGCGTAAAATTTAGACAACTATCAGCCGTCTGAAAACTTTCATGCGAAGCTAACACAGAAAAACAACATTAAAATTAAACATACTAATAGCTACGCGCAAAAAAAAAACAAAGGTACAACGCATGGAATCACATCTAAATGCTGTTTTTGGGTGAAAAGTTTTGAATAAGCATAAAATAGGGTACCTGATACAAGTTAATGCTCTCAGGCTTAAATTCTAACAGAATCGTCTGCAGATCTTGTTTACCATTTGAAGAGGAAATCTTTTCTTTCCGTGAAGAATTGGATGGTACCAGATACCCTTCACGTGTACTATTCGTGAAGGTAATCAGACATGGAATATCATCAGTAGTTCTAGGTTGCATAGAATCTTCTGCATGTTGGAAATCTTGATGTTTCTGCTTTATAATCAGGTTATAAGGCAGAAGTACAGCCTCAGCAAATGCACTTGTTCTGTTTAAATGTTTTGAATGATCTGGAAACTGTAGCAATGTAGGCGAAGTTAATCAAACATATCGGATCAAAAAATCATGAGAGCTTCAATCTGAGTAGAACATACGTTCGGAATGTGAGGAAGTTTGTGTGTTACCAACAGCAAGTAAAAATCCGCATCAATACTTCCCATAGCATCATCAACGGTGACAACAGAATGAAAAATAGAAGTGTTGAGGCGTCGAAGATTTCTGGCGTTAAAGTGGGCATAGATCATAACATTATGCGTCCCTTCCTTAACCTGGAAATGCTGAAAAATACTCCTGCACGAGAGTGGATCACTCTGACGTAGTAATACGGGATCAAGTTGCAGAGGGAAACCATCTAGGACAAGTGTATATTCTTTAACCTGTCCAAACAAGTTTGAGTCAAATTTTTTAGTGCACGTATGACAAAGAGGAGGAACTTCAAGGGTTGTTATGTATCACAGAAGCACAAGGTAACACACTACAAAATAAGAAAAAAAACCAGAAATGGTGAAATGATGAATCATCAGCCAAAATACAATACTAAGTCAGAGACAGATGTAATCACCTATAGCCAGAACTGCATATATAGAGCGCACATACCCAGGTAATAACACTCTACCTCTCATATGATCCTTAGACAAGAGCGCAGGAAACGCTGTGTCAGATTCTAATAGACTTGTTCCGGGTTATTTTCAGGTGTGGTTTTACGAAAAAAAGGCCCAAAATCCACCCATAAAGAATATACAGTACAACCTCCAATCATTTCAACATATGGGGACAGTCACATACAGGCGTCGCGGGGAAGGCTCCCAAACTCATGAAAGCCATCAAAGAAGAAAGAACTGAAACTTTCTGGATGGGGGTACCATGTATTCAGAGATTTATTGAGCAAAGAGGAATTATGCAGTGGGATCTACCATAAAATCCAGAAGGCGAGAGAGAGTTTGAATTCTGCAATGATATGCAAGAGTTTGAGAAATTCCTGCCATGCTTAACTCTGCTACGGTATGCTTCTTCTCTACTGAATCACTGTGAAGAATACTGTTCACTGTCATAGTTTTCTTTTTTTTAATCACTAACACCAAATAACATCCACCCAGAGCAGATTGCAAACAAGCAAAAGCCATAAACAGGGGATATAATTCCTTCAAGGTGAAAGATGGTAATGAACATCTTTTCCAATCTATTGTGAAGTGTGGATCTCTTCCAGATGCAAGTCCTAACAATAATACAATAGGGCCAAACCAGATCAGAAAGAAAACTCACCAACTCTACAGAACTGGCATTTACCTCTTGAAACCATCGATAATAATGGAACCATCTGTCCCAGGAAATTAAGATTCTGAACGTTTAGGTGTCTCTATCGATATCAGACGGTAATGAAAAATGCAAAGGTCGGCAGCAAACCATTAAAAAAATTTAGACCCCATGAACCAGCTGAGACAAAATTTAAGACGCATTTTAGAAGCAATTAAATTATTGGAAAAATATATGGATTATCCCACCCTTTGACTGTATTCCCTGTACTCTACAAGGAAAAAAATTATGAAATACACGCATATACCCACACCTACACAGTGACAGATTATCTATGTATTTCGGAGGAATAGCCTTCAACTTGCTCGCCAAAAGAAAATTCTCAGTCCTTAGTTTTATCCAGAAAGACCAGCTGATAGATCACTCAAAGTCCAGATATTTTTCTAGGTTCATTACCTCATATAAAATGCGCGGATCAAAATTTGGCGATAAATCAGGCATCACAACATCTACACATCCAGTAGAATCCACCAGTTGTAATCTTCCAGAGGATGGGGAGACCTGGTATACATCAGTAATCAGCGACATTCAAAGCCAAGTACTTTACATTTTCTAATACACGAGTGTGTGAATGCTTCCCAAGAAAGAAAGAACAATCAAAACCTATTAATCCCTTTTTTTTTTAAAATGCACAACGTGCTATTTGCCTCAAGAAAGAATATAAAGAAAAAATAAATAAAGAACAAAAATTTATGTCGTAACAAAATGTTCTCACCTCTTGAGAAATATAAACACCAATAAAAATAGGCGTCACGGAAGCTATTTGCTTTTAATATTATTTCAGAAGAAACCTAACCATCTAAATCAATTCATAGGAATGTCCAACATTGCAGAACTAATTACAGCAGGAGATACTGCGCCAATAACGTTTTACATAATAAGTTAGGAACAGTTCCATTTGAAAAATGCTAGTATTCAAGATTGAATGAGAAGATACAGGCTTCTCCGACACAAGTTCCTCCTCAAGAAAAATATACCATCTAAGTATAAAACACAGACATAGAAGATCTCAAATTCTAGAATGATAATCAACATCAGCGTAGTCATGAGCGAGGGAGCTGAGATCACTTTTTCTTCCAGTTGTATATATTGTTGCATTTGACTTCCAATCAATAGCAGTGCATACCGTTAAGCAGAAAAACCTACAAATATTGCATTCAGTGTGTGCATGCAAATGCATTTGTAAATCATTAATCAAATGTTTTGAGCTGACACCTCCTTGGGATAAACCAGTCGCATGTTGCGCATAAACTGTGAGACAGGTAACGCCAATTGATCACAGCCAACCTGAATAAATTCTTACTTTACTCCTCCCTCTTCTATCCCCATCAATGAATGCTTCCATTAATCAATAATGAACAAAAAAAATGCTCTCCATGCCCACAGAAAAGATAACAATATTGAATGTAGCAAGACTATAAAATATGAACGCCCACCTGGAGAAAACCAACAAGGACAAGACCTAATTCCTCACTTGACATGATTTTTCTGGTCATTCGATGGTGATATTTTTCTTCACAGAAAACATGGCTCGCATAACCGTTCTCCCTTCTTATTTCAGAATCAGCTTGCATTTTCAACAGTGTAGACATCCAAATTGTTATGCACTTGCCAATGAAATTAGATAGAGGCACTACCTGAAATTTAAGAAAACTAGGCACCTCTATGTGAGAAATGTGTATTGGAAAAACATTAACATTTTAAGTAAATAGGTTGCAGGTATAAATGAGGATAATACATCAAAAGGCTCCAAATCAAAGCTTACCATCATCAAAGGCACATCATTAGAATTGTTTCCGAAAGAACTGTGATCATGATTACAGAAATCCTCGAATGCCCCTATCTGCCAGTAGAATTGCACCAAAAATTTAGCATCTAAAATTAGGACATAGTAACCAAAATAAGATACCACGGTCACTATCGTAAATCTCACTTAAATGGGATGAGAAAATCGACAAAAAAAAAAGAGGCGATCCTTGTCCAAAAAATAGATACACATTCTGGCAGGATGAATTTGTTCTCTAGACTAAATTTACAGTTGACAATGTAAATTCAGAAGAATATGAACGCTTTCATGCCAAATTCCGTAGCATGCAGATAAGGTAATGTTCCCAGATTCAGGCCCTTACTGAAATGGATCTTTAAAAATGCTAGAGAAGAGGAATATAATATCAATTCAATATCATTCACTGGACAGAAGATCAGTGTAGAGGTAGCATTAATAATAATGAGTGAAATCGCTGAGAATTATAAATTTACCTGATGTTCAACTGTACTTGAAGGTAGGGACAATTTGCAATAATTTTCGACCAATCCCTCTTTCTGAAAATACCTAACATGATATCACTGTGAGCTTAATATATTTCAAAAACAAAAAAAAGCACGAGAAGACTATTAGCAATGTCTAAAATCAGTGGTTTTCAAAAGTAATAAGATACGTTAGCAATGCCTAAAATACCAAGGGAAAACAAAAATGAGACTTAAATCAAGAAGCATTTTACCTTTTTCGTCCCCAGAATTTCTTTTTCAGAGAGAACACCAGCAAACTTTTTCTGGAAAGATGAGGTCACCAGAAGAGCCCTGAAATCAAACAGGTGACGACAGTGAAGAGTGAAGGATAATTATCAGAACATAAGCCAAAGGATGATAATAGAAAATATTCCTCAGCAACCTTACCAAAATCTGGCATAGAAGGGCAATGAATAAATGAAATCCCATAGAAGACTTTGTCTTTGACGCATAGAGTGACAACTGGAGTGAACATCTGAGGGTTCAGTGTCAATTTTCAAGAAAAATATCATTGCATGTGGTCAGATTGTAGCTATATGAGACTCACCGACTGTCAATAAGTGAAAACGACTTGACCTCAATGCTGGTCTTGATGAAACTCCCAAGTAGAAGAATTTGGATCCATGGAAAACTGGGACGAATAAAGAGCACATTCTTCACAGTGATCTATGTGAGAACCGGACATCAGTCGACAGGGAAAAATGGGAAGCCACCATGAATTGCCATCTGGAAATCGGAACTTAATTTGATTTGGAAAAAAAATCATCCAGCTTTCTTAGAATCTAATCTTTACAACATGGAAGTTCAACATAAAGCTGAGGTCATTTTTTTCATGAAAACGCCACAGGACAATAGTTCGCAGTGGTTATTCACAAAATTGATTATCTGAAATAATTAAGTTGACGAAGAACTCAGATATTTTCCTTTGATGGTTTATTCCCTTTCTACAAAAGTGAAGAGTAATCGAATAGTCATTTGTTCAGATAACACAATACCACTAAATTAGGCAGCTCTAAAACGTCAACGAAGTTGATTAGGTGTAGTTGTGATCGCAAATATTAAGTACATTATCCAAGCTAAAGCCAGAAAGTAGAAGCCTACCACAGCACCAACTCTAAGAGAGTGAGGAAGATCGAGCAGGGGACCCGCTAACAGAAGCCAGACATTTTTCCTGTCCAATTCAACAACCGTTCCATTCTTGAAAACACCAGTAACTACTCCACAATAGTTCCCAACATGGCTCCCCTTTCTTGGGAGAGCACTTCTTTCAGCAGACCCGCAATCCCCAGGCTTCCCATTTTCATGGACAATTGTTCTCTCAGTTGTTACAAATATCAAGGATTCTAACCCTCCTGCAGAGATATATTTCTTCTTCAAGCCCGAGACAGTAACGACGTCGCCCAGCAGCTTAGAGAGAATCGGCCGCCATGAGGAACAGGGCTCACGGAAGTAGACAAATACTGGGTTGTCGAAAGAATGGACCTTTTGATCCAGCAGACAATGGTGGAGCTCTTTCACGGACCTGGCTTTCCCACAGGAGTCGCACTTGCAGGTGCTAAGTTCTACAATGAAACCCTCTAAATATGCACCATCTCCAGTTTCGTCGCGAGCATTCCCTTGAAATCCACCATGCTGCACGGAGAAGGGAACCGAAAACACCGGACTCACTGCCGCCAACACTCCCCAAGCACAAGAACGAACTCTTGAGCGATCTTCTCGCCGAGGAAAATGCAAGGGTACCGAGGGACGAGCATCATTTCCAGGTTTTGACGCCTGATCGGGGAGACTCCACTTGATCACCTCCAAAACCCCGCCATCGCGAGAGATAGGAACGAAATTCCAGGCGAGGACGTAGATCTCTCTCCCGACGATGGCCATGTCCAGGTCCAGAACGGCGCAGCAAACCCTCCCCGATCCGTCGGAGAAGCAGAAGCAGTGGTTACCGGAGCTGCAAATGCGGGAGGAGCCATCGTCGCCGGTGAGGCCAAGCGTACCGACGAGGACGGCCGGAATATTGAGAGGACGAAAGGCGTGGAGAGGAGCGACGGGTTCCCCATCGCCGAGAAGAGGAGCTCCTTCCCCCTTCTGCTTGTGCGAGGGTGCCAGGAAAATGGCGGAGGCCCTCCGTTCGTTCTGACGGAGCGAGAGTGACGACGCTCCGGTGAGAGGGCGCCCGATTTGCAGTAGCTCGGAAATCGCGACGACTCTCGCGCCTTCCATGGCTCCTCCTCCTGCCGCGAAGAGAGAGAGAGAGAGAGAGGGAGAGAGGCGGAGGGACGCTGTGGCTTCTACGAGAAACAGGAGTTCGTCTACAAATACAAGAACAGGAAGGTCCTTTTCAGTAAATTCGCCTCCACCTTCCCCATCTCCATGATCCATGCTGTGAGCTCCTCTGGATCAAACCGCAGACTCCAGAATAGTTCATTTGCATGCTGGAAAAGAACCAACTACAACAAGCAAACCAGGCCCGACCAAGGAGATGGCGGAAACCGTACACAGATAGCATCAAGCCCACCACATACACTCATACGTCTACTCATTGATATTCCGAAGAACAACGGATTTGCAGATAAAAACACGTAAATATGGTCTCTTACAAGCCGATAGACAGAGAACGAGGCTGTTCTAGCCCAGATCAGGGACGGTGAAGTAGTCGTCCGCATCCAGGACTTCGACCCTCTGCTTCTTGAAGGGTGTTGTCTTCGCCAGGCGGTAGGCGGCGGCATGGCTGGGCGGGGAGATCGGCAGCTCAGGGACCTCAGCGGCTGATGTGGCCTGCTTGGGCGCCTGGTCATGGAAGAGGCCGATGTCTGCAAACCAGTCCAGCTCTCCGAAATTATCGGGGGATCCCTTCTGTGAGATCCAACAGATAGGGACGTGAGATCATCCCGTCGAAGCCCATCGGGTCCAAATAGGGTTTTAAGCTTGGGATATTACCTTGTCGCTGGATTCGTAATCAGACAGCTGGAGGAACTCGTCCACAGCCCACGCAGAAGGCGTAAATTCAGAGGAAGCTTGTTGGCCGGTGGGAACTTTCTGAGCGAGAGGATGGGGCGTCTGGTTCGGTGGCTCGGTGAAGGCCTTGCCTGCCGCGTCTTTGTGGCTGCACGCAGAGGTCAGCGCCACGCGAATCCCCGTCGCCAGGAGGCGTTGATGGTGCCCAGAGAGACTCCCCGGCACATGAATGGATTCGTCGCAGTCGCGGCAGAACAGCGCTCTGTCTTCCACACAGAAAATAAACGCCGGCTTTTCCTGAAAGAAGAACGATGACGATGACAATGGCGGCGAAGTTCAGATAAGCATGATTACTGTTGATATAAGCGAGCAGGACCAAATCTTAACATACTCGGCAGCATTTTCTAAGATCACCCCCACCTGTTTTTCAGATCCCAACTAGTGATAAAAATATAAAACAAAAATCTTTATTTCTACGCGCATATAGAAGGCTGTTTTCTTCCTCTTCTGGATTTTTTCCAGTAAGATGCTCACCTATGGCTCCAGTACATAATCTCTGCCCATGAAGAAATTCTCACCAGAGTCATTGGAAAATGCATAGTGCAGAAATCAGCTATGAACACACAACCCACCAGGTATGAAGTCTCATGAGGATAGGTACTGGGCACTTTGGTGCTCCAGAAAAATCATTTCTTTCGAAGACCCAGTTACCCTGCTGACCCAGCTTAAGGCTGGGAGAACTCAGCTGACCCAGACTGCTTGGTCAGAAATGGACTGACCCAGAACTCCGACCGCTGGTTCTTGATCCCAACTCTTGACTGTGTTGATTTGCCCATATTAACCCAACTACGGGTCGATGTATGTGTTTATGGCTAAAGAAGATCAATAAAAAACGCTACAAAAAAAAAGAAAAATTGCGCACTACGATCAAGTATGGTTCCTGCGATTAAATCGAACAGCCAAGCAGATAGATCCAAGGTTTGTTTGTACTCCGGTAGTTCCTGGCCAACACATTCCTCTTGTGGAAGATGAAAGAGGATAACGATTGCGAAGAACATAGACAGAGAACGAGAGGGCAAAATTACTAATTAAATCGAACGCGTGATTGGAATAGCTAAGAACAGGGGGCAAAAGTCGGAGGTGTTACTTGGCAGATGTCGCAGCGGGGAAGCTTGGTGGACAGGCAATCGAGGCGGAGCCTCTGGTGCTTGCTAGCCAGCTTGTTGGCGGCGTGGACTTCCAAGTCGCACTTCGCACAGAGGGCGGCCTCGTCGGCGCAGCATATCACCGTCGCCGGCGCCTTCTCGCACACGTCGCACTGGATTTTCATCTTCCTTCCTGTTTCTCTCTCTTCCTAGGTCTCGTGCATGCGCTAGAAACGGCAAATCCGGCAGCACCAACCCTGGAATAGCACGATTCTTTGGGAATACTCGACAGTGATTCCCTGGTAAGCGGCCAAATCCCTGAGATCGGGGGCCGAGGAAACCAGTGAAGGTCCGGCCGTGGAAGACACGGAAGAAGAGGAAGAGAAAAGGGGATCTGGGACTGAAATGCGGAGATATACGGCAATCGCTCACATAGGAACGATAAATCTGTGCGGGGTTGTGGCTCTCGACACCTGTAGCGCCGACCTCCGGGGAAATCTTCCCGAGCTCCTCATGTCCGGAGGGGAGGTACTCCGAAAACTCGTGGCTGTGGTTCCTCCCTGAAACTTGTGGCCACCAGCGCCTCGACCCGTCACACTCCGGACCATAACTTAGAGCTCTCATCTCCTTTGAAACAGACTAATTTCTCCTCCCCTCCCCCCGGAAGAAACGAGAGAGAGAGAGAGAGAGAGAGAGAGAGAGATACAACCGCCCCCAACCCTAGAAAAAAAATTGATCTTTCTCTTCTCTCCCCGCGACGGCCGTTGACCCATTCGCGCGGATCAACGTCGGCAATCAACGAGACACTTCAGAGACAGCAGTCTAAGCGAGGAGAGTAGCTGGAGTCAGTAGAGACAACCGTAAAGAGAAAGTGACGACCGTAAGCATTAAGAGAGTCAAAATCTGATGATACCCGGCGTCGCTATTTTGCTTACGCCGATCCAAATTCGGATAAAATCAGAAACCCACTTCGTCGGCGACATCACGAGAATTACGTATCATATCTCAGGATTTTTTATTACGCGGGGGAATATCTCCCCCGAGAAATCTGACCCTTATCCTACGCGTGGACCTTCTCTTCCCTCGGAAAAGCAGCGACGTGGTCGCGGAGAAATCGTCCAGGGTTGGTCGTGGGGATGATTCGTCAACGGCGCGGAGACATCTGGGAGTTGTGGACGGAGAGAGAGCGGCCAGAGCGGCGGGTGAGCCCGCCACCGGCGGCGATCTCACCGCCGCCGTCGCCGTCGCCGTCGCCGTCGCCGTCGCCGTCGCCGTTTGACTGGCTTTGATGGTAGGGGGAGCCCTCCTCCACCCGGCACGCTGCCACTCCAGGGGGGAATGTACGGTGCACGAAAGCTCGACGGTATGGTCCTCTGGTCGCCATCAAGAGCCGCCGCCGCCACTGAGGGCCCCCCACCAACTTGCGTTTCTGTTAGAACGCTTGGCTAGAGGGACGCAATCGGCTCTCTCATCTAGGGACCGTTCGCAGACTGCGACGTAATGTCATGGTCAAAGTTGGTCAACGGTTAAGAAAGAGTGCTCTCTCACTATGGCTGGGCAGAGATTCTGGTCCGTCCAGCCCATTTATCCCGCGATCCATAGTATCATCGATTTTGCAGGTCCGATCACTTGGAAGCCCGGCCCATTCAGAGTTCGTGGAAAATGGGCCGACCCACTTTGCAGGGCATCCACTGAAGCTGGGGCCCACGGGTGGGGTCCATACTCTCGGCCGGGAAAATTCAGGTTCTCTCTCTCTCTCTCTCCGGATAGGACGGTGAAGATCTCACGGATCGGTTCCACTGAGCCGGGTTTCATGAAGCTACTCCAGAGAGAAAATGGGCCAGTCAAGTTTAAAGCCCAGCCCATTTTCGTTGGTCTAAATGGGCCAACCCACTTTACAGCTCACGAACCATGTACTCCAGCTGGGCCCTCGAATTTCATCTCGGTAGAGGAAAATCAGTTGAAGACCACTGATTGGACGGTGGAGATCTCACCGCTTCCAAAGGTGATGTTGGACAACCTGGCTTCACGAATCTGCTCCAAAGAAGGGGGGGCAGGGCCTTTCCTGGTGCACCTCTTTCGCGGCGGTTGCCGTTGCCAGTCGTCGTCGCCGCCGCCTCTGTTCTTCCTCCATTCGCCCGCCATTTTACGCGAGGAGGAGAGATATCGGAGGAATCGCAGGGTAGAAGGAGAGGGAGGGTGGGATCGGAGGGGGAAACCCTAACTGTAAGGAACGCTGCGCCGCGCCACACTGGCCGCAAGGCGGGAAAGAGGCGACGAATAGGGAAAGGAACAGATGAGGGGACAGTGACGGAGGCGTCGGGAGCGCGGAGATCAACTGAGTGTGTACGTTGGCGGTTTGTAACGTTTCCTACGTTTCTTTGATTGCTCGCGAGAAATGCGCCTGCCATCATGCTCCAGATCTCCGTCTGCCCCACCATTCTCTCCTCGGCCAGGCCCCGTTCTTCCTGTGCATCGCGGTGGCTAAATGCTGCCGGCCTTTCTTTTTTCGGTCTTCTTCTGCTGGTGATTTAGTTTTCACTTGGCGTTCAAGCTCGATTTGAGACTCCGGGAAACTGAGCGTCAGAAGCTGTAGGCTTCTTGATATTTTTACTCCTCTGCCCAGACTTATGCGGACGTTCTTGGCTTGCTCACCGAGGAAGTTAGCAATCTATGTGGATCCTTTATTTTTGTCTACCTGCGTGACGGTGACACCTTGGTTTGCACTGCGTCACAGTCTTTGATAAGGTGACGTCGACGATATATAGTATCTGACGAATTTCGAACTCGTCCGATGTACCAGTTTTCTGTGTCTCAGTGTCTGCAGCATCATTCTCGGCTACTTCATATACTTCTGGGATTCGTGTTCCAATTATCCCTTTTTGTATGAAGTTGAGAAAATGCTATAAATATAACGTAAACCCTGTTTAGCGAAGAAAAATCTTCATGATACTCTTTGCCTCTATTCCTCAACCAATCTCTGAAGTGTCGTATTTAGTTCGAATCTCATATGCATTTGCGGGCATCCTGCCTTTTCTTAATAGGACATAAAACGTGTCTTTTTTTTCTAAGTAGCTAAGCTGTTCCTCATCGCGAATTTGTGGAAATTCAGGTTCGATTAGTAAAAAGGGGTCTTAAAAAAGTTCTGAGTTGCCCTTTTTCCCTGATAAACTCTCAAATATTGCTTTGGATGGTTTATTCAGGTTCTTTGGAACTATAATTTTCATAACCAGTGCAACTTTGGGCTGTATTGGGCACGGTGATCTCAAGAATCAGCGTGCCCCTTTTCACACTTTGCATGCAGAACTAGATTCATCAACTTGAAGTTTCGTGCCTCTTCTTTAACTTTGAAGGAAGATGACGGCAGCCGAACTTGTCTATTCTGCAACGAGTGATAAGCTTAAAGAAGTGGATTGGACGAAAAATATTGAAATCTGTGAACTAGTCGCTTGTGATAGCGGGTACATTTCTTGAGACACGTCTCTTGTACTTTCCTTTCCTGCAGTTGTTTCCAATATCAGTGTCCTGATGGCTACTGCTTGCCATCATGTAAATTTTCTCTAATGCAATATATCACTAATAGTAGCAGTAAAGTTATGGTCGCTTAACAGAAAAAACAGTAATGAATGATAGAAAGGACTGCCGTTTTATAGGTATGTAGTGATGTTAATCGCTATACAAGGTCCCAAGTGCTTTATTTTTCCTGCATTGTCTGAGCTGAATGCAGGTTCCTGTAAAAGGTGTGCCATGAATTACTGGGAGAGAAGTGTCTTGAAGATACCTAGTGTTCTTTTCATACCAGCATGTACTCTATTGAGATACGAAAGAACAGTCATTGCTCTCCTTTTCCACCAAAAAAAATGTAGAAAAGAAACGTTTATGTACTTTTGTTTTAGCCAAAATGACTTTCATTCATCATTTTCCCAATATCCTTGGTCAATAATATAATTCGGTTATGAATACGTTTTTTCATGTCATCTTGATACTACCACCCTGTAACATATTTCATTTTCATGTAAGCTCGTGTAGGGGATTTACTTCTTCACTGTGTGCCATGATTGTTAATGTAAATAGCCGGTCACGTCCTTATTACTGGATTTGTAAGTCAAGTGTCTCTAGGCTGTGGAGTTGCTTTTGTTCTCTAATGGAGAATTCCTCATATGTCCGTTATTCCAAAGGATAATGTCATCTCGCAAACTACATTTGCATTTAGAGTCTCGATGTTGAAGAGATTGTTACACTTGTATTACTACTATATGAAGAAAAGGAGCTTACAGATTCTGCTTTCTAAAATGTGTAATAATCAGCGGGAAAGTATCTAAATTGAAGCTGACCTGTAGCAAAAGGTTTCTCCTAATTGCAGACTAAATTCAGGTGAATAGTGGTCATCATATATCTTCCAGTTCTTTTAGTATGTGTTGCACTGTCAGGGAAACCTAGCGTTAGCAGACAACCAACCTCTTTCAAATCAATGTCAAAACCTGCTGATGGTGCTATGTAGCCTTGTCTTTGCTGGGCTTCCACATGTAACATTTTTTTCTAAAGGTATTAGCCTATTAATTAAGTTCCCTGGCTAAACTCAGAGTCTCTAAATCCCTGATTTTATATGCTTAGAATGCTCTTTTTTCCTTCATACTTCCATATTACATTCGTTCGGTTTGATCAGCGAAACTCCATCTAGAGTTTAGAAAGTTTGTTTTGACTTTTCTTTATCTGCTCCTTGCTTCACAATTGGGTATAGAAGTAGATATCTTTGTTGAAGTGGATAATAATTACTTATTCTGTTTTGGAGTACCAGCCATGCTAAGGAGGTAATCAAATCTATCAAAAAGCGTCTTGGGAAAAAAGATCCAAATGTTCAGCTTTATGCTGTAATGGTAAGTTCATGTTTTCCACTTGTATTGAAATATCGTTTTTAAATGATTCAACCATTCTATATTTTATTAAATGATAGAGCTTTCGTTGACTGTGCTTTCATTGCGAAGGGTATTTCCTTTTAAGTGGCATTCTTCAAGTAGGTTCAACAAGTTTCGGTAACTTACAGCCTTTGTTGTGACTCTGGGGCTTATGTATTGCTGATGTTTCTACATCACTAATCAATTTGACTGATTGGTGAGATGTGACGACCTACATATTTGGCAAACTTATGTCAACTTAGCTTTTTCAAGAAATATATGTGAAAAAGGAGATCGTATTTTCATTCTTTGCCGTTTCAGTGGGGGCCATCTGAAAGATCTAATGATTGTAGGATGTATCCATTGTTCATGTTATCCATGTGATTAGTGGATTATGGGCCTCTGCAGTCAGAGAAAGTCCAAACTTCGTTCACGCTTAAACAGAAGAGTGGCAGCTAAGCTGTCGTTCTTTGGAGCTAGACATTATGTGTAAAATAATGTTTAGGCGTCTCTTTTACGTTTTAGTGGAATTTTTATTCTAGAACAACATGCAATTCAGACGTTTAGCTGGCATGAATATCACTCCCATGATCTGATTTTCCTCATGCTGATGACACGTCTTAGTTCATGAGAAGCTGGACGTTTTCTGCAAAAGTTTTCAGTGTGCATAACAAAAACAAAGGTTGGGATTATTTATTGTTCATGCCAGAAATTTTCAGATAATTTGCTTACGCTGTTTACATTTTTTCACCAGCAGTTAGTCTTGGAAAATTTCTGCTTATGGGATGCTTCTTTGGAGCCGTCATTGTTAGTTATTTCCCACAATAACTTCTCAACAATTGTTCAGTTGACTTGATATTTTTAATGTTATCATTGAGGTTAAAGAGTACTGTTTTCGTGTGTGTGAGCTTTCACAACTATGACTTCAGGGTGTTATGGTTGTGAAGAGATTCATGAGCATTTGGGAATCTCTTTGGTTTAATGTATCGCCTGTGTGATGTGTCTGTGGGTACTAGATAGATTTGAGCGTGTGCTCTACAAGTGGTTTGAACTGATTGCTTCATTTTTGCTTGATTTTTGTCTATATATTTTCTTTGGGTGTATTGACCCATATCAATGTTTAGTGCGCGTAAGATATATAACTTGTGTCAATTGTCCTGGGAAGATTCTTCATAGTGAAGTAACTTGATTATTTTTTCGTGGTATAGGGTTAAAAAACTTTTGATGATCGTGATGAGAGTTTCTGATTGGTGTATGAAAAGAGAATGAAAATTTGGCTCCTTTCTCTACTCCATTTAGCGATGATTATAATGATGGACCCTATTGGCTGTTGTTTTTGAGTGGGATGGCCTAAGTATCATAGCAGGTCCAGCATTCGGTATTTTTGGTTTCTTTTATGTGCATTTATTTTCCTGGCTATTTTTATTGTTCGTGGAGATCATTGCATCGTGTAAACCCAGTATATTTGATTTGTCGAGGGAATTAAATGTTTTGATGTTAGTGCAGCTGTTAGAGACGCTTGTGAATAATTTTGGAGAGCGTATTCACAAACTGGTTATAGAAAATGATCTTCTCCCCATACTTGTAAAGATTGTGAAGAGGAAGGTTTGTTAAGTTTCACTTAGAAACCCTGTCATTTGTTATTGCCTTGAAGATTTTTTTCCCTGTACAACTTATGCCCTGTTTTGCAGACAGATTTTCCAGTTCGTGAGCGGATTTTCCTCCTTTTAGATGCTACACAAACTGCCCTGGGCGGAGCATCTGGGAAATTTCCTGAATACTATGCTGCTTATTATGACCTGGTGGTACGTATGGGATAAGCATGCAAAAGTGTTTATGAAATAAGTGTTGGTACTGAAATAGAGGCAAGGAAATCCGTCAATTTTATTCGTCCTTTCATTAGAGTCATTGCCATAATTCTTTTGTACAATCAGTTCCTTTTTTTCCTCACTGACAGTTTAGCAATATCAGATTTACCCCTTCCAGATTAAAAATGTCATTCTTTGCTTAATACAATTAGCAATTTAAGTTTTTTAATCCATATTCTCATGTTAAATATGATGTAATGATTAAAAAATTGTCCTTTTCAGTCTGTTCGCGTGCAGTTTCCCCAACGCCCTAGTGCTCATCAAAGCCCTGCTTTGACAGCCGATACAAATGGTTTGTTGAACCAGCAATCTGCCATCTCAAATAATGAAAGACACACGCAAAAGGGTTCTACACAGTCATATGGAGACTCGAGGTATATGGAATTAATATCATGTGTTATTTTCCTCATCTTTACCGTAAGCAGAACTCCCCCGCTAATGAAAAACAGAAATATGGAAAGCTGATAACAATACCGTCATCTTCATAATCTGCAGAAAGAAGAAAGCATTTTGTGTTTTAAGAGGAACATGGGTTTATTATCCGAAACATAATTCAGCACGTGTTACAATCAGATTTCTCATCTTCATGAACATAATGCGTTATTGAATAAATAGAAATTTTTATTTATCTTTTCTGTATGTGAGGGTGTCTTTAGTTTGATACATTAGTTAAAAGGGCTCTTCATGCAGAAAATGTTCATGAAAAGCTGATCAGGTTAAGTGCTGTTAGCCTAGTTTTTTACTCAGTGAATTGTCGGTCCCTGGTCACCATTGCGCATGCATTTTAGTTAGTTTGTAGGGACGAGTGCTGTTGTCTGGGTTTCCACATTTTACAGTGTGATTCAAAGGATCTGGCATTCTAATGGCGAATCAATATTCTTTGCCTGATGTCTTTTCCTCTCACTTGATCTATTGCAGTATCATTCACAAGGCTGCGAGTGTTTTGGAGGTTTTGCAGGAAGTATTAAATGCTTTGGATCCTAAAAATCCCGAGGTATGATTTAGACATTAGAGTGCAGATTTTTCAAGTGTAGGTAACTACAGAAAATATTTCGTGTGATACATAAGAGAGCAATGATCCTAGCATTCAAGTTATTGGGCTCTTAACATCAATTTTACCAGATAAGGCACCTACGAAAAATTTCACTCTCTACTGCACCTTTGAGATGTGACTGGGGAACGAAGGGGAGAAGGCAGAAAGAAAAGTAAATGACGGAATTGGGGAAAAAAGGAAAGATAAATGAGAGTTAAATTGTATTTTTCTTTAACATCTTCCCTCAAACTATATTAACTTCGTATTCCACTACCATCACCATTCTTTGAATTTCACCTCGTCGGAACTGTGGGTCTGGTCAGTTCACTTGGGTCAACTTGCTTTGACTTGATCAATAATCGTGTGTGCAGGGAGCAAGTGATGAATTCACCTTGGATCTTGTCGAACAATGCTCTTTCCAGAAGCAACGTGTCATGCATCTTGTAATGACTTCACGGTAATTCTCATCTGCTTTCTTTCTTATTCTGTCGTTACATCATTAGCTCAGTTTCCTTAAGGAGATCACACTGTTCCTATGACCTTCTAGATTACTCTAGCTTGTTTTTTATCCTTCAAAATGAAACCAGTACCTTACTTTTGTCTGAAATTTGCATTCGCAAGTTGGTGCCAATTTGATTAGACAGCAAGTGCGTGATTTCACACACATCAGCATACACTTACTTTGAGGTTGTACTTTGTCTATAATCCTAAAATAGTGGTGCCATGGATGATGAAGGTGATTTTGTCAGGCATATTGGTTGGCAATTCGCGGAATATTTACAAGCTGTTAGTCTCACAAACTTGTTTTTACGGTAGTGGTAAAAAAGACTGGCCTTCCCCTTGTTTTGATAGCAAGTTAAACCATCGAACTTTCAGCAGTTTTCCTGGTCTACACGTACCAGAGGCATGCTTTCATATCTTGCTTTCTAGTGTTGAGTGATTGTAAAAGATCTTGTTATCGAAAAGGGTGTTGTTCATTCCACTAATGCTCCTACCAGATTTAAACGGAATGTTCTGCTTTCTTCAGGGATGAGAAGTTGGTGTCCCGAGCCATTGACCTTAATGAGCAGCTGCAAAAGGTGCTGACTAAACATGATGCACTTCTCTCCGGAGGTGTTACCTCCTCCGTGAGTTCTTTTGATCATGAGCAAGTAGTAGAAGAAGAAGAAGAAGATGCAGATTGTCTTCTTCGCAGGTCGGTTATCAGTCTGTTTTATGCCCAAATCACTTAATAAGATTATTGATCGCAGTGATCTTTATATGTAAAAGTTCGATGGAACATGGTTTCTCGATCAGAATGTAATATACATATTTATATGTATTACATTACTTACATATAATATTATTCTTATTGTGCATCTATGGGCACATACTAAAAATGATGCCCACGTTGTGATATAATGTGGATCCAAGGAACATTGATCGAAAGAACTGGTTTAAATCGAATTACATGTATGCCATATATCGAATTACAGTGTATATGGGAGTAGAAATCACAAATACATCATGAATTATTTTGCATTTTATTATCCCCTTGTTATTTGGTTACAGATTGCGGAAAGGGAAAGCTTGTGCAAATGACCATTCAGAGACTTTCTCCGGCTCATTTGGCTCCGCTCGTGGAGAAAGACTAGGCAGGCCTGTTTCACGGGCACTTTGCATAGAACCATTGGATTCAAATGGTTCGACGCCTTCGGTTCCAATTCCCCCACCCCCATCCAGGTCTGCAGAGAGGGAGAAGTACTTCAAGGAGAAGAAAGTGGGGGATGGTCCAACCTTGGCTGGACACATGCGGGGCCTCTCCCTGCACAGCAGCAGCAACGACAGCAGCTCTTGTGGAGGCAGCGTGGACCTAACTGAGCAAGGCCATCTTGGTGTGACTGACGGCAACCGACCATGAGGTGAGACCATCTGAATATGACTCTCTCTGATGTGTTAGTCTGTGCAGTAGATTGGCCCATAACTTATCCGCCCATCTCCTCGGAGGTTTCATTGATTTATGGGGCCGAGCCCCTGATGAAACCCGTACCATTAGCCCTTATGGATTGGTCTTGTCCTGCTGTTTATAATAGGTGAGTCGAGCCCGTTCTCGTGCCCGTTTTACCCTCCTTTGCTCATTTCATTCGGCCCTTGTGCAGATGGGTCCATGTCACTGTTCTGTCATCGTTTTTCTTAATGGAAATTTCCATGGCATTCCAATAGAGATGTCAGAGTTTTGTGAATGGAGAATGGATCCGAGAAGCATACTTTTACATACAGATCCTGGTAGAGATTGGCCTCGATTAGAGGAGAAAAAAAAAATTGGTAAGAGGAGACCTTTACATCAGATCACGATGTGTATGATCCTAAAATAGTATCAAATCCAATCTTGTTTTACGAACTGGTATTCAGGCCTTTTGGTTGTTTGCTTTGGAAAGAAAATCGCAAATCTTCTCACTACAGCTTCAATCTCCCAATATCTCTAGTCCCTTCGTTTCCCCTACCACGATCATCATTCATCTCCTTCCGTGCTATGTCGTGAGGGAGTCAGGTAGAGTGTTGCTGTGAGCACCCAGAACCTTCCCACCCACATCAGGGAAGCACTCATACCCCGGCAATGGGTCCACCTTCCCATCTCTCCCTACCAGTACTGGGTACCTCATTAGGTGCCCTTTCATCACTTCGGTCTCTTCAGATATGTAAGCCTGCCAATTGTTGTCCGACAGCTCATTCACACGTCTCACACACTCGAGAGCGTGTGGCTCTTCAAACACACCTTCGAGGGTTCCCAAGTGCTCAGCCCATAGGGACATCCGATATCCAAATACCTGTAGACAGAACAAGGACACCCATTTAGCCTTATGGTACATAGAATTGGTCGATCAAATGTTCTGGATTCGATTCTTGGGTGGGTGAACCTCCTTGGCCTCGTCAGGTTTCTAACAGTGTTTAAATGTATGGGGCATTCGATTCAGCCGGTCAAATCCAACCACGATTCGGATTGGCATTGACAAATTTGCTTCCATCTAGAATGGCCTAGTGAGATAGGTTTTCTCTGAACCTTCTGGTGGCGAGGTGGTTTGTCTACTGATGAACAAAGAAGCGGTGACCACAAACAGTGGAATGTTGGAATTAGATAAATAGCGAGGAAACTATGGTACCTGGCCACGAGGATGGCATTGCGTCCCACTCCATCTATAATTTGGCTGATAGGCTCCCATAGCAATTTCAGTGTCCCTTGAGCCATCTAGAGACCTTTGATTGATGTTGGCAGACCCGATCATCACGTACTCGTCGTCAACTATCATTCCTTTGGCATGAACATAAATCATGAATCTCCGGAACTTTTGACTCGGGCACTGCAAAATTAAGTGGAAGTATTGTGTTTGACCTCTGGCGATGAGATAGAAAGTAAAATCTGAAGAGTCACCCCCTGATCACATCTTTCTCATTGTGAATGCATATTCCATCTTAGGATTCACATGGGTATGTTTTCTTGGCAAACACCTTGACTCTCCGACTGCACCAATAATATGCAGATATGATTTATCTTATGGAGTAGTCTTGAGAACTTTTAAATGAATTATATTTCAATATCTAATTAAAGACATTTTCTGGAAACTTATAAACAAAATCACATACAAATTTCAGGTAGGTTGAAGTAATATTTACAGCATATTAATAGCAATATTATTGTTCTGTTCAACACGGGCAATTTACACAAGCAATCAAACCTGTGATGAAGTATAAAATATTCAAAAGTATCAGAAAAAATTGGGGTTCAATCAAATCCGCTTTTCCGATAGCAACTATGATGAAGTGGAGGATAAGATAAAAAAACCATACTGAGGAACTAGTCTCTGGTGGGTGATTTGTTGTGGATGTGTTTTCCTCTGGACCAGCTTCACGTTTCCCTAGACAGTAAAAATTCAAGTAGTCCAGTGGGTGGCTGTCGGAACCCACTTCCTCAAGTGCACCTGCAATGATCTTATACATCGTCTTCATTGTTTGCCCCTGCAATAAGGAATATATATCGGTTGGTCTTTTTTCTGTTATTTGCTAATATATTGTTCCGGTGATATCACCAAAAAAAATGTTCAAAAAGCCATAACAATCGAATGACAGTTTTAGAGGTGTTTAAAGGGAACAACATGATCCATAATGGAACACAATAAAAAGTTTCTGAGCTTTTTATGAAAATACGATGTAAATTTGGGTTTAAGGTTTAGGATTTAGGGTTTAGGGTTTGACATCTACCAAGAATATAAGGGACCAGATAATTAAATTATAAATGGCAGGAAAATTTGGATTTCATTTTGAAAAACTCTTTTACCTCGAGGTGAAACACAAACTACTTATGAGGTACCATGAATCAGATCGGGTGTATCAATTTACTAGGCCCTGTCTGACCCTAGCCTTTCTAAATACTCTAACCAACCATTTGGCCCAGCCATAAGATGAATTGAGGATCTAGCTTAAGTCAACTGGAAATTCGATGGTGCATCCACAATTAGCTAATTCCGGGCTCAGTCAAGTTCGATTTTTAGGGAGTGCAGCACGTCATCATTCCCCCTACTTTCCCCAATTAAAAATAAAATATTAGATTGGGAATACCGTGCTTTAATGGGCTCCATGACCAGGAATTGCTTCACAGCCGCTCAGAAGAATCCGAATACAAAATATGCGTGAACATCTAACCTGCCAGAACAGGATTTCTTGGACTGCAACTGTCGATGGAATGCCTTCAGGCCACATTGGAATAACAATATATGCGGCAAAACGTTCATCTGCCCTGATTCTGCTCGCAATCTTCAAGGCTATTTCCATGGGAACCAAGTTGTCTGCGCCTGTTTCAAATGATAGACTATGCAGCTTAAAGAAATGCATGTGCACTCAATATTGAAACAGAGGGGAATAGAGATTTCGGAGATTACTAAATATAAGGGCAAACAGATATTTAGTTTGCCTCGTTGCCTGAGTTGATTAGTTTTATGTATATCACTTGCCACTCGATGTTTACCACTGGGGTCCATCACGTCGAAACCTCAGTTATATTGGCTGGTTATTGTTAGGGTTAATAAATGGTGATCAGAAATCTGAAACAGAGAAGAGTGGTCCCATGCACCCTCCATTTGTGTTGTTTCATCCAGTACACTCAAGTTGAAGAAATATTAACAGGGTTAAATGATCTAGTCAAGAAAAGGGTTTCTATTTGGTATTTGCTTCATGAACTAAGGCGAGAGAGGCAAAAAAATCAGTTTGTATAGACAATAAAATTTCAGGAAAGTTGGTCATGCATTAGGGAAACTTGATCATAAAAAATCAAACATGAATTTAACAGATACTTGATACTGAAACCTGCATTCTTGTAGGATGGCCAACCATACGAAGATCCAACGAAGTACTGGTTCTCAATGTAGAGAAAATGCTGTGCAGACCTTATCGCTTTGACATATGCAGTATGTATGCTCCTGTCTATCTTCACGTTCTTTGCACAAACAAGGTTCTGCCAAACAGGGGAGAAGCTGAGAGAAAAAACCAGTGTATGCCTTGAAGAGACATTGACAACCTCAACTAGACGATTGGTTGGTCTCCTGGCGTTGATCATTAGATCCTTGTAGGGAGAGAAGGTTCACAAGGGAATATCTGTTCTAACCTTTGCTTCAGCCTCCTGAACCACCTTAGGGAATCCTTTTACTGAACCGGAGTCTATGGACCGGAAGATCTAGAAAATATTCGAAGATAATCACTAGATCAGATTTCATGATGTTGCCCATAAATAAAAGTAAACATGTGTCAGAACTTAACTACCGACCTGCACATGCCAATTTTCCATACATCCTCCATCAGTCAGATCCCACTGAGGGCAATCATGGGCAGACTTTGAGGGAGTCAGTATCCATGGAGTCTGGTCAATCTTTATGAGCGCATCGTTGTGCCAGTGAGCGACTTTCCTAACTTTGAAGCCACGCCATTTTGTTGTTTTCCTCCATCTTTGTTCAAAGTTTGTCAGCACATCATATGCAGCTGGGCCCTCGATTCTACAGTGTAGATCATGCCATGCTTGTCTCGGGCCATGATTATGAAGAAGCTGCACATGGTATCAAAGAAACAAAATTCTTAAGAGGTATAACGGGAAAGGGAAAAGGAAGATAAGTGGCAGAGAGAAAAGCATCACACAACTAGAAAGCTTGTCGACTTGGGGTTGAAGGTCTAGCTGTAACTATGACCGAATTTTCCCCTTCTTGCAGTCTTATTGAAAATAGATTTTCAAAATTCTTATAACAGGAACTCAGAATGTCTTTAATGCATATCAAGAGAATTTTTTATTTTTTTTAACGAATCATGAAAACTGAGCTGGATTTGATCGAGTCATCGAATCGTGTAGGTAAAGATGAGTACCCAGTATCATGTGATATGAATTCTTACTGGGTATGTAGGATTGTGAAAATCATTCTCAAACACGCTTTCAAGATCTGAGAAGAGCCAGTGCTCTGGTGTATCATAACGGCCGTCACATAGATCTAGACCACCGATAAAAGCTGTTATCTTCCGGTTATCTCCAGCAGCAGGTGTATCAACAAGCACACACTTCTGATGGTGCGAAAACAGAGTACCTACAACCTGGACCAGACAGACAGTTCTGATAAACGGTTAAGATCCGTGTACACAATAAAGAATATTTACAGTAAAGAAAAGCAAGACATCGTCGACTCCAAACAGAAAGTTTGAACAACACGTGAAACTTCAATATACCTTTTGTTTGACAATGCTGAGTTTATTGCTTGCGTACCGAGGAGCCAGTACACATTGGACGCCGGAGTGTTTAAAAAATTTCCGGGTTTTTTCGTCATGAGTTTTCATAACACCATCCTGCACGGAGTCCATGCTTTAAGCATCATCCTCTCCTAGTGGGTAAACCCTATTTTTTTCGAAAAAATCAAGTTATATATGATTTCCAATTAATTTCATCAGAAACATAAACATGTATTTCACATGCTCTTCACTAAGCTTCAGCAGTGGTCTAAAGAGGATGAGAAAAGAGGCGAGTACCGTTTTCAGAATAAATTTGTCATGTGAAGTTTTGTCATCCCAAACGAGCATTAGTACACGAACACCCTCTTGGCTCTTGTGCTTCAGCAGCTCTCCTAGGGAGAATTGCCCTTCTTTTGGTACCGTGCCTTGATTCTCCCTTAGAAGCTTCACAGGGTGGTAGATTGACCACCCGGTAACATAGACGAGATGACGGGCGTTCAGTATTGCGCGGAAAATGTCTTCCCAGCATTTACCTTGTTCAAAAAGCTTTCCCCCTTCTATTGCGATCCTCGGTAAAGCCCCAGCAGGAACATGCGCATCTTGGTAAAGGGTAACCCTCCCTTCTCTATGTAGTGGGAAATATGCGTTTTCCACACCCAAGTGTTCTGGAGCAGTAGCAGCTCCATACAAAGGGTTATCTTGTACTGGTTTAAACACCACTGACAGGTGCAGCTCAGGATAAGGCTTCAAAGGGTTTCCATAGGGCCCTACGACCGGAAACCAGCCATTAACCATCTTCCCTCCGAATATTGTATCGACCGGTATTGAGACCGTTCCAATAAGCTCAGCACCGAGTATATCATTGTCCTTAACATGAAATTCCACTGCTGCGACAGGATGAGCCACGGGAACATAGAAGTGTTCTTCCCATTTAGGGTTCTCAGAGTTCTGAATCACCTTGGTTTGGGCTACTGTTGCCGCTCCAAGGCTGACAGAAACATACGGATCGCTTGTTATCATGCTGTGCTTAGTGCTGCTTTTACTGGGTCTCTTGAATGGTGACGAGCAAGATCCAAATACAGAAAAACATTTTCTGATCCTCTCCGAGGCTAAGTCCATATTTGGGAGAGATCTGGCCTCCAAAATCCATAGATCTAGGTCACCATGCAAAAATTTGACACCTTCAAGATGCCGCGTTCCCTTTTCCACATTCCTTTCTACACTCTCCATGGAATGAACCCAGAGTCCTAAGCGATGCAGCTATGCCAAAATCAGAGAAATGGGAAAAGCACTCACCAGTTCCCTCGCATTTCTACAAGCATCTAAAGAAAGGTCACGGTAGTCTTGAACCCATTCTTCACGCATCATAAATAATTTGCAATCTCTGTATCATCAATGCAGCCATCCTGTGCATTTGGTCGTGGCTAATCAGAGTTGGAAAGGGTAGTTGACCGAATATATGTCCAGCCACTTAGAAGAGTTGACTGGTTAAATGTGTCAAAATGAAGCCCAATGTGGAAGTTATTTGGAAACTTGCCAAACTGCATTTAGCATTGAACCCCTGACAAAAATAAAAATCAGCCAAACTAGGGAATTCAACAGTTCTTTCCTTTCTATGTCAATCCGAATCTACCAGCAATGAACTATGAGTAAGGAACAAGTAGACATGAGGAGGAGAGATGACTTCAACGTTCTCGATATGACTAATAGTCTGTAACAAGGCTTGAAGTAAAAACAGTGGCCCCCTAGAACGAACCGAAGGCAGCAACATCCACGTAGGAAAATGACTGATTTTGGGATGAAAGTAAAAATTATATTGGAGAAATGAATCACATATCATGCGACTTACGCCTGAAAGAAAGTGGAAGGAAACAGTTCTGTGGTTTATCCTATGCAATTATTCTGTGTCATGAGGGAAGAAAGGTCCACAGAGCCCAAATTCGATAAGAAAGGATTGACTCGTTGCGTGAAACTAAAACAGTCAAATGTAAGAGAATTATGCCGAAATTCTTACGGGATATCAGAATGCGGATCACAGAAACTCACAAAGTTCCTTAGAGGAACACAAAAACCCGAAGAGAAAAAAATTAAAGGGGACGAAATCGAGCACGAACATATTCACTTCATGTTAATTGGAAAACTCGAAAACATAGCGCAGCCAGAAAAATGAAAACTACTCCGGAATTAAAAATAAAAAAAACCCCAACGAGACAAATCCATCGGAAATCGTACGATACACACCTTATTTTTTTTCTTCACAAAAAATTATCCCTCTTCGGGGTGCCAACTCGATTCAAATAGGCGATGGTTGAAAGGCGCATTGGAAATCTACGAAGGTAACCAATGAAGAACATCGAACCCCCGCCGATTTCCTCTCTGTACCTTCTTTCCCCGGGCGAGAGACCACAGGAAAACTCACCTCACGAATTCTCGAAGCGAGAGAGAGGAGATGCTCCGAGCCAGAGATGGTCCGGGTCAGCAGGGTGACGAGAGGTGGCCGTTAGCAGCAGCGGATCGTGATCGACATTATGGAGAACTCTTGACCAGCCGTTCCTCGTACCGCGGTGGTTGTGGGCCAGTGAAGAGCGCTCACGCCACCGGGTCAAATGGCGGGAAGAACTCCGAGGCCTATGTTTGGAAAGATCATCATCTTGTGGGGCCCGCAGACACGTGGAAGCGACGCCCCTGAACGGCCTTGTGGGCCAGATAAAACGGGCCGTCCCGGGCCACACCACGTACCACACAGCCCATTACACATGCCTCCCAGTGTCGGGCCATATCCAACTTGGCCCCCTACTAAGATTAACGACCCAAGATGCCTTATTGGAGTAAGAAATCGATATCGAGTTCATTCACACCCCGTTTGCCCTAATTACAGAAGCAGTATTTACAGATGCAGAGAGAGACAGAGAGACCTAGCGGCAATCTTTCTCTCCTCACTCTCTCTAGAATCGATCACTGCAGAGAGAAGTTGTGGAGAGACGCGACACAAGGATGAGGAGGATCGATCAGCCGAGCATGGGCCTCTTGCCGGCGGCACGCAGGGCCTGGTGGAGATGGAAGGTCTCCCCCTGGTCGCTGGTCAGCGATCGCCTCTCCACGCTGCACGCCGTGAGCTGCCGCAACAGCCTCTCCAGGTGGGAGGACACGCCGCCCTGCCGATCCTTGGCGGCGGGATCCGTCGACAGGACCGCGGCGTTGACGGCGTCCGCCACGAGCTCCCGCTGGTTCGCGTCCAGAAGGTACCCGACGCACGACTCCGCGGGCTGATCGTACGCCAGCAGCGCGATGCAGTTCTGCCGCAGAAAACCAAGCTCAGGGCCCTCTGCCTCCGAAGAATCGAAAAGTAGAGTAAAGCGTGGGGGATATGCTGAGAAGAAAGAGAGGTGGAGGACGGAACCTGGAGAAGATTTTCCAGAAGCTTGACGGAGAAGAACTTGGCCAGTTGGGCGCGGGCGTATTTCACCGCAGCCTCCAATTCACCCACCTGAGCACCAGCCAGATAAACTCGAGAATGACGAAGGCAAAGTACAAACGATTTAAATCAAGAACAGGCAGATCCGGAACAGGGACTGATCGACCTCTTCGATGCTAAAGCGCCGGTGGAAAAGAAGGCATTAGCCTGACTAGAGAAGGAATGATCATCGAAATCCTAGTGTCTACGGCATAAGCATATCAGGATCAACTTCCTGAACTTGTCATGATATAAATCATGATGAAGTTGTGAGTGATCATGTACCACAGCCACCTTCCTGAAAAAACTACTGAATATTTGGGAACGATGTTCTTGGGGATTCCTTACCAGTAACTGGACTACCATGCAGTAAAAATATGATCTTTTTTCTATTATAAGCAGCTACTCGGCAGCTTCTAGCGAAGGCCAAAATAATCACCCACTTAGTATGCAGGGAAAAAAAATAACAGGTACTGACCCTGATGTGTTCAATAAACTTCTGCGCACGAAGCAAGAAGCAAAGTGTCGATGTCTCATTCTGCAGACAGGTTAACATGCCCGTATTTAATCAGACTTGAAATCATACAAAAATAGAGGCCGCAAATGTAAAATCAGTCAATTAAAACACATGGTAAAATAAAATAAAATAAAAAGAACAGGCACTCCCACACCGCTTCTTGCCCAGTAAAAAAAAACAATGCCCGGTCTCATTCTGTCAGATTTTAAGCAACTGAGCTTTCTATCAGCATGCGATGGTAGAACATGATTGATGCCTCTAGTTACGAATGATGGGGATCCAAAAAAAAAAATTATTTATTTTTTAAAAATAGCCAAAAACATCTATATGAATCCAGGAAATGCGCCTACTTTCCATGGGGATTTTCCCCCCAGATAAACTCAGAGTCTGGGACTTCTTATTATTGGCATTGCATCCTGCTAAAAAAAAAAAAAATCTAGTTTCTTTAATAGAAAGAAAAGACGGAGGAACCCTACAGCATGTAAAGTTTACCTGTACAGTCTGGGGGTACCATCCCTGAAGTTTACTGAAGGCGGAATCAATTTCTCCATTCCTAATCAACTGGAATTAAAGAAAACATAGTCTTAGAAAGATCTTAAAAGAGACAAAGCAATAGTTATCGGAAAAGAATGTGCTAATATTAAAAAACCACTACAGACGAATATGATTAGTTGCTGAATAAAACATACAAAAAAAAAAAAAACGAAGATTGTACAAAAGCAGTTTCAAAGTAAAATCAACACCGATTTAATGTTGATTACCGCCTTCATTTTTTTATCCGAGACAGATTCCTACATAGGACAAGATCACAGAAGATAGGCGATATAACCGCTACTTTTAGCTGTTAATTATGACGTCAGTAGAATAACACGAAATTTATTTCTGATAATGACATAGCTCAGACACTGTTTACATCGGCTGGCAAAGAGATCTGCTTGTCTGTCTGGAATACTACACAATGCGGAAATAAATGTAACCGAAAGCTGCCATGCACATTCAATGCCAGTAGTAGAGAAAAGCTCAGGGAATGAGATCTCAGTCACTTTTTGCATTAACCCCTTAATCATTGAGATAAATGCTAGCACATGATCTATGCCAAATAAGTAGCTCATTAGAAAATACAAACCAAGGTCCACCTATGGATTTGATAACGATTATGACCAACTATTTTCGAAAGAGATGTTAAAGCACACTTCTGTGGTTCTTCAAGTCTGAATTCTACCCAACGGCGCATGATCCATATTTCACATAAGAGCCTTGCACAGATCAGGTTTTATCCCCTGTTCTGGTTGAATTTTGCCATCATGATTCGGAGTGCAGCCAGGAATTTTGCCATTCTTTCCGAATTTGTGCCAAATGATCTGATTCTGAGGGAGAGTAGAATAGCATCAATGAAACTAACTACAAAACTGGAGAGAGATATCCAGCATTATTACTATTTACGATGAGACTTCTCTTAGTTTGCACGTCCACTAGGATTCCCAATGATTGGCAACCCATCTGACTTGCTAAGTCGTTTTTGGTCTCAACAAGTGTTAATTAGGGCTTTTCAGATAGGGCATTTCTTGAGGGTTGGAGAGTAGAACCTTAACAAACTCGCAGAGATCGCAATTAATGAAATGTGATCTAACATTTTCAACTCTCAATCTCACTCTCTCTAGCGTAGTCAGACAACGTAAAGGCAAACTGTGACGCAATCTGAGGAAAACAAACCAAGAAAACAAGATAATAAATATTGTATTACGATGGATGACAGTACCACATAAACATAAATGTAGATACATATATACTGCCAATGAGACAACCGGAGATATAACATTTTCATGAAATGCATGCTTCCCGTGTACAATAATGCGATGGTGGTATTAGCATTAGGTTGACAACGAACCAAATATTTTTTTTGCACTCATAGGATTGGGTGGACCTCAGGTTTAAAGAAGAGTCCCTCACGGTAATGATCACCGATAGTGTTTCTTCAGGAGCACCGTTGGTAATATTGGTCAAACACAGTTTTGATATGCAGTACAAAAGATGGATCTATTTATAAGCATTCTTTACACGACCTTGGCTTGACAAACACTGCCCATTAACCAGGGTTTCACGAGAGGATAGTCATAAAATAGTCCAACAATTGGGTGTGAGCCAATTTGATCTGGCTTAACCCTAAAAGAACAAATGGGATAACAAGGATATAAGACTTTCAAAGGCAGTGGTAATCGGCAAATAATAGTGTCTTCGCTCATAAGAACTCAACGTTTTGGTATCCTTGAATTATATCTTTAGGTCATCTCTTCATTCAACTTGATATTTATATCAAAGAATTTAAATTTTGCCTAAAGGCTTCCATTCATCTCTGGTAGACCAAGATATCTTTCCAGAGAGAGCAGTAATAAAAAAGAAATACAAAGAACTACTAACCTCATTTCGCAATTGATTTCCTTTAAGGGATTTTTCTTCAATAAATAAGGCGTCCTCATAGAATATATATATATATATATATATAGTTGATTACTGTAGCACCTTAAACTCTCTGACGTTAATTTTGGCGAAATTAGTAAATGGTGATGATTTATTTCTACTTTCCGCACAATAGAACGATAAGGCCATATACATTCTTCTACAAATAATACGAAGGGTGCTCGTGAAAGCAGAAAAAGCTTTTTCTCTTCCCCATTTTTATCATATGTGGGGTTAAAGTCGACTTCTGATTTCATTGATTGCAAGACCTTTGAGATTTTTAAAGTATTTTCACATTGATTCGCAAAACACGACTATAACGACATGAATGATTTCAGCAAAGTTGAAAGCCCAGTTATGGATGAAAAATTTGCCGACAGATGCCTCAAAAATTGAACTAGCATCGCCAACTGAAAATATCGCTACCTTGAAATTGAGCATCAAAAATTTACCAATATGGATAAAACAGAACAGGTAAAAAAATTGATATCTTACTACCTGACGAAGAATCTTTCTACGATTTAGTGCATAAGCTTCACAGTGCTCAATAGAATTCTCTTGTGCCACCGGAGCAGGTTGCAACGAATTTTTACTTGCTATATCAAATGAATTCAGTGTGTCTTCGTAACCATAATGCAGCAAATAAGAACGGACTATCCTGGCAAATAGGCAGATATTTCGATCTCAAAGTTCTGTGCAACATAAAACCTCATAAAATAAAAATGAGAGAGAGAGAGAGAGAGAGAGGGGGGGGGCATTAATTGGTTAAGAGCAAGACATATGAAAATGATCTAAGAACGGAAGATACTAAAGACAGAACTCGTTTATAATCAATTCCTGATATAAAATGCAAAGCTATGCAAGTTTCATTTTATATCGCGAAAAGACCACAGTGCAGCCTGAGGTTTTCACTTTGAAAGTCTCTTCCTCTGACTGACTGGGATTCTCACCGCCTCAACAAGACAGATGTTCTGGTTTCTTTTTTTTTTTTGGATGGAAATAACCATCCATCACAAAACAACTATAAAAAAAGGTACCAGATGAGCCGAGAAACAAAAATAACTGAACGTTTTTTCTCTTCTCAATCGCCACCAGTAAGATAGAATGAAGAATATTCCCATCTATGCACTTTTTCACCAATCAAACACAGGCATGGCAACTAGTATATCTTATAAATCTTTGAACTCCTGCTGAAATATTATCTCGTTGCTCTCACTCTATTAGGATCTTAGCACAGCTCATTAGACGTACAAGCTATCAAGAACAAAGGGCAGCGGAAAAACGTTAAACAAGATTTTTAGCAGATAACTGATGCTTGTATGAATGCGAATCTGAACCTGAATCTGAATTCAATTAACTACGATTCTCCACATCACATTAGTAACCCTGCACTCCCTGTAGAAGTTACCAAATAGTTCCCCCATGAAAGCCACATTGATGTATGGCTTTCCCGTCACCGACATCTCTATAACCACCATATCCATGTATTCAAGTAAATGAACTAAACTCTAAACCCCCCCTTTGCATTTCGTTACCATATTATTTTATCCTCTTTTCTTTCAAAGAGGCTCGTTCAATCATTAGTTATAGTGGCACCCAAATCCACTTCATGACATGTAGAATTCTTCCCTAATGGGCTTTACACACGCCACACTTCACTCAGCCCTTCCCTCTAGATTCTACACGTCAATTAAATTGAGAGAATAGAATCCCCTCTCACCGTGTGGACCCTAAGCCTGATCATACACGTGACCAAGACATTTATGCTGAAGAACCGAAGCAAAAAAAGAAGAAAAATATTTCTTGAAGGAGGTATGTCTGATTCTAAATGAAACTATACAAATTATGAGACAAATAAAGCTTCAAGGCAACACAAATAAGAAAAACCTTATCAAAAAATTGCAAAATTGCATGCATACCAGTGGCTGACATTAACTGGTAGGGTTGATTTTTCAATTGTGGTCTGATGCTTTGTCCTTTCTTCCAGCACATAAGCCTGACAACAGAGAACAGAAAAAATTAAATTTGCATATCTATGAATCCAAGGTTAGCATCGGATAAAATGTGCAAATCATAAACATGACGAGGCAAACTATGCCAATGGAATCATACAAACGGAAAGCACATTTCAGCATGAACCAGGGAATCCATTGCAGAGTCATAGGACATTTCTATTTGCATAAATCAAAAGGAGTCCAGTATGGGTGGGATCCACCATTTCTTCTTTAGTTATGCCCTAGCAGTTCGTATTGTAGGAGGGAGACATTAGAACCACAACGACTTGGCCAGAATCAAAGGAAATTAATGGATAATAGCATAACCCGTACAAACAGATGAATAGAGCCATGGTCAATTCCGAAAAAATTCCACCATGGCTTATCTTATATTTTTCTCTTTGGATGAACCCAATCTGATACAGTCATACAAGTCCCAATTTGGGATTGTCCATTCCATTTAAAGTTAAACCGGAAATTTATGAACATCATGGATTTTGTTTGTTAGCACCTTCGAAATGTTGTGTCCCTTGAATCGCCGATTCAGAGTGTGTAATGGTGTTAACTGATGACACATACATATATATATATAACTTAAAATTTTTAATTTAATTTATATATATATAGATATATATGTATGTATGTATCAATGATGTGATTACGGAGATATTCCGAAAGACAAAAGCTTTAATATGAGAGGGAAATACATTTGCATATAGTATAAATAACGATTATCTATGTCGGGGTTTTAGAAGTTCGTGAGAAAACGATACTGGCCAGCCTTCCTTTATGGCAAGGGCATCAACCTACCAACCAAGTAAACGTCAGGCCAATGTCTCATAATAATAATCTGATGAAAGCATTTATCTATGCTCCTAAAATCCAATCAAAAGCTTCCAATTAATCAATTAATATCTAACAATTAAATGAAAGGGGGTAATGAGACAATACCGAAAGTGAGCCAGAAAAATAAATAACGGTCGAGTATAAAGTGCATTTAATAAATAATAATTAGGGAGAAGAAGAGTATTAACAAACAGTTCTGACTAAAAATTATAAATATCCAAGTTAAATCATTCTGTACAAAGCACAGGAAAAACATAGACATAAGGAAAACAGGAAACGACACTTTTCTTGCTTAACAGTGAAACATGTTAGAAGCATCAGGGAAACTGGTTGGGCCATGAAAGATATCACGTACCTCAAAGTTAAAAAGAAATGGATGCTTTCCAAAGTTTACAGTCAACCTGAAGAGGAACCATCGACTTTCAGATTGACAATATAAACATTAGAAACATAAATAATGAACAATTAATTGAAAATATCATCAAGCTCCGCAACATGTGATCGAAAGAAAACCTGTGAACCTCTTATATTACTTTTTTAGTATATAATTCACAGACTACCATAGAAGGTATCACACCCCATTTTGTTCTTTAACTGTACAGTCACTCTAAATTAGACAGAATTAGAGGCATTCTCCACAGCAAGTCTGATGTCATAAGCAAATGCTTTCTTGTCTCTGCCATGCAGTCACAGTTTCCAACATCATCTTGACACTTCCATCTCCAATTCGCTGGGTCACCAATTTAGCTGTGTTCCAAGGATTCATCCACTTACCCTTGTTTCTGCATCTTCGGTCTCACTCCTGAACAGCCCTCTTACCTTCTTCACCATAAAAGTTGATATCTTCCCTTCGTGATCCTCAACAAGAGACCAGACGAACCCTCTTTTTCTAAATATTCGTTTGGCACTGTAGACTCCATCAGATAATCTAGCATTCAGATCCATCATAGTTTGGCTGACTGCCTCATTTCTTTACAGAAGCTTTATTGACATATTACAGAATTGTGGTATATTTCATAAAACTGTAATGGCATCATTCCCATTTGTCTGGTGATAGGAGAAATCACACGTCATTAAATAGAGCATTAATGAACTTCAATAATGAAACTGAATCTGTTGCCTGCATCTAGATTGTTTACTGAACACTGCTTCTCCCTGGACCGAGACAACAACATAATGGCTCATTCTAACCAAATACAGAGAAATAAAAATGCATCTCAATATCAAACACAGACTGAAGGCGTGCTTTTTTTTGTTTTTCGCTCGTGATGGAACACTAAAATCAGAATCCGGGATACAATAGTAGACAAAAGTTAAAACTAAAATACAGACTAAAGTACAGATGTTATTCATGTTTATAAATAGTTTCATAACGCAAGTAGTATAACACAGTTTCATTGCGTATTCAGTTTTATAACCACAAAAAGTCAGTGTGTTCTCCTGCGAAAGCAGCATTTGCATAAAATAATGTCCAGAAAATGTCAGTATCTCCCTTACGCAGATTGAAAATCGATAAGGTTTTACAAAGAGAGATAGTACATACTCCTCATTTTGACTGTGAACAGCAATTGTAGGAAACAAAGGACCTTTTACATGCTTATTGACCGTCCCAACCAGTTTTCCGTTTTTGCTGCACAAAAGCGTAAAATGGAGTCTCATCACTACATACATGAAAAACGTAAGAAGATTGAAAAACATTAATAATTCCTAGAGATGGAGAATATTATTTATGAGGAAAATGTCATCCACTAACCACTAGGACCGGTTAACAAGTCACCTTTTCCTGTGAACATTGTGGCCAACTGCACCACATGGCTAAGTAAACCACTTATCGCTATGTGGAATTGAATTTGACTTAGTAATTTACAAGAATTTTAGGGACGTAAAATACTACTATGGCGAGACCTTCTGGAAATTAAACAAATTAAATTTCAGACTATATATTATGATGAAGGTCACTGACCAACATCAAAAAACAAACTATAAACCGTCAAATTTATAATACAGTGCATCAATTGACTTACGTGAAAAAGAATTCTTGAGAAGCATAATTAATGCCAGCACCAACCGTATCACCAGATGTAAACGTGGGACCAAAACTTTCTCCTTTTCCTTGTCCACGGTAAATCATCCCATCATCCCCATGGTATCCACAGCTGTTTTCCTCCCAGCTGCAAAGAAAGCATGGTGACTCGAGATAAACCAACATATTGACAAAAAATAGAGCATGTCAGCATCACATTCTATTTACCCAGCAGATATCAACGCCAAATTATACAAAGGAGGTGACATATAAAGACCAATCATCTCTGGCACTACAAGCAATCTTCATCTCGGGAGGAAACTACCAGACATTTCTAACTGCTCACTGAACACAGCAGTAGAAAGAAGATATACTCCTTACTTATGCTACACTTGGAGTCATGGGTTAAAAGCATGAGTAATAAAAATAGAAATAGTTCCATCCGAAACTGATGATCTCCAGAAAAGAATCCATGATGGTTTAATCTGCTGACCACAATTTACGAGATGGAGACCTTACTCTATGATCAATATCCGCACGTACACTATCTTTTGATCAGTTACTAATTACAGAAATGTTGGGAGTGTCTTAAACTAGTAGGAATGAAAACTTCTAGAGGTTCCATAGAAATCGCCCTTAATAATATCCTCTCAAATGATATTAAAGTGTGCCCAGAAGATTGACACTGACCCACTTCATCATTACACTTGGTTGATTATAAGTCATCTCCATAAAAGAATTTGGTAATTAGACTTTCTTGAACAACGATCCATAACGGTTTTCCATTAACGGATGACCAAAAATAAAACAATTCCCTGACTACGTTCATGAGACGACATTTAGAATCATAGATGACAAGGGCGAGATGATTTCTTCGTTCTATGCTCACCCTGGTTGCCGACACATCTTCACCCCTGGTGGCGTGAAACCAATGGCGACCCTGCCCTTCTGCCCGGCATTCTTCACTGTCATCTCAAAATAGTACATCAACCTTCGAGTGGGCGCGGCGCAATTGGCCTGCACGGCCCCGACGTCGTGCCCGTGAGACCGGGTGCCCGGGTACGACACAGAAAGCTTGTCCACGGACACGACATTGAAACCCCCGGAGCTGTTCATGGTGTTCAGGTGGGTGGGTTCGTCCTCCCACTCTATCTCCGACACCATCCTGTCCCATTCTGGACCAGAACGGCACCACGACGCCAACCTGAAGAGGTCGACGGGGTCTCCCCCGGTGGAGACTTGCTGGCCGTTCACCATCTCGGAATCGCCGCCTAACAACTTGCTAGCCCTAGCAACCTCCGAGAAAGGGAAGAAGGCACACTACCTTCTGCCAGACGTCGGTCGAGAATCGTAGGTCGCCTGAGACTCGAGCTCTCGAATCTCGCAATAAACCGAATCTGACAGTAGCAAGGCAAAAAAGGGGACAAAGATAGTCCCACATCGAAAGTTTCAGCAGACTTGTTTTGTATATAATATAGAGCTAACTTAGTGGTTGTCCCTTCGGGGACATCCGATAAAATTGGAACGATACAGAGAAGATTAGCATGGCCCCTGCGCAAGGATGACACGCACAAATCGAGAAATGGTCCAAATTTTTTTGCCTTCCCGTCTTTAAGGATATACGATTAGAAAAAAAAGCATAGAATATTAACTTTACACCTACGTAAATACGTTATTTAAATCTCAATATCAAGCCTATAAATACAAATCGACCATTTTTTTTTAACGAAAAATATTTCTAATGATCCAATAAATCAATAAGTATTGTATTAAATTTAGATATAGGATGACAGCCACAAATCGAGAAATGGGTCAATTTTTTCTTAACTTCTCTTGTCTAAAGACTATGCCATTCGAAAAAAGAAGTATAAAAGATAACTTTGTTCTTTACATAAATACGTGGTTTAAATCTACCATATATCATCTTTCATAAAAATTTAGAATGAACTCAAATACTTTTAATGAGCAAATACGAAATATTATTATTAGTTTTACCTCACGTGCTGATTTTAGTAGATGACTTTAACTTGAATTAATAAAATATATCTTGCTTTATTGGCTCCATTAACCCACCATTTTCGTAATTTTTACTTCCACCCCTTTTTGTAATTTTCCTCAACAATAATTGCTAAGAACCATGGTTCTTAGAACTTTAACAGTCGTGCATATTTTTGCCACATTAGTTACACACGTTGACCTGCTCGTAGAACAAAGATTGTGTGTTCTATAAAATGGATGAGACAATTTGACATTCGTCCAAATCTAGTTAGGCAAATGCTATTTTAAGTATATAATTTCAAGCACCAAGAATTATATCGTGCACAGCTTATATATCTTTTTGACTTCTACTAATCATATGGTACATAATTTTGGGCCATTTAATCAATCTGCTTTGGGTAGTTGACCGTGGGAAGATTGTGCTCATTATTTTAGGATATTAGAAACCTATGATCTAAATCATAGTTTATTCCAAATTCAAATCATCAACTTGTGTCGATGTGGAAGATGCGTGATCAGATTTTGAATGGGTAAGACTCAGAGCCTCGTCATTTCTAAGTCGACGAAGATGGAATCTTTATTCAGCACAAACTCGGTGTCGAGGGAGGCGACTGAAAGGAGGTTCCATGGATCTCAGACTGATTGATTGATGCTTGACGAGATTTTTGGCACGAATTGAGTTAGTCGCATTGACAAGTGGGGGAGTCCATTCTTGATCTGGCAAGCCACCGGGAGGTTGGCCCCGCCCGGCACCAGGCTCACCAGTGAGTGGGTCATCATCCTCGTCGGCGGCAGTCATCCACAGCCGTGTTGCCCGGCCAGGAGCCGGCAGAGGGTATCGCCGCCCGGTAAACAAAGCACACCGTGCCAAGCGTGGGGAGGCCGCCGGTGCACCGGAATGAGCGACCACCACCCGACCAGAGCCGGCCCCGGGGGCACACCAGTGACCACCGGCGGCGCCACTCACCTCTCCTCCTCTCGCTTGGCTGTCGTAGCTGTCACACACTATGTGGTCCTCCCTCACGTGCCGTGCCCCTAACAAAACCACAAGTTGCTCGCCGAGGGGGATCAAGACACGTGCACTCGACTGCGCGTTTTTCCCATACGATCTGGTTGCATATTCAGGTATCTGCCGGTGATCGTCTGTTTGTCATCCGATGGTTCCGGCCGGGGAGGGGGTCGGGGATGGTTCAGACATGTTAGCGGTCAAAAACTATTATTTACAGCTCGGTTTCATCTGGGCGAGGTGAATTCTTTGACCATTCTGCAAGTTTTTGGATCTCAAAGCCGAAGACCGGAGAGGAATGTGTACGGTGTGAGGTCCGAAGAGGAATCTCTCGTGGCAGAAACTTGTTCGCAGATTGGGGAGAAATGGGACGATGGTACTGTCATGTGACCGCGCAACATCGTAGTAAACGGCACTTTCCAGCGCGATGGAATCCCAGGGCTCGTGGAATTGTCATGGATACGGCTGGTAGGAGGAGTCCGTGCTGTTCAATACGGGACATGGGAAATATCATGGGGATTTATTGAGGACTTGGCTGGCTGGCATCTGGCGTCACCTCCCCTCGTCCTCTCTTGCGTTTTTTCCCTCCTTCTCGAGGGGTACCGTCGTTTGCGCTCTGAACCCTGGGGTTTGGTCTGGAGGTCCAGTGGGATTTCTTCGAATTCTCTCGCTCCATCAGGTACGCCATTTCCATCTGGTTACAAAAAATCGCTCCATTTTTCAGAGGGTACTCTTTTTTTTGGGGGGGATAACCCACCCTTTTTCTGCTAGTTCTCACGTTCTCTTTCTATCTCCCATCACCTATTTTCTTTAAAATTCCCAAGGTGGTACCTTGTGGAAGATTTGGGGGAGGAGAAACTCCTCCCCTTGACATCTTCGTCCGAGTTCTCCGCTGATTCGTTGTTCTTTGCAAGACATGGGTATTATGAAGATCTCCAAAATCTCTTTCCATATTTGGTTTCTTCATCCACTCTCTGCGTTATATATCATTCATTTGGTCATTGTTTTCTCGCAATTCAGTCTCTCTTTCTACTTGATTGTGATGGAATAGTGCTACTGATTCATAGTTTGAGACAGCGTGCTCAGATTTCTTGGTGGAGAGATCTCATGTTTGAAGTCTGCAATGCAATCTGTGTGCTTCATAATCTTATTGTCCAGGGCAACCGTTGTCTGATACACCGACCATTGTTTGAGACATGGGCGTTCATCTTACCCTGCCCTGGGAAATGCCAACCTTTGACTCCATCTCTCTTTGCTTTTTGTCCATCATCAGTCTGTCAAGTACAGCTGACAGGCTTGGTGTGAACAGATTTGATGAACAATCCATCAGGGCCTCACCGTTTCCTACTAGAGCCCAGTCTCATCATCTCCTATGATGATCTATTTGCTTCTGTTTTATGTAATCTGGTGTTCAAAAGATGCATCCTTTTGTTTCTTCGTCGTAAAATATTTTCCCAACATTGAAAAGAACTAGGGATAAGACATCATCAAATATACGTTTGATTTGTTCTTTTTGATTTTTCAACTGGTTTTTTTGGCGTTTCAGATATGGCAAATACGAAAGGAGTGCCTAACATCAGAAATGCAGGATGCAGTGGAAAACAGTCATTTCTTCCTCCTAAAAGCCCTCTTCCTAGCATATCACATGCCTATGGGGATTATGGTTCTAACCCTTGTATGGGATCCAAAAACATGCCAAGACCAAAAGAGGGGAACATACATCATCATCGAACTTCCTCTGGGAGTTTCCTTATTGAGGAGCAACCTTCTTGGCTTGATGACCTCCTTAATGAGCCAGAGACTCCTGTGAGGAGAGGAGCTCATCGGCGTTCATCAAGTGACTCATCTGCCTACTTGGACTTATCGGGTATTTATCTAGAGAAAACGGGTCAGGAGGGACATGAGCTTAGAAATTTAGCATTGGTTCCGTCTTGGGGATCTCGTGAATTAAATCGTCAAAAAGAAATACAGCACTCTTCTTATTGTGTAGAAGGAAATTCTGTTGGGAGGACACAGAGCAGAGAATGGGAATTTGGTTTGAGTGACATGAACTATCCTAGTAGCAATCTATCCACAAAAGAAAAGGTCGTGCTGCAAAGCCCAGGGACAAAAGGTGATTGCAGTGAACCAGAATCTGTGACATCTACAGCGAATGTGAAGAATGGTGAGGAAGACTCTGCACCCCAGGATTGCGAGAGAGGTGAAGGCTCGTATGGAAATTATCTTCAGTCTGAACAAGATCCAAAAAGAGCCAAACAGTGAGTATCTTTTTAGCTTTCCCTTTTCACGACTATGACTTACTGTCAACACTACTGGGTAATATGCTGATTGTTGCTATCATAGTCTAAAATTAATCTTTTCATCTCTTTTTGGCAATAATCATACTCTCTTTGCTACAAAATCGATATTTCTCACTGGCCTGATTTAGTAGACTAGGCCTCAAACAATAAAGAAATGTCACTCCTTGTCTTTTTTTTTTTTTTGTAAAGTTCTCGGTGACGATATGATTGCTGGATTTAAACCTTCAAATTTTTCTTTTTCGATAGCCTCCTGAGTAAGACGGTAGTATGAAAGAGGTTACTTATTTCTTTGATACTGAATCCAACTAATCGAAAGAAAGGAAGTCAACTGTAACCGTCTGATCTGTATAACAATGAGATTCAATCCAAAACGAAATTGGAAACATTCAGTTTTAGAGTGTGCATTTAGAAACCGTGTTACTGCTGTGGCTAGTTGTTCGGTCGACTCTCTCTTCTTGGTTGCGTGCCTTTTATTGTTGTTCCGTGAGAAATTGTTCTTCTGTAAGCTAGAGGCAGCTGTCATATTGGTTGGGTAATTTTGGTGCCTCTTGGGGATAATAGAGGCATAATGTCTTCTGAAAAGCACAAACTTAGAAGCACATTTCTACTCCAAATACATAAATATGTGGAATTTAAAAATTCACGGGTGTGTTTATTTTTTACCCAACGAAACTAATTTTGTAAAACGGATTTGGTGGCATCTACCGTACCTGTCGCCATTTTCGTATTTTGTCTCTGCTTTTCTTCCGAATTTCTATTCTCGGCCATTCCTCTTGGTTAATCAATCTCCTCAAGAACTACGCTATCTCCATCTTCTGATAAAAGGGGAAACCTCTATCTGGATCCACTGAGATTATCAACTGTGGTCGATGTAAACAGGTATACCTTTTAGCTTCTCTTATCTAAACGACTGTCTTGTAGTTTACTGTTAACTCGCTAATTTAAAATTGTTCTTGCTTGAAAGCAAGGTGAACATTTTATCTCATAACCACTTCTAATTATGGCAGGAAATTTGCACAGCGGTCCCGTGTTCGGAAGCTTCAGTATATTGCCGAATTGGAGAGGAATGTTCAAGCATTACAGGCAAGTAGTTTCGAGGAGGATGTGATTCTTTTGAGATAAGGATAAAAATTGACAGATCATAATTGTTAGTAATCCTTGTTTTACTGAAAATAGCGGTGTTAAGCAGTTTAAAATTTGTTCACCGTTTTGCAGGCGGAAATTTCTAAGGTTTGTGCAGAAGTAGAATTTCTGGACCAGCAAACTATCATACTGAGCTTGGAAAATAAGGCTCTTAAGCGAAGATTGGACAGTTTGACCCAGGAGCAGGTTCTCAAATGTGGTAAGTATATTCCATTTTATTTATTTATTTTTGATGACCATTGACCGTTCTTTTGTGCACGAGCGTGTCTCTTGGTGGGCCACCACTACGGGCCTTGTTCTTTATTGGGGCACACAAGCCTTTTTTATTTTAAATAGAATTGAAAAGTGATAAAACCAATGTTGCAACAATGGGCGCTCAGAAAATCAGATTCAAAATTGGTCTATATTGGTGTTTACTGTCCTCTTTTAGCATTTTAGGGCCAATTTTTTTCTCTAAGGATTTCAGATACTAAGTGTGATGCTTTCTGGGAGTTACGGATGAGGCATGGGCAATTTATTGGCAAAAACGGATCTTTAATCATTTATTTTATCGCCTCAGAAAAAGTAAATCTTCTCAAGCAATATCTGACGATGATCTATTAAGCTAGATTAGTAATCCTCATCACTTTGTATAGCTTTTAGATTCTTCAGCGAAAAAGTTCCACACGTGAAGGTGACAGAGTGATTCATTTTGGCTTGCAGTCCAGCAGGAGATGTTGGAAAGGGAGATCTCTCGTCTCGGGGCCATTTATCAGCAACAACATCGTCATCATCAGCAACCACAACCACCACCTCATCCTGTGGCGACCCACGGGCGGACCAGCAGTAGAGATCTTGTTTCATTATTTGACAGCCTCTCTCTGAAACACAGGAGGCCAATCCTTGATAGGAACCAGTAGCTCGGTTCTCATTCAGCAGAGGGCTGGTATCTTGACGACCATTGATTGTCCCGTCGATCGAATTACATTGTGGGGATCCCGATGGAAACCGCGTATCGGGCTCAGGGTTATTGGTTCCAGAGGGAGGCGACCCCTGTAAAGCTGCTGATTCGCGGCTTCGAGGTGAATAACTCGAAGGATGATTTTTTTTCTTTTTCGTCTTATTCTGATATGTGCACCTGGTGGGTCTTCTCCGGCATGTATCAACCGCTTTGTTGGTGGAGACCCGTCCCGAGGTGATTAGGTCCGTATGTTAGTTTTTTTAATTTATTTTTTTCTTTTAACGTTCTTCTCTGTTCATGTTTCAACCTCCGTGTATGGCCAATAAATCTGCTCGTCTTCTTGCGTTTACGCTGAATCCGTGTTGGAGGACTCGCAGTGCTGTCGTTCTTACGTTTTCCTTACAAATATGAGCATCCAAGAGGTAGGATAGATATCGAAATCCGAAGGTGGCCCAATCTATTGACCTGAATTACCACATTATTCGAAGCTTATCTATAATCTCCACGGCGAGCTATCTCTCCCCGTAGATCTGCAGCTCCTTCCTCCTCACTCATATTCATGGAGTAGTAATGCTAAAAACAAACAGTACGAGGAGAGAAAGGTATCAGGAGCAGGGGAAGTCCCGCAGACGCCATGGAACCTTGCTCGATGGTTAGTACTTACTTCCACACTTGTAGTGGGAGGGGAGGGGGGCGCCCGCAGCCCTTCATGATCTTGACTAAGCGGTCGACGTCGACGAGCGCAGCAACCTCGGGGGTTATCAGGGGCCACACGCACTCCCGGTGGGTGACGCGGACGCGCTGGCAGCACTCTTTGCTGGGTGGGAGCCCCAAAAGCAGCTGCTTGGAGGCGTAGACCCCGAGCGTGGTCTCCCGCTAGCACTGGCTTGCGCTCAATTTGGCCGAGGCGGGCGCGGCGCCTCCCAGCGCCACCGCCACAGGCAGTACCAGAACTACGGCGAGCACACTCCTCTCCATCGCTCTTCTTCCCTAACTACTCCACCCAGGCCCCGATCTCGTCTTGCATCAACTCGCCCTCCGGTTTTTGTAGGCGACGCTCACTCGGATGGTACCCCGGAAATTACCCACCGGAGCAAGTGGCGGCTCCCCGGAAATTCTTCGACGCCGCGGTTTCGTTGTAGATTTCACCACCAAGGCTCCGATGGAGCGGGACATGGAAATTGTTTGATCGGAATGAATTCAAGTTTGACCCGCCGGGCGAGGTGAGGGGCTTGGTCGAGTCTGAGTCCTGTCTTGGACTTGTGATTCTTTGCTTCCGGTGGAGCGGCGTGCCGGAGGAGGTTTGGGTAAGCGGCGCCGCACGAGCGGTCAGTGGAAGTGGAGAGTGGGGGTGACAATATGCCATGGTTTGTGACTATAAAGCGGCGCTCTCTTAAAAAAAGATACAGACGAACGGATATTTGAGTCTTGAGGCGTTGCCTATTTCTTCGTCTTCATCTCCAGTTCTGTCCTTTTTCCCCCCTCTTACCGCCATCTCAGTGGAGCAAGTGACGAGGACCTATTGACTCGAATCCGGAAGAGAACGGGGTGAATCTGGAAGGATAAAGAAAGGATATTTCTGTTAGCAGAAATATCGGGTTTAATGTGGCCCACATTTGCGTCACTGTGGACCTGACTCGAGCCGCCATCATCCGCCATTAGATCTCCAGCACATTTCATCCCACATTAAATCACCACACCCCTTGTATGTCATCCATTCTCCAGCCTCATCAACTCTTCATTAAATAATAGATATACGTTACGTGACTCTTTAATGGGCGATAACTCTTCATTAAATAATAGATATACGTTACGTGACTCTTTAATGGGCGATACAGGGTCCGGAGAGTTGCGCGGCCCTGCATTCGTCCGGGGCTGTTCGATGAAGTCTGGCCCAAGATCTTCGGTGGAGATTATTTGTCCTATCTAGTCAAATCAACATTTTCCAATCTTAAGACAGAAAAATAAGACCTTGATAAAGTTTGGAGAACCCATCGAATGCGGGCATGGGTTCTTTTTCGGGCCGTCTCTTATCGCGCAATCCTGGAGTGCAGAAGCTCTCTTCTCGCACAGTCACAGTGGGTCAAACATGAATAATTCATTCCTTTTGAAGAACTTCCGTGTCCCGTCCCATCGAAGGTTGGTAGTAGAAACTACAGAGAAACCGCGGCGTCGAAGAATTTCCTGGGTACCGCCACTTGTACCGCCACTTGCTGCGGAGGGTAAGTGAATACGCGTGATCGCTCCGAGCGAGCGTCGCCTACAAAAGCCGGATGGCGGAACCTGGGCGGAGCAGAGCGAGACGGAGAGCGATGGGGAGGAGTGTGCACGCCGTAGTTCTGGTACTGGTGGTGGTGGTGGCGCTGGCGCTGGGAGGCGCCGGGCTTGCCTCGGCCGGCCTGAGCGCGAGTGAGTGCAGGCGGGAGAGGGTGCTCGGGCTCAACGCATGCAAGTCGCTGCTGTTCTGGCGGAGCCCCAGCCCGGAGTGCTGCCTCCGCATCCGCGTCTCCCACCCGGAATGCGTGTGCCCCGTAATAACCCCCAAGCTCGCCGCGCTCGTCGACGTCAACCGCCTCATCAAGATCGTCCGGGGCTGCGGGCGCCCCGTCCCCTCCCACTACAAGTGTGGAAGTAAGTACGAACCATAGAGCAAGGTTCCACGGCGTCTTCGGGCCTTCCCCTGCTCCTGACACCTTTCTCTCCTCGTACTGTTTGTTTTCAGGCATCACTACTCCATGAATATGATTGACGAGGAGGAAGGAGCTGCAGATCTACGGAGAGAGATCGCTCGCCGTGGAGATCATAAATAAACTTTGAATAATGTAGTAATTCAGGTCAATAGATCTGACCTGCTGAGTAGGACCACCTTCATATTGCGATGTAACATTTATGGGCTTGTACCGACCTGCTGAATGCTCATATTTGTGAGGAAAAATAAGAACGACCGCACTGCGAGCCTTCCCACATGTTCGAACAATCTCTGAGGACCTTGACAACCGTCGTCCCCTCGATCGAATGATTTTGTGGGGATCCTGATGGAAACCACGCGTCTGGTCCACAGTTTGGTTTCCAGCAGGAAGCGACCTCTGTACATAACTTGAACCAATCATTTTTTCTTTTATTTTTTGTCTTGTTCTGATATGTGCACCTGGTGGATCTTCTCCGGCATGCATCAACCGCTTTGTTAGTGGACACACTTACGCCGGTGATTTGGTCCTTATCTTAGTTCTTTATTACTATTATTTAAATTTTAACGTTCTTCTCTGTTCATGTTTCAACCTTCGTGTGTGGGCGGTAAATATGTTCGCCGATTGTTGCAGCCTGTCGGAAGGCTAGCAGTGCGGTCGTCTCTGCTTTTCCTCACAAACATGAGTGTTACAAAAGGTTTGATTATAGCCCATAAGTTTTACATCGAAATTCGAAGGTGGTCCGACTCAGCCGGTCAAATCGATTGACCCGAATTACCACATTATTCGAAGCTTACCTATAATCTGCAGCTCCTTCCTCCTCGTCATTCATCTTCATGGAGTAGTGATGCCTGAAAACAAACAAGTACGAGGGGAGAAAGGCGTCAGGAGCAGGGGAAGACCCGCAGACGCTTAGTCAAGATGGTTCCTACTTACTTCCGCACTTGTAGTGGGAGGGAATGGGGCGCCCGCAGCCCTTCATGATCTTGACTAAGCGGTCAACGCCGACGAGCGCCGCCACCTCGGGGGTTATCAGGGGGCACACGCACTCCAGGCGGGTGACGCGGATGCGCTGGCAGCACTCTTTGCTGGGGGGGAGCCCGAAAAGCAGCTGCCTGCAGGCGTTGAGCCCGAGCGTGGTCTCCCGCTCGCACTGGCTCGCCCTCAATTCGGCCCAGGCGGGCGTGGCGCCACCCAGCGCCACCGACACAACCAGTACCAGAACTACGGCGAGCACACTCCTCTCCATGACTCTTCTTCCCGCACTGCTCCGCACAGGCCCCGATCTTGTATCACATCAACTCGCCCTCCGGCTTTTGTAGGCGACGCTCGCTCGGAGTGTTCACGGGTACCCTGGAAATTACCCATTGGAGCAAGTGGCGGCTCCCCGGAAACTCTTCGACGCCGCAGTTTCTTTCTGGATGTTACCACCAGGGTTTCGATGGAGCGGGACATGGAAAATGTTCGATCGGAATGTATTCAAGTTTGACCCGTCGTGCTAGGAGAGGGGCCTTGGTCGACTCTGGGCCCTGTCTTGGACTCGTGCTTCTCTGCTTCCGATGGAGCGGCGTGCCGGAGAAGATGCCGGTAGGCGGCGCCGCCCGACCAGTCAGTGGGAGTGGGGAGTGGGGAGTGGGGGTGACGATATGCCATGGTTTGTGACTATAAAGTGACGCTGTCTAGAAGAAAGGGACAAACGAACGGATCCTTGAATCTGGAGAAGTTTCCTTTGCGATTTTCTCCCGTTTTGCCCCCTCTTCCCATCGGAGTAGACTCATGCTGAGTCTCTCAGGCGTCTTCTTTCGTCTGTCAAGCCCCTGTCGGCGGCACGTGACCTTGCACGACGGGCATGTTGCGGCGGTACGGCCGCATGGCAATACATGATTGGCATTTCATGGAAATAACGCGGATGTGTCCAGCACAGGCGGTCTGTCGGCGGCACGGTTACTGAGCTAAGATCAAAGATTCGTTCTTTAGGATCTTGGAAGAGTCAAGATCAAGGATCTATTCTCTGAATTCTTAAGTAGTGATTATCTTACACTAATTTTTGCATCTAGTGAAGTTTTTTATGGTCGCCTATGGATGTAATAAATTAATCTCCTAAGCACGTAAAATCTTTATGTTAGTACTCTTGTTGTAAGTTATTATTTCTTCTTACTTCACGTTGTGAGCATCGCTGTTATTAAAGTCTATATATGACATCTTGCTCTAACAAACTAGTATTAGAGTGAAATACTAACATCAATTATTGATAGTAATCAAGAGTACATCATTAATGAAATTCAACGTAGAAGTGTTCAATAGAAAGACAACGATTATAATATTTGGCAACTTAAGATGAAGGCCTTATTGATACATTAAGGGTTAAGTAAGACATTAATAGACAAAGAAAACTTATCGACTGAGTGGAAGGACGATGAGAATGAAGAATACTTGGAGCATACTCTTGTCACAATTTGTCTAAGTTTGGCAGATGTGTTGTTACAAAAAGTATCAGATGAAGATATACTAGTGATGCTTTGGACTAAACTTGAGAAGAAATTTATGACAATATTATTTACAAGTCGGTTATAGTTGAAACGTAAGTTATATATTTTACGTTTGAGGGAAGGTACGACTGTTATTGATGATATGAATAAATTCACAAAGACTGTTATAGATATGAAAAATATTGGTGTTAAAATAGAAGATGAAGATGAAGTCATGTTACTCCTGTGTTCTTTACCTCTTTTGTAAAAGAATTTTGTGGAAACTTTTATGTTTGGCAAATATGATATTACAGTAGAAGATGTCAATGTTGTACTTAACTCAAGTGAGTTGAAAAAAAGATGCAAGATATTCAAGAAGATGATTGAGCAGACGGCTTGATAGTTCGAGGAAAAATGGAAAAAGAGCATAATTAAAAGGGTAGATTAAGATTGAAGTTCAAATCAACGAAGAACTTTTGTCTATATGCCATGGTTTGTGACTATAAAGTGACGCTGTCTAGAAGAAAGGGACAGACGAACGGATCCTTGAATCTGGAGAAGTTTCCTTTGTGATTTTCTCCCTTTTTGCCCCCTCTTCCCATCGGAGTAGACTCATGCTGAGTCTCTCAGGCGTCTTCTTTCGTCTGTCAAGCCCCTGTCGGCGGCACGGGACCTTGCACGACGGGCATGTTGCGGCGGTACGGCCACATGGCAATACATGATTGGCATTTCATGGAAATAACACGGACGTGTCCAGCACAGGCGGTCTGTCGGCGGCACGGTTACTGAGCGGGTTTGTGAATGCATCAGAGGGCTAAGATCAAAGATTCGTTCTTCAGCATCAGAGTCAAGATCAAAGATCTATTTTCTAAATTCTTAAGTAGTGATTATCTTACACTAATTTTTACATATAGTGAAGTTTTTTATCGTCGCCTATGGATGTAATAGGCTAACCTCCGAAGCACGTAAAGTCTCTATGTTAGTACTCTTGTTGTAAGTTATTCTTTCTTCTTACTTCACGTTGTGAGTTTCACTCTTATTAAAGTCTATATAGGACATCTTGCTCTAGCAAACTAGTATCAGAGTGAAATTCTAACATCAATTATTGATTGTAATCAAGAGTACATTAATGAAATTCGATGTAGAAGAGTTTGATAGAAAGACAAAAAATTTTAATATTTGGCAACTTAAGATGAAGGCGTTATTGATACATTAAGGGTTAAGCAAGACATTAATGGACAAAGAAAGCTTATCGACTGAGTAGAAGAACGATGAGAATGAAGAATACTTGGAACATATTCTAGTCACAATTTGTCTATGTTTGGCAGATGTGTTGTTACAAAAAGTATTGGATGAAGATATTCTAGAGAAGTTTTGGGCTAAACTTGAGAAAAAAATTATGATAATATTATTTACAGGTCAGTTATATTTGAAACGTAAGTTATATATTTAATGTTTGAGGAAAGGTACGACTGTTATTGATGATATGAATAAATTCACAAAGACTGTTATAGATATAAAAATATTGGTGTTAAAATAGAAGATAAAGATGAAGTCATGTTACTCCTATGTTCTTTACCTCTTTTGTAAGAGAATTTTGTGGAAACTTTTATGTTTGGCAAATATGATATTATAGTAGAAGATTTCAATGTTGTACTTAACTCAAGTGAGTTGAAAAAAAATATCATGATACTCAAGAAGATGATTGAGCAGACGACTTGATAGTTCGAGAAAAAGCGGAAAAAGAACATGGTTAAAAGGGTAGATTAAGATTGAAGTCCAAATCAACGAAGAACTTTCACTATTATGAGTGTAATTAGAAAAGCCACATCAAAAAAAAAAATTCGAAGTTGAAGGGAAAAAGAAAAGAGTTTTTTGATGCTGTGAATATCGTTCAAAAGAAGACTGACCTTGGTGAAACTTTTTTGTCATTTTTTACTAGATTTTTAATGATGACTAGATTCTTGATACATGATGTACCTACTATATGTGTCTCCACTAAGACTAGTTTTCTACTTACACACTAGTAAATAGTGATATTGTGGCATTGAGTGATGACAATATTATTAATATTGTAAAAACAGACATAATACAGATCAAGATATACAATGGTGACATCATGACTTTGAAAAGGAGACATATTCCAAAGTTGAAGAACTTGATCTCTTTAGGTACTTTAGATAAGCAATGATACAAATATTCTTCAAGTAATGATATTCTATGAGTTTCTAGAGGTGTTATGGTTCGGATAAAGGTGAAGATGATCAGAATTCTTTATCATCTATTTGGACACACTATTATAGATAGTGTGAATGTGATTGAAGATTTAGATATTTCTACTCAATTATGGCATATGAGGTTGCGTCATATGTGTGAGCGAGGTATGACGGAGCTAAGTAAACGTGATTTACCTGTAGGTCAAAAGACTAATAAACTAGACTTTTGTGAGCACTGTGTTCAACATATAGTGTAGAGTGAGGTTTAGTACTGCAGTCCATTGAATCAAGGGTACAGAAGATTACATCCACTCTTATCTTTGGAGTCCTACTCTAATTATCTCAAAGAACGGTGTAAGTTATTTCTTGACTTTTATTAATGACTTTTCTAAGAAAGTATGAGTACACTTTCTTAAGAAGAAGAGTGAGGTGCTCATCATATTCAAACAATAGAAGATGTTGATTGAACGACAGACTGGAAAGTAGATCAAGCGCTTTCATATTGACAATAGTATGAAATTTTGTTTGAATGATTTTGATGAGTTATGTAGGAACGAATGTATTATTCAGCATCACACTATAGTGAGAACACTACGACAAAATGAAGTTGCAGAATAGATGAACATAACATTTTTAGAGCATGCTAGAAGCATACTATCTCAAGTGGGTTTGTCAAAGGACTTTTGGGTAGAAGCTATTCACACAACTTTCTACTTGGTTAACAAATCTCCATCTACGGTCATTGAGTTGAAAATTCTTGAGGAAGTATGGTTTGGTTCTCTTATCGATTACTCTCACCTTAGAATTTTTTATTGTTCTGTGTATGCTCATGTCACAGGTGACAAGTTGGAGCTAAGGGTGAAGAAGTGCATATTCATGAGTTATGCACAGACATAGGGTGTGAAGAGGTATTGGTTGTAATGCACTGATCTTCTATCACCAAAGTTTATGATCAAAAGAGATCTAACCTTTGATGAGTTTGCGATATTCAAAAGAGAGAGAAGTCAATAACAAATGAAGGAGATCAAGTTAGTAGCAAGTAAAGAGAGTTAGAGGTGAAGCTCTCAGACAATATAGTGTAAGAGGAGACAACTAAAGTTCAAGAAGAGTCAGAGAATATAGCAATAAAGGAAGTCCCTCAACGGTAGCCTAATATTACAAGGGATAGGCAACGACAGATGATCAAACCAACTAACATGTACTATGATATGGTAGCTTTTGTTTTATCTATTGTAGATAAAGTTGGAGGGACAGAATCATATTCTTACAAAGAGATTATGATTATCGATGACTCTTCAAAGTGGTAATTGGCCATGCAAGAAGAGATGGAGTCTCTAGAGAAGAACAAGATATGAAAGCTTGTGAAGATACCACCTAGTTAAAAAATTGTGAGGTGCAAGTGAGTCTTCAAGAAAAATGAAGAAATCATGGCTAGAGATGGTGTTAAATTCAAAGTACATTTGGTGGCGAAAGGCTTCACATAGCAATAAGGCATTGATTTCAATGAGATTTTCTCTCCTATGGTAAGACATACATCAATTCGTATCTTGCTAACTATTGTTGTTTCACTTAATTTAGAGTTGGAGTAGATAGATGTAAAGACAATATTCTTACATGGTGAGCTAGAGGAGGAAATCTATATGTATTAGTCAAAAGCTTTTGAAAGTTTTAATAAAGAAGACTATGTGTGCATGTTGAAGAAATATTATATTATTTGAAATAGTCTCTAAGACAGTGGTACGAGAGGTTTTATATATTTATATTGACTCATAATTACTTGCGAAGTGATTATGATAGTTACATGTATCACATGAAACTTTTAGATGATTCACATATACATTTATTATTATATGTTGATGACATATTAATTGTTGTCAAGAACATGTCAGATATTGACCACTTGAAGTCTCAGTTGAATGGTGAATTCAAGATGAAGGATCTTGGTGTAGCAAAGAAGATATTAGGCATGAAGATATATAGAAATTGTAGCACAAGAAACTTGTACTTATCTCAAAAATAGTATATAAAGAGGGTGTTGGAGCGACTTGGCATGATAGGATGCAAAGCTGTAAGTACTCCATTGGCAGCTCATTTCAATTTGTTTGCTGAAGATTCATTGAAGATAAAGAAGGAAATAGAGCTAATGAATAGAGTTCCATATGTGAGTGCAGTGAGAAACATTATGTATGTTATGGTATGAACTCATCCAAATATTTCTCATGTTGTTAATGTGGCCAGCATGTACATGAGAATCTTAGAAAGATGTACTGAGAGGTTGTAAAGTAAATTCTTTGTTATCTAGGGGTGCTTCAGATGTGAACTTGATATTTCAGAAGAGAAGTAGTAACGATAGCCAATTGGCTAACTATGTGGATTCATATTATGTTGGTGATCTGGATAAGAGGAGATCTTTGACAAGTTATGTGTTTACTTTTTCAAGTCATGCCATTAGTTGGAAGGTTATCCTATAGTCTACAGTGACTCTATCAACGACATAAGCTGAATATATGGTAGTGATAGAAGGAGTGAAAGAAGTTTTATGACTTTAGGATTTGGTTGATGACTTTGGTTTTGTATAGAAGACGACTCCAATGTACTATGACAATCAAAGTGTTATACATTTGACTAAGAATCAAATGTTTTATGAGAAAACAAAATATATTGATGTCAAATATCACTTTGTTCGTAATGTCATTATGCAAAAAAAGGTTGATGTGAAGAAGGTTCATACAACGGAGAATCTCATAGACATACTTACAAAAACACTTTCCTCAAATAAGTTAGGGCATTGCCTAAACTTGATTAGCTTATGGAGCACATGAGGAGAGCCTTAATAGGGTAATGACGACTACGAACATGATGAAGAATTGAGCTCGAAAAGCCAAGCCAAGAAGAGAATTGTCATTTAATGTGACTTTTTTTTTTTTTTGAAGCTACCACATTAAATACTTGCATTTAATGCAAAGAGTAAAAATAGAGAGCGAGGAAGAAATAGTCAGCCGAAAGGCCGATTCTCACAAATTCAACAGCCCATTCATGGGCTAGAGTAGTCTACGAAGTAGAATGGTGCAACTGGAAGAAAGGGAAACCATTTGGCACACTTTCCAATATTCTTGCTGACACAATTACTGTGGTGGCTGCGAGGTGACTATAAATAAACAGTCACCTCCCCTCATGCAGAACAACATAGAACAACCCCCTTCTACCTTTGTTTCACCATAGAGAGAGAGAGTTTGGGAGAGAGCTTACAAGGAAGATCTCTCGAGTTTGTGAGTACATCAGAGGGCCAAAATCAAGGATCTATTCCTTGGGATCTTGGAAGAGTCAAGATCAAGGATCAAGTTTATGTTAGTACTCTTGTCGTGAGTTGTTCTTTCTTCTATCTTACTTCACATCATGAGCATCACTTCTGCTGAAGCCCATATAAGATGTCTTGTTGTAACATAGACTCGCTCAGTGCAGGGTGAGACCCTTGTAAGTCTCGTCAATCAAGGAACGGTGCAAGTACCACTTGGAGGTGTCAAGGAACGGTGGACATACAATTGACTATGGCGATGGTCGACGTCCTCATGAATTACAAGAGCATTAACACACCTATGTCAAGTGGTGTCAAGTATTGATAAGATTAGAAATCAACACCTCACTATCACACTAGCCACAATGGCTTCAAAGAGAGGCATGGTACCAATTGTGGAAATAGCTTTCACAATGTCTAAGGGAGACCCAAGACTATTGCAGTGACACAATAGAGTCAACAACATACGAGTGTATACAAGAGACTAACATGACTAACAAACTCAAATTGATCCACATTGAAGTTAGCATCAACTGTTAACCCAATTTTGCGATGAATAAAAGGACATGAGAGAGATGTGTCTTGATATTACCTGATGGTGTCACAAAGCGATAGTCAAATTAGGAATGTCAACTTGGCGACAAGTACACAAATCGGTGTCATGCATGGCGCTCTATTATTAGAGGTCAAAATGTGGAAAGGCACAATTGATTTTATGATGTTGTCAATAGATAACTTTGAAGTAATCGTCAATAAGGATCTTCTCATTCGTTCATGCACATGGGTCATTCTCTACTTAGTTTTCCTTCTTGTAAAAGAGTAAAGTTCTTATTTTGTCTTGAGAACACAAGAGGTCCAATGAGGCCTACAGATGTTCTTATCATTTTTATCTCCAAGATAGCTTGAAGAAAGAAGAAGAAATCTTCCTTGTGACACTTTGAAAGTAGAATGATCGACTCTCACTAAGACTGTGGCTAATATAGGTGAGCAAACATCTAATGCTCATTGTCGTAGTGAGCATATGTGGTGCTTGCCAACAGAGAAGAAGTGACACACACTATTGATTTGTTGATGTGCATATAGGTGGTCAACCGCAATGGGCGTATACACAGATGCACTTGGCATGAGAATGACATATACAACGATGGACATCAATACACCACAAAAATTCTCGCCTAGAGTTGTCCTTTTACAGGAGTTTAAAGATGTCATGTTTTGCCAACTTGATTGCTACCTCAGTGCAAGGTAGACCATTACATTCAACTCATGTTTGATTTATGACCACATATGCACGTATCATACAAGAAACCTAAAAGTTATTTTGATGAACTATATCAAAAGTTGTCAAGACGTATTTGTCCCTCAAAGTCGCCATATGATATTTCCATCCTATTATAAAATAAGAAGGATGGGTCCCCATAGTTGTGCGTGGACTATTGAACACTAAATAAAGTCACGATCAATAATAAATATCCAATGCCTAATATTCATGATTAAATAAATACTCGTGTATTAAATAAAGTCACACGATCATACAAAGAATTATTAGACCGATTAAGTGGTGCCAAATATTTTATTCGTGATGGACCTGAAGTATTGTTATCATCAAGTCCATATCAAGAAACGTGATAAGCAAAAGACGGTGTGCATGATATCTTACATCTCATTTGATTTTACGGGTGATGATTTTCAACCTCACCAACGCCACTACCATATTTTGCATTTATCTTAATGTTTGAGAGCATCGATAAGTTCATCGTCGTATACCTAAATGATATATGGATTAATATTAAAAACATATATGAGCATAAAGCACATATGCGCGAAGTGTTTCCTCACAAATATGAGTATTAAAAGGGCTGATATCAGCCCATAAGTTTTTACATCGAAATTTGAAGGTGATCCGTCACAGCAGGTCAAATCGATTGACCTGAATTACCACCTTATTCGAAGCTTATTTATAATCTCCACGGCGAGCTATCTCCCCCCGTAGATCTGCAGCTCCTTCCTCCTCGTCATTCATCTTCATGGAGTAGTGATGCCTGAAAACAAACAAGTACGAGGGGAGAAAGGCGTCAGGAGCAGGGGAAGACCCGCAGACGCTTAGTCAAGATGGTTCCTACTTACTTCCACACTTGTAGTGGGAGGGAATGGGGCGCCCGCAGCCCTTCATGATCTTGACTAAGCGGTCAACGCCGACGAGCGCCGCCACCTCGGGGGTTATCAGGGGACACACGCACTCCAGGTGGATGACGCGGATGCGCTGGCAGCACTCTTTGCTGGGGGGGAGCCCGAAAAGCAGCTGCCTGCAGGCGTTGAGCCCGAGCGTGGTCTCCCGCTCGCATTGGCTCGCGCTCAATTTGGCCGAGGCGGGCGTGGCGCCTCCCAGCGCCACCGCCACAGCCAGTACCAGAACTACGGCGAGCACACTCCTCTCCATGACTCTTCTTCCCGCACTGCTCCGCACAGGTCCCGCCCTCTGGTTTTTGTAGGCGACGCTCGCTCGTGTTTACGCACGGTTTCCTGGAAATTACCCATTGGAGCAAGTGGCGGCCCCCCGGAAATTCTTGGACGCCGCAGTTTCTCTGTGGATTTTACCACGAAGGCTTCGATGGAGCCGGACATGGAAATTGTTCGATCGGAATGAATTCAAGTTTGACCCGTCCTGCGAGGAGAGGGGCTTCTGGTCGAGCCTGGGCCCTGTCTTTGACTCGTGCTTGCCTGCTTCCGATGGAGCGCATGCCGGAGGAGTGTCGGGTAGGCGGCACCGCCCGAGCTGGCAGTAGGAATGGGGAGTGGGGTTGCCTTGCTCATTGACGATATGCCATGGTTTGTGACTATAAAGCAGTGCCGTCTAGAAGAAAGAGAGAGACGAAGGGATCCTTGAATCTCGCAGCGTTGCCTTGCCGTTTTCTTTGTCTTCTTCTCCAATTCTCTCCCCTTTTTCACCCCTCTCCTCGGAGTGTACCCTGCTTTGTTTCTCTGGGGGTCTTGTTTTCATTTGTTGGTCACTCGTCTTTTCGCTGTGGGCGGAGCAAGTCGGTCGGACCCCGATAGACGCTTTTCACTCCTCCAGCCTCAATGAGCGAGGTTCCTGCTACGGGGCCTCGGCGAACGAAAACGTCTACGCTCGAAGGGCATACCGCTGTGGTAGGGCACGCATGGGTCGGCATTGCACCCGCGTCGAGTGTGGCAACATGGCATGACATACTCGGCATGAAAGGTGCACGGACGTGCGTGGCAGGGACTGAAGGAAAGAACCCTCACGAACAGGAAGAAGAGAAAAAGATTTCAAGCAAACATCGTCTTATTCTTCTACTGTAGGAAACGTCGAACATATAAAGGAAATCATCCATGGCGTGGTCAGTAACGACCTTGCCAAATAAGCGGCACGAGGGACCCAACTGTCCCATGAACAGTTCAAAGAACAGGGTAGAGAAAAATAAGGAAAAAAAACGAAAACAGTGAAGATTCCGTCTTCCTGATCTGTCGCCGCAGATGACGCCCTACCATCAGCGTCGAGCTTATTCCATCATGGACCCCCCTAGTGAGGTTTGAGGTCCTAGCGGGTATCACCAGCGCTGGTACGGTACAGCATGGCATCAGCACACCAATCGCTTGGAGTGGTGTGTGCAGGGGACACATGACAGAGTACTGCATGGATGCAGTGGGTGCACATGCGAGACAAACAATGTGTGCAGTGAGTGAGATGTGTTCACGGGACGTGAACGTAACTATCATGGTATTACCGACACGATCACTTCATTGTCAGCAGACATCAGACAACAACCTTCTACAGGGGTTATCGGATCTGAACCAGTGCTCCTGAGGAGAGAGTCTAACGGCCGCTGATAACTTCCTTCCTCCGTGCCTACAGCAGTTCTCGACTCACCGCGGTGAAGGTTGTCAATGAATGGATCCCCTTGGACAGGCATATTTACGCTTCCCACTGTTCTAGCGTTCAGACCCGCAAACTGCGCATCCTGCATGATATACCACTGTTCTTGTGGTCTAGATTGTGGGTCAACTAGTAATTGGATATCGCCCCGTTGAACATTACGGGTGCCCACAGTACATAAGTCACCAGGTCACCAGGTGAGGTGAAAACTAGGAACATACATGCCACTCAAAGAAGTCTCAGAGTATACTTTAGTGTTCACATCTTTCCCACGTGTTCCCAACAGGGAGTTTAGTAGTAGTGGCGCTAGGCCCATGAAGCAAACGGTCATAAGGGATGGGAGGGTCAGTGTACGGTCCATGATTCCCTGGGCTGAGTCTCCACGTTGAAGAGGAGGCATGTGATCGGCCTCGGCTGCGAAGGGTGGCAGCAGGCCAGCTGACCTAAAAGGATCTGTGTCAACTGCACTGCCGAGAATATGTTCTCCCTCCAACTTTCGGTTTGGCATTACTCATGTTTATTGGCTATGGCAACGGCCAAGTAAAAGAGGCAAGCTAAGACAATCTCTAGTTATCAAGGGATCTCTCTATCTAATAGGGAAGGGGTTATACTATCTAGTTAAGGAAGGA